AAATCACATACACACAAGTAGTATTAGATGGGCTGAGTAGATTACATTTAAATATATTAGGAATTTCATATAGTGTGCATAAATTATGTGTTCATATATTTAAATGAATGAGAATAATTAAAGAAAAAGAGGCATTAGAGGCATGAATTTAAGGAATGGCAGTGGGAGCTATGTGGGAGGGGGTCAGAGGAAGGAAAGAGAAGGAGGAAGTGGTGTAATTATATTATGATTAAAATAATAAAAAGCATTATATGAAAAGACTAATCATTGCAAATGATCCCTAACTAAAAGTTGCTAATCTTGTAGTCTTAAAGTGCTTACCTATGCTCTTCTTTTTTTTTTTTTTTTTTTAAAACTTATATCGATTCTTTGTGGATTTCACATCATGCATTTTGATCCTACTTACCTCGATATCCCCTTTCATCCATCTTCTGCCCTTGCAACCTCATCTCCAAATCATAACCAAACTTTAAAGAAAAACCAAAACCAAAACAAAACATAGAAACAAAGCAAAAAACAAAACCAAAGAAAACCAAGCCCAAAGCAAACAAACAAAAAGAGAAGAGTCTTGTTGTGGAAGCTGTCCTGTGACCCACTGAATCACAGTTTGTCCTTTAGTCCATTCATCATTCCTTGCCATGAGTCACTGGTCTGGGTCGAGGCCCCTGGTTTCTGCAGCACCACAGATAATGGGCTCTCGCTGGGACTCCTCTTGGATGTCCTGTGCTATAGACATCCTGCTGTTCTGGATCTGAGTCCCCTTCACATGCTCCAATGGTTTACAGAGTTGGTGGATGTTGGGGTGGGCCAACTCCTAGCCTTGGTTCTGGCCTTGGGTGGTAGCTGGGCCGGCCAGCTTTCCCCCATCGTCACTACCTGGGCAAGCTCTCCAGCACTGCCTCAGCTGGCTTCATCAATGCAGCCTGCAGCAAGGAGCAGGGTCAGTTCTCCTGCTTTCTCAGATCCTCAGATTTGAGTCCGGTCACCACCATCACACTCACGTCACCAGGGCCAGCTCTGTTTTGCCCAGGCAGGGTGCAGGCCCCTCTCTCCTGATTGCTGTAGGCGGGATATGAGGGGGTGACAGGGTCAGTTCTCCTGCTCTCTTGCCTTCGGGGCTGACTCACCTGTGCCCCTGACACAGGGTCAACCCTAGTGTGTCGCCCAGGCAGAGTGCAGGGTCCACTCCCCTGTGAGCTGCAGCTGGTGAAGGGCAGAGTTAGTTCTCTCACACTAGCGACCCTGGGGCCAGCTCTCTCATCTGCCAACCACAGGCAGCAAAGGACAAAGCGGAAGGGCATCTTTTTCTCATCCATGCCACCAAAAGGTAGACAGGGGAGGCAGGGTCAGCTTTGTTGCTCATACACCCTTGGGGTCAGCTCATTTGCATTCCGATCACAGGTTAAACTCTCCAAGTGAGGTGCAAGCCTCTAACAGGGGTGTGACAGGGAAAGCTATGCCCTGAGGGATAGGATCAGCTGCAGTATCCAGTGAAGGGCACAGCTGGCTCAGCAATGCATGGTTTCAGTGACCCCTTGTACTAACATGGGGCATGGACCGACTTCAACATAGACCTCAGCTGCAGAGGACCCTGACATGGCCCTTGGCAGCAGCTCAAGCGCGAACGTCACCTTATCCCGGTGGCAGAAGCCAACCAGATCAGTATGGGCCCAGCAGTGGCATGGTTCTATGACACTGACAAGGTCTCAGGTGGCTGAACAGACCCCCAGCCATCCACATGGCCCTCGGTGGTAACAGGAGCCATGGATATCAACTCAGACTCTGGCTGTTGTGTGGCCCTCTGCAGAAGCCCTGTCCCGAATGATACCATGACCCTGGGGTGACAGCATAGGCCACTCAGATCAGCATATGCCTAGAGGCTGTATGGCCCGCCAACATCCTCATGTCCACAGGTTGCAGCCCAGACCCTGGGCATCTATGTGGTGTTTGTTGGCAACATGGGCCACGGACATCAATACAGACCCTGGCTATAGTAGGACCTTGGACTCAGACGTGGTCCTAAGCAGTAGCCTGGGCCCGGATATCTCCATGGTCCCAGGTGTCAGTGCAGGTCACTTGGACTAGCATGAACATGGTGGCCCAGATCCCTGGCATTGGCACAGTCTTAGATGGTCTCAGGAACTACAGACATCAATGTAAACCTTGGCTGTGGCAGGACCATGTATCTCTGTTATCATATATGTGTATGTGTGTGTGCATATACATATATGCATGCATGCACAAAACACACACACACACACACACACACACACACACAGATGCCCCCTCCCCTCGTTTGAGATGGGGATGCAGCAGGGGAACTCTATGTAGACCAAGCTGGCCTTAAACAGAGATCTGTCTGCCTTTGCCTTTTGAGTGCTACAATTAAAGGCCTGTGCCACGATGTTGAGCAATACAACCCCTATTTTAAGACAGGGCCTTGCTGTGTGTATGCTGGATGTTTACTCCATGTTGGCCAGCTTTCATAGCGTCAAAGGGTGCTATGTAAACTCTGAGGTGAAATGTCATCAATGGTCCTATCCAGCTACGGATCTGATGAGCCACTCTGAGCTTCCTAGCAAGATATGCCCACTAGGGCTGGAGAGATGGCTCAGCAGTTAAGAGCCCTGGCTGCTGCTCTCCCAGAGGTACTGAATTCAATTCCCAGCAACCACATGGGGGCTCACAACCATCTGTAATGAGATCGGGTGCCCTCTTCTGGCCTGCAGGCATACAATAGACAGAACAATGTATACATAATAAATAAATAATTAAAAAAGATATGCCCACTGGTATAATAATGTGCTGAATGTTATGGGGGAAACAAAATGTTTTCTGGTTGGATTTGAAGTCAGCTTTACAGGAAGGGACCCATGTCGCTATTGCAAATCTGACAAGAGCGTCTATGGCTGGTAAAGTCATGGGCTCTTGCTGAGAACCTATTACTGTCATTTTGCTAAATGGATAAATCGTTGGACTGCCTTTTAGATACTTACACCCACACTCATAGATCAGTGCTGCTGCCAGCCTGTATCAGAGAAGCTGCTTTCTATAGTATGCAGCTGTTAATGCAGAGGTTTACAACTGGTCTCTAAATGGAACATTCCTGCTCCAAGGCCCAGGGAATATCTCAGAAGAGGTGGGTGAAAAAGAGCAGAGGAGCTGGAGCTTGAAGCGGATTTCTTCAAGACAGCGTCTCCTGGACATGGCGTAGCCCCGGTACTCAGGAACTCACTGAAACTGTGGTTATTTGCACACGACCTGCACAAAACAGGCCTTCTGCAAGCTTTATCCTGCATGACCTGGGAGCTCATGAGGCCCTACCCCTCACTGGGGGTCTATGTTCCGTAAATGGGTGCTGAAGGGGGTGGTGGTGTAATTTTCTTCAGGGGTGTAGCCATTGATAAATTACCCATACTTCAGTCAAAATCTCCTCCCCCAAAATGCTCATGCAGGCAACTGTAATTAAACCAAGTGCTTCATCAAAATAGGAAGAAGGGTTTCAGTGGGGGAAAGCACAGATAAAAGCAAGGAGTGGGGGATGAAAATCAGTATATACATGTAGGAAATTGTTTAAGAAAAATGAAAGCTAATTTTTTTTTTCCTAAAAAGCAAACAACTTATTTTCTGAACAAATATGCTGCCAAAGCTAGACAGAAATGTCTGTTTTCCAGGAAGCACTAGCTGGGGCAGGAGAATTACTGAATCTGGCTAACCTGAGTATATCTGATATGAAGATAAGACTATACGGCTGGATTTGGGAAGATTATTGACATCAAACCAATCGTCAGTGGCCTGGGGGCTGTTTTGCAGCTATTGGCTTCTGAATATTGTGTATGCTCAAGCTCCCATACTTTGCCTGTCTAATTTGTTCTGTTTCTTTTAAACTTCCCACTGGGTTATGAACAACATCCTAGGTTTCCCCAGCAATGGAAATACATTCTTGTTATTTCTTTTTGTAATTTCCCGTGCACAATGTATTAGATCATGTTCACCCCCACTACTCACTCCATCTCCAACATTAAAAATGTTGGTTTAAAATTATTTTATGTATATAGTGTTTGCATGCATGTGTGTCTGTGAGCAGTGTCACGGAGACAACTCAGGGCATCAGCTCTTGAGGAACTGGGTTTGCGAGACACTACGTGGGCGCTGGAAATTGAACCTAGGTCCTGTGGAATAGCAGCCAGTACACTTAACCACCAACTCTCATCCCCAGGCCTAAAAAAACAAAACAAAACAAAAAAAAAAAAACAAAAACAAACAATAGAAACCCATCAAGTCTGCTGTTTTGCCCTCTGTAGTTTCACGGATGGATGGATGTTAGGCCATCCTCTGGACAATTGACTCTCCAGCTCCCATAGTCCATAGCTCCTTAGCTAGGGGCGAGGGTTCGGGAGCTGCTTCCGGCCAGTCACGTGGCGTTCCTTTAGTAAGGCACTTAACCGCCCTGTAGTGAATTGTTAATTTGTGTCCTGTCACGTTATGAAGGGCCATCTTCACAGGCACGCGGTGCCTCGTAAGCGGCAGGCGCTCTACAGGTGTTAGTAGCTGTAAGAGAAGAGTTTTTAGAAATTGCGTCCAGTTGACACCTGTCAGCCTGCTTTCCTTCTGGCCTCCCCTGTTCTGCCTCTATTGAGTGCCTCTCGCCACTCTCTTGCAGAAGGAGCTTCAGGGCGGGACGGCTCTCCTCCTGGATTCACCCCTCCCACCGCCGCGTCGCCGAGCTGACGTCAAGCGCAGCCGGGGCGTTCCCGTCAGGCTCGCCCCAGCCTGACGCGTGTGTTCAGGTCGGGGGCTGCCCGGGCTCTGCCGCTACCGCCGAACGTCAGGCATCAAACGCCGACTTCAGCTGGCTCCCGGTCTCCAAGCCCAGGGCCTCGTTTTCCTGCACCCGGCCGCGGCCCCGCCCCCGGGCGCTAGAGGTGGTTGCCTAGGGAACGACGCTGCGCGCCGGCCGCGGGTGGACCGGCCGCGCGTGCGCAGTGGCCTGTGCTGGTGGCGACCCCCGCCGCGGGTGCCCAAGGGCTGCTTGCTGCACAGGATGGCCGGTTTCTCCAGCGACGATGAGGTGATGCTGCAGGCGATGCTCCGGCAGCTGTTCCAGAGCGTGAAGGAGAAAATCACCGGCGCTCCGTCCTTGGAGTGCGCAGAGGAGATCCTCTTGAGGCTGGAGGAAACCGACGAAAATTTCCACAAGTAAAGTCGAGCTTAAGTTTTTAAGCAAAACAAAATCACTGGTCCAGGAAAGGGGAAAATGATTCGGATACAGAGATTCATTTGACTTTTGTTAAAATAGCTAATTAGTGGCTCGGTTTCTCTATTATTTGTCCCAAGTACCGAATTTATTTTTCTTTATCTTTTAAAAGCTGGGTTTTCCAGAGCCTCTTCCGCCCATCCCTCCCCCTTACATCAGTAGTAAGCCATTCGTGTTGTTTAAAGAACAATTTTAACCACTTAGAGGGATTCCCTTCACTTTATCTGGAAGTAGTGGCCGCCGAGATCCCCATGTGCTGGTGTGTTGTCCACTCTCTACTGCAGTTAAGCCACCCAACACTGCCAGGGGCTCCCATACTGAAGCGGGTCTGGGTGCCTGTGCCTGGGCAGGACGCCCGTGCAGATGCCCTGTGCCCACCATGGAGGAGAAACAGAGAAAGGAAGTTGTCAGGTGCTGCCAGAATGACCTTTAAAATATAAACGTTCCTCCCACTTACAGATCTTTAGAGATTCGTGCGTTTCTTCAGAGTTCGTTCACATACTGAGTTAAGTGTCTCAGTTACAGTCTGTGTCCTTCCAGGCTCCCAGCGTATGATAGGTTGTAACTTTTAAAAAAATCCAGCGCTTTCATTTCATTTGGTCTCACAGACATTTTTCTTGTGATGTCGCTATTGTCTGCTTATCTGCTTATTGATTCTGGTCCTGGGGATGGAACCTAGGGTCTCATATATGATAGACACTTTATGGCGCTTTTATTGACTTTTGGATAACTTGAAGTTCAGTTTTTCTGAAAATGGGTGTTAGGATACCTTCAGGCCTTTTTCAATTTATTTTTAAAATAACTATATGTGTATGTATCCAATATATGTATGTATATATGACTCATTTTGCAAGAAAAATATAGAAGTATAGGGAAATACTATGCAGTAAACTGTTTCTACATTAGGATTCTCACTTCCATTCAGTAATGTGACTGGAGTGTACCAAGGTCAGTTGGTCAGGTTTTTACTTACGTAGGAAGATTGGTCAATCTATAGAACTATTGGTCAGGTGTTGAACTAGCTGGCCTGGTGGTATGCATCTGTAATCTCAGCATGGAGGAGGCTTATGTGGAAGGAAATTTGAGTTTGAGGCCAGCCTGAGCTACATACAGAATCCCTGCTCCCCTGCCTTAACTCTCCCAATACATGATAGATTTAGGAGCTGGAGATCTCTTACCAGCATTTGTTATTTATTTCCTTAATGACAAGGCAAGAAGTCTTTGAATATTGCAGGCCTTTGTGTGCTAAATTCCTTGGATCTGATTAATAAGTGAGACTGGTATTGACTATGTTTTATTTCTATATTTGTTTCAGCTATGAATTTGTGAAATACCTTAGACAGCACATATGTAACACGTTGGGGTCTATGATTGAGGAAGAAATGGAAAAATGCACATCTGATCAGAACCAGGGTGAGGAATCTGGTTATGACACTGTTGTGCAAGATGTTACCAAGAGAACTCAGGAATCTAAGGAGTGAGTATGATATAATGGTTATGTTTGCTGTTCATGATACATATATCTCTTCATGCTGTAAGCCTTCTAACTTCCCCTTTTTGGCTCCTTCTAGCTCGCTGACCTCTGCAGACACTCTAAAATCACATCTCAGATCTAAAAATGAAAACGTAGGATCCACATTTAAGAGAACATGTGATGTTTTTCTTTCTGGTCTGTGATACGTCACTTAATGTAGTATTTCCCAGTTCCACTTTCCTGAAAATCCTATTTTCCTTTTTGGATGAATAAAATTCCATTGTACACAGGTACATTCATTAACCATCCATCAATCGGTAGACATCTAGGCTGATTCCGTTTCCTAGCAGCAGTGAATATAGCAGCAGTGAATATGAGTGTGCAGATACCTCTGATACGATATAGAGTCTTTTAGCTATGTCCCCTGAAGTTGCATGGATAGAGCATGTGGCAGTTCTATTTTTAGCTTTTTGAAGATTTTCTACACTTATTTCCATAGTGGGTGCAATGGTTTACATCCCTGCTAATGGTGGATAAAGTGGATAAAGGTTCCTCTTCACCCACATCCTTACCAGCATTTGTTGTCATTTGCTTTCTTGATGATAGCCATTCTGAAAGGGGTGAGATGGAATTTCAAAGTAGCGTTACTTTACATTTCCCTGAAAGCTAGCAACGTTGAACACTTTAAAAGTGATTATTAAACATTGGTGCTTTTGTTTTTCTTTTGAGAACTCTGTGTGTTCATGGCTCATTTATTTCTTTGGACTGGCTGTTTTTATGTTTAGTGTTTTGAATTCTTTGTATATGCTAGATACTAATCCTCCGTAGGCTGTAAAACTGACAAGGATTTTCTCCCATTGTGTAGGCCATCTCTTCATGTAATTGGCAGTTTTCTGTACATTACATTCTCATTTGTAGATACTGGCCTTATTTTCTGAGTGATTCAAGTCCTACTCAGGAAACCTTTGCTTCTGCTTATTCCTTGAGGTGTACTCCCCTCTAGCAGTTCCAGAGAATCTGGTCTTCCTTGATCTATTTGTAGTTGACTTTTGTGCAGAGAGATAAATAAGGATTTCCTTTCTTCTAAATGGAGAAATTGTTTTCCAGCCCCATTTGAAGATGTACTATTTTCTCCAGTGTGTAAGCTTTATAAAAAAACAAACAAACAAGTTCAGTAGTTTTTTGTATTGTGGAATAGTTTTAGTGGTGTTCTTCTTCAAAGTTTTTATGAGAGTCATCAGTGACACCGTCCAGCTGGGCCTGGACTTTTCATTAGTTGGGACATTTTAAAATATCATTTCAACCCCACCGCTTGTTGTAGAGCTCTTTCAGTTGTTTAGCTCATCTTTTTAGATTTTCTGATCTTAGTAGATGATGTTTCCAAGGTAAGACCTAATAATTTGTGTCTTCTGTTTCTTTGGTTTTGTTAAGGGTTTGTTAGTCTTGTACATCTTTTCAAAGAACCAACTCTTCATTAACTATTAATTTCTGCCCTTGTCTTTTGAAAATATGTTTTCATTAACTGCTTGAGAATTTCATATATGCAAATAATGTATTTTGATCATAGTTGCCCCACTTCTTTGCGTAATTCCTCCTAGATCCACCCCCTCATCTTCTCAGCCTTCCAACTTCTTCTTCTTCTTTTTTGTTTTGTGACCCCTTTTGAGTACAATTAGTGTTGCCCATGTATGGGTGTGGGGTCATTTACTGGAGCATGGTGGACCTATCTGTGGTCACAGCTTTAAAGAAAACGTTTGTCTAGAAGCCATGAGCTGTCAGTAGCTATTTAGCCAGGGTTAGGGGTTGGGGAGAACCTCTCTCCCATCCTCTTAATGATTTATTTTGGGTATGTTTCGCTTGTTTGTTTTGTTGTTGTTGTTGTTTGTTTGTTTTGGTTTTGGTTTTGTGAAGTACATAATTAAGTTATTTGAGTCCTCTCTGATTTATTAATTTCTGTATTTAGAACTATATACTTCTGTCTTAATGGTATCAAATAAACTTTGTTGTGCTGTATATTCATTTTTCATTTGATTCTAGGAAGTTCTACTTCCTTCTTGATTTCTTTAATTACCATTCATCATTATGTGGTGTGTTGTTTAATTGCCATGAGTTTGTGTATGTTCTAGGCTTTTTATTGCTGTTGATTTGTGGTCATATTCCTGGTTTTTTTTTTTTTTTTTTTTTTTTTTTTTTTTGGTTTTTCAAGACAGGATTTCTCTGTAGCTTTGGAATCTGTCCTGGAACTCGCTCTGTAGACCAGGCTGGCCTGGAACTCACAGAGATCTACCTGCCTCTGCCTCCTAAATGCTGGGATTAAAGGCATACACCACCACTACCTGACATATTCCATTAAAAAAAAAAAAATCTTTATTGATTCTTTGGGAGTTTTACGTCATGTACCTCAATTCTGCTCACCTTCTGGTTCCCTCCCATATCCTCCCCTCACCCCTGAAACACACCCTCAAACAAAACAAACAAGCAAACAAACAAAAACAACAAAACCAGTAAAACCCAAAACAAAATAAAAACAGCAAAAAACCTCTACTTTCCTCCATGTTTCCCACCTCTCTGTGGGAAACCACAGCCCCAAGATGGTGCCTGGCTGGATGCCAGGTAGTCCGAGCTTAGCTGTAAACAAGTCTTATTTGGAAGTGCTTGATGGATCTGGTGTGCTTCCTCCTTCTGTGGCCTATCCAGGACAGCCAGGTGGCATGAGCTGATTGGGCAGTGAGCGCATATTTAAGGGCTTGCTGGGGCTCGGGGAGGAGAAGCAGAGGTGGAAGCTGATGTACAAGGTTCCTGAATAAACTGCTTGAAGAAGAGTCGTGGTCGTGTTTCCTTGCTGGCCGAGGTAGATGCGACACCTCTCCACCAACTCTTCATTCGTCCTGGTGGCTTTGGGGGCATCTGTGTGTCCTGTAGTATAACTTTTTGTCCTGTCAGCTTTACTGGCAAACAGTTATCGCAATGAGTCACTGGTCTGGTTCAAGGCCTCTGGTTTCTGGCACACCATCATCACACCATCCTCACTGAGTTCTCACCGGAACTCCTCTGGGATACCCTATTGCCACCTTGTCCTCACGATCCTGCATGTATCTTCCTGGGCTCCACCAGGTCCTAGACGGGGTAAATGTTAGGATGAGCCAACCCACGGCCAGGCTGTGGGCCTAGGTGGTAGCTGACCTGGTCAGTCTGGTCCACTGGGGCCACCCACCTCATGGGAGGGGGCAGAGTCAGCATCCCTTACGTCCATGTCCTCAGGGTCCATTCACCCTTGCCTGAGTGCAGGAACCAGTTCTCTTGCTGTAGGGTCCAGAGATGCAAGGCCAGCTTTTCCAGCATCAAAGGATGGGACCAGCTCATTATTGCCTTCTGATTTCATTTTGAATGTTTCCTAAGGCCTCCTGAAGTGACATGGGCCACAGACATTATTGAAGACCCCAGCTGCTGCTTGGCCACAGACCCAGACATGGCCTCAGGAAACAGCTTGGCTTGGTTGACATCCTAGCTCTGGGTGGTAGCCCCAGCCAACCAAATCAGGATGGCTCTGGAAGCATCATGGACTTTGGACACTAACAAGGCCACAGGTTGCAGCCCAGACCTAAGGCTTCATGTGGCCTTTGGTGACAATATGGGCCATGGACATCAACATAGACCTCGACTGCAGAAGGGCCGTGGACCCAGACATAGCACTCAGCAGCAGCCTGGGTCTGGTTGTCACCATGGCCCTAGATGGCAGTGAAGGCTGCCCCCATTGGCAGTGTGGCCCTTAAACCCATACACGCCCCAGGAGGTGGCCCAGACAACTGGAATCAGCATGGCACTTGATGGCAACAGGAACCATGGACATCAACACCGACTCTGTAGGATCAGGGACCAAGATGGTCCTAGGCAGTAGCCTGGCCAGGACATCACCATGGTTCCAGGTGACAAGCAGGGCTCCACCATCTGCCCATTCCTCGCCTCTTCATTTCTTCCTTTCTGTGTCTTTCCGCAGCACAGAAACCATTCCAATTTTCTTTCTCCACCACATCTTTGCTCATCATAATTAGTCAGGCCCATCTGTCCAGCGCCACAGATGTCTTCCACCAGCCAGGGCCCTGAGGACCCCAGCTGGCTAGTTAGTCCTATTGCATTATGAGGACCAGTTTCAGTTTTCTTGTATTTGTTGAGACTTGCTTGGTGTCCTATCAGGATCTATTTTGGGAAAAATTCTGTTGCCTGCTGAGAATAATGTATGTTCGGTGTCATTTGGATCGAGTGTCTGAAGGTATCTGTTAACTCCATTTGACTGATGTGTGATGTCATCTAATTTGTCTCTGTCTGTTTTGTTGTTGCTGTATGGAGAAAGTGTCCGTTGGTGTGAGTGGGCTGTTGAAGTCACCTGTTATTACTGTGCTGGGCTCAATCTATGACTTTGCATCTAAAAGTATTTATGAAACTGAGTACATTACATCTCTGTTCTGGGAATGGCTGTATGAAATTATAGTGTCCTCTAATGGATGTGCCTTTAATCAGCATGAAGTGATATGCTTACATGCCTTTTTTTTTTTTTTTTTTTTTTTTTTCTTTTGGCTTTTAGGGACAGGGTTTCTCTGTATTGCTTTGGAGCCTGGCTCGAAGTGACAAGCTTACCCTCACCAGTTTTGGTTTGATGTCTGCTTTGTCAGACAGCAGTGACACCTGCTTGTTTCCTGGGCCCATTGCTTATGCATCATTTCCTGTGTTTCCACCCTCGGATCTGGTTTTCCTGAAGGCAGCAAGTACACGTTCCAGATTTTTATGACAGATAGCTTTGTGGGTAAAGTAGTCTGGATTGGCAGTTGTCTTTGAGAACTTGAAGTACATATGCCCAAGCTCTTCCAGATTTACAGTTTTAGTTGACTAATCTGCTGTTGTGTCGAGGGGCTTGTCTCTGTTCTTGGTCTGGTGTTTTTCTCTTGTTGCCTTCTGTGAGCTTTCTTTGTTCTGTATATTTAGTATTTGAACTCCAATGTGATGGTGAGAGGTTCTTTTCTGGTCTCTCCAGTTCAGGGTCCTAAATGCCTCCTGTGTCTGCCTGGATTGGCATCTGTTTCCTAATTCTGGGGAATTTTCTCTTGAAAGCCTTCAAAAAAAATCTATTCAGTGCATATAGATCTAGAATCTTCTCCATATAGATGTCTGTATATAGTGTATAAATATATAATGTAAATATGGTAAGTTTGATCTTTTCAGAGTGCCGTGTGTATCTTGGGGTTCTCACCTGGACTTACTATTGTTTTATACTTTTCCTTGTTTGCTTGCTGCAGTTCCTCAACCTTGTGTTTACGCTCACATACTCTCTCCTGGTGCTACCCTGTTCTTGAGACTTTCCACAGAGCTTTTCATTTCATTTCCTGGGTTTTCCACTTCTAGCATTTCCTATGTCATTTTTACCCAGTGTTCCCATCTCTGTTGAATTTCTCTTTCATATCCTGCAGTTCCTTCTTTATTTTATCCAGCTGTTTGTATTCTCAATCAGGAGCTAACTTTCTTCTATGGGCAGGCACGCACACACACACACACACACACACACACACACACCAACATACCCACACCCACACCCACACCCCCCCACACCTGTATTTATGATCATTCCTCTGAGTTTCTGTCTGTGACTCCCTGTTTCTCTCACCAGATGCCATCACTGCACCCTTAGTGATTTTTGTGAGAGGCATCTTGTCCTTCTTTGTGTTTCTTATGTTACTCTGCTGGGATTTTATCTATCTGCTATGTTTTGCATCAGCGATACTCTTTTCTGTTGAAGTATCAAGTAGGCACATCTTTCAGGAATGTCTGCAAGTTGGATTTCTGTAGAGTGCCCTTTCTTTAGATGATATGACTTAACATCTCGGTCACTGTCTTGAAGGCATTTTGTTCTCTGTTCTTCATAACCTTTCCCCCTTTCCTCTTATTTCCGTATTTAGCTTTAGTTCCCTTTCGGCTCTTTTGTCACTAATAAAGGATATAATCTGTATCTCTCTTTTGCTTATCTCATTGTTTTCTCCATAGGATGGATGATCTACAAAGACACATTTTTATCTGTTTTTTTCTGTATCTTAATGCCTTGAATGTGCCTTGTACATTATAGATGCTTAATAGATGCTTGTTAGTGAAATTAAAGTGTTTCATTTGCCACTATAATCAGTTTTATGTTACGAATTACAATACTGTAAATGTTGTGTATTCTCAAATAGTGTTAGGCGCTTGGTCTCCAGTGTGGCAGAATTAGGAGGCGATAGATCCCGAAGAGAGGCTAAACACAAGAAAATTAGGTCATCGAAGATGGAGTCTCAGAGGGGATTAAGGCAGTTCTTAACCCTAGTTAGTTCTAATGAGTGAGTGAGCAAGCATGTATGCTGGCCAAGAGAAAACGCAATGCTTTCTGGTCTTGTCATATCATCTCTTTCTCAAGCAATCTCGTTATTTGTGTGTTCTTTAGCACGAGGTCTGGACCAGAGCTGGGTAGAAATTGGTGCAAGCTTGTGACCCCCAAGCTTATGATGCCCTCCTTTTCCTCATTAATGTACACAGGCTCGTTTCGATTGAGCAAAGGAAAGCAGACTTATGCTGAGAGTGGACCATGTCTTTAGCAGTAACTCTGTTTCCTTTCTCTTCATGTGTCAAATACTCTTCCCTCCCTCCCTCCCTTCCTCCCTCTCTCCCTCTCTCCCTCTCTCCCTCCCTTCCTCCCTCTCTTCCTTCCTCCCTCCCTCCCTCCCTTCCTCCCTCTCTCCCTCTCTCCCTCTCTTCCTCCCTCCCTCCCATAGGGTATCCTGTGCACCTCAGGCTGGCCTTGAATTCACTAAGTAACATAGGTTTGTTCCAGGGAACCCACCCCCTTCCATCCTTGGAGTTATTATACCAATTTGCTATACAGAAACATATGCAGACAAAACACCCATACACATAAAATAAAAATGTAAAAGTGAAATTATATTTCTTGAAATGGCTAGCCTGGTCTTTACAGCTATTTCTGGGACAGACAGGGCTACACAGACAAACCCTGTCTCCAAAAAAACTAAAGAAAAAAAAAAGAATTGTAAGTTTTCTCTCTTGCATATATTTAAACTTGTAGAGCTGAGGGAATCTAGAACATTTCCAGTTTGAAGTCTTACTTCAGGGGTATGTGTCCTGCCTCTCCTGAAAACTGTTCTGTGGCTTTTCTTTGAACGCTCACGCTGACCGCTTAACTCCCAGTTATATACAGAGAAAACGTAGAATGTCTCAGTTGGGGCTCTGAGTGCCCATAGATATGAAGAGAGAGAGATGGGAAGGTGGAGGAAGGAGATAGAAATGAGGTGAGCGACAGAAGTGGCCTGGGCTTTGGAAGTGTGTTGTGAACATTTGATCGCGTTGCTGATAATAGCTTGGCTTAGGATTACGTTGATTTTTATCACATCACTTCATATTTCCAGATGAAGAATTGTAAGAAATAATATGCTTTTGGGATTCTTTATTTGCATTTCATCAGCCTGGTTTGCCCTTTTTGTGAAACCGAACCTTAGATTTTCCTTGTCAGCATTGTGCTCTTGAAGAATCTTCTTTTTCATAGGTAAAAACAAACCGTACTTGAGTGTGGAGTTCTTCTACTGAGTGTCCATTCAATTTAAAGGTACAAGGAAATGATGCATTCCCTGAAGAGCATCATGATGGTGGTGGTGGAGTCGATGATCAACAAGTCTGAAGAGGATGATGAGACGCGGAGTCAGGAGCGGCAGAGGATACTGCAGGAGAAGCGGGGCAGCAGCTGCACGGGCAATTGCTCCGACAGCGACTCCTCCTTTAATCAGGTGTGCTCGCCCTTTCCAGTCTTGTCTTAAAACAGTCTTCAGTGATCACTAGCTTAAATTGGTGCTTTCTCAAACATTGTTTTTGTTCTGCAATTTAAAGATTCAGAAAAAAAAAAAAATCCAACAATGAAATGCTCTATTAGGATTTGGTCCATGAGGTACTATTTTACAGAATTGTTTGTTTATTGAATAATTATATCTCAGACAATTCTTAAGTGAAATATGTTTTGAATAGTTAATAATAATTTCATTGTGAATTTTTCCCAGTTTAATTAACATGTGGCTGAGATGTAGAGATAAAACATGTATAATTTTTATGCATTTTCTGGGATTGAAAGTGGCCGTAGATTGTCAGTTTCAAACATTAAAAGTTTTCAAATGTAAAACGATTTGGGGTTAGTTAGTCTGATGTGGTGGTACAGGACTAACCCTGTGAAGGAAGCAGGGGATCATGAGAGTTTGAGGCCACTTGCCTTACATATCAAGACCCTATCCTAGGAGCTAAAAACAAACAACTAAAAAGTTCAAGGCCACAAGGGTTAGTTTTAACTGTCTACTTGACACAACCCCAAGTCACCTGTGGTTGTCTAAATGAAGTTAGCTTGTGGGTATGTCTCTGGAGAGTGGTCTTGGATGCTAATGTTAGTTGATACAAGAAGATCCAGCTCACTGTGTGTGTGGTACTTAACCGTTCTGCACAGAAGATCCTGAATCCTTTGAGTGCAGAGAAAGCACAGATCTGAGCACAAGCAAACATGCACACTTAGTCCTTTCTGCTCTTGACTCTGTGTGTGTGTGTGTGTGTGTGTGTGTGTGTGTGTGTGTGTGTGTGTATGTGTGATGTGACTACCTGCTCAGCTTCCTGCTTCTGTGGCTTCCCTTCCATGATGGACTGTAATGGACTTTAACCTGTAATTGTAAGTTTGAAGTATTTCCCCCTCTGAATTGCTTTATATCAGGATATTTTGTCATATCAACAGAAACTGGGACAGAGGTCTTTAGTTTCCTCTAGCCAGGATTTAAGTAAGGACACTTGTCATTTGACTGCAGTAGAACTGTAAAAAGATAGGCTTAAGGCAGATTAGTCTGAATAGAAGACAAGGAAATCCGCTAGACATGTGCCAGGAGCCCGTGATAGGTTTCTAGACTGAACCCTGTCTGTGTGTCCTCCTGTCTGTAATGATTTCATTTTTGGGATTTGCTGAACTGAAAAGCAAGTCTAGGCCTTTAGGAGCAGCTGTGCGTGCATCATTCCTCACAAGCCTCTGCTGTGAGAAGGCTCCTGCCACTCTGCAGCCGATGGAGATTGCTTCCTTACCAATGTGTCTCAGGGCCTGGGCGTTATCTCTAGTGCTGCACATAAAGAAAGTAGACTATAATGGTTTCAAAATTGCTTTGAGGAGTTTGGATGAAACATGAAAATAGATGCACAGTGGCCCCCATTGGGACTGCACCATTGAACGGAAAGGCACTGGGAGTGGTCCAAGCCGACTTGAGTTGCTGTGCTTAGTTGCCATTCTATCACTGGCCAGGGAGATAGTGTCAAGCTGTGAACTTTCCAAGCCAGACTGATGATGTGGTGTGACAGAGGCTATGATGGAGATGGGGTTTCCCACCTGATAGCCTGTGATGATTTCTTGTTGATGATGGAGATCAGGATTCCCATGTAAGTCTGTGATGATTTCTTGTTGATGATGGAGATCGGGGTTCCCATCTGATAGTCTGTGATGATTTCTTGTTGTTGATGGAGATTGGGGTTCCCATGTAAGCCTGTGATGATTTCTTGTTGTGATGGAGATTGGGGTTCCCACCTGATAGTCTGTGATGATTTCTTGTTGATGATGGAGATCGGGGTTCCCACTTGATAGCCTGTGATGATTTCTTGTTTTTGCTCTTAGGAAGAAGATGACGTAGCTGCTTTCATGGGGTTGGCTTAATTACTTGACTGAGCTTCTTCAGAAATTAAAAGACAGAAACCTTTGTTTTAGGACTCAGGAGCTCACTATTGAATGATATTACTTGGTTACTGAACTCCTGAAACACAAGAGATGAAAAAAAAAAAAAAAAAAAAAAAAAAAACGAATCATTGTTAACACATCCCCAAAATGAAAGAGTTAAGGTCTAACTAAGCTTAATTGAGTACCGAGGAGTTCATCAGTTGCTATTACCAAATGCTAGGTTATTTCTAGTAACTATAATAACAGTTCTTTTAGGTTTTGACAAAACAAGTCATAATTTAAAATATTCACATTTTAATTTTGTTTTGTTTGGATTCTTCAGAAGAAACCATGTCTTCAGATCTGTGGCTTCCTTTGGGATGCCCACAGGCAGTACTTGAACTTTCTATCATTTACCCTATGAATATGACCGTTTCAGGAGAGATTAATTGGGTTGAAAGTGAACTATGTCCTTAAGGAGATTGTGGGATGCCTGAACTTTGTGAAACAATACATGAGTGTTAGGATACCCCACAGAGCTAGCTCTTTCAGAGTTGTGAGCTCAGAGAGTTGTGTGGCTATGCTTTTGCTTAGTGAAGACATAAGGGACCAGCTGAATTACTCTGAAAAGGTCCTGACCCCAATCTTCCCCATTGACCAGCTGCAGTGTTTTCTTTCATGACTGTGTGGTTGGATGAGCAGTGGGAGGACGTGCAGGCTGCTCCCTCCTCTAGGCTATCAGTATATGTATGCCAGGGGCTACATGTTAACACCCCAATCAGTGACAAGGACAGGCCAAGGTAATGATGATCTTTGCTCCTGATGCTTGCAGAACTGAGACGTATCTCTTTCTCAGGGACCAGGGTCAGAGGATTATCATTTGACCACACACCTCTGTCTGTGAGAACTTATTTCCAATCTGAAGTCATCCGTCTCCCATATAGGCCACCTTAGATCAGCCTCCAAGAAAGATAGCCCTTTATGGCTAATGGCCCTGTACCTTTCCTTCAGCTAGCTCACTGTAATAGAGTTGTTCTTGTTACCACTCGCTGCTTGCTGCTGGACACCGGATTCTTTACAACGGAAGCAAGGAGATAGATTCTGTGCCTTGTAGCAATTTCATTAAATACTGACATTCTCATCGATGCCTTCAAAATCACAACTTGCTCTGGGCTGAAAACAATGTACCTGGATTTCCCTTTTCTATAATTAAAGTTTAAAGTTAGCATACGAAGTAATAGGTTTCATTTTGACATTTTCATACACAAATGTCATTATGCTTTGTTCTTGTTTACCCCATCTTCCACTCTCTCGGCATCCTCCCTGCCTTCTTTTTGTTAGTCCTCTCCATTCTTATTCTCTCTTGCTTGGTCCTGGAGCAGTGCCTGAGAGCTCATGTTCTGTTGTACAAGACTGAGAGTGGTCTGGGCTTTTGAAACCTCAGAATCCTCCCCCCCAGTGACACACCTCCTCCAACAAGGCCACGCCCACACCCTCCCCCAACAGTTCCACCAACTATTCAGATACGTGAGCCTATGGCGGCCATTCCTCCAGTCAAACCACCACATTTGATGATTAACAATTGACCAGAGAATCGTGCTGGAAAAGGAGGAGGGAAGCTGGGAAATACACTGTTGCTGGGCCTGACAGTTTTGTAAAACATAAGAGATTTCAGGGTCTGGGATATTGCACATAGAGTCTAAAACATGACGTCTTTGTTACAGTGACCACTCAAAAGATAAATTCTGTTAAGAACTAAGGATTATCTTTTTAATTGACTGCTAATTAGCATAATACTGCTTGTCTCATCAACTGTGACAGAATGTTCAAGTAATTGCGCGCTTACTGTTTGTCACAGCTGTTAAGGAACTCGTAACTGTATTACAGATAAGAGTGGATTAATGTGAGAATCGGTGAATTATCTTTTCAGATTTCTTCTGAAATAGGCTATTGTAGGTGAAAAATCAGTCACTTCATTTTCTTGTATAGATAACAGAATTGTAAAATTTATTTGACAATTTGAATAAATGCTAAAGCAAAGCACTCAGGTATCCCACAGGTGGAGTGATGCTGTGGGGAGATGTCAGGGCTCAGGATGGGCAATGGGAATCAGGGATAACACGGCTAGAGCAGGGAGCTAGGATTTAGAACCCAAATACAACTTCTGTCCTGCATCCTTGACATTGTGGGAAGTCCCGGTAGGAACTCCAGCAGGAGCAGAGGCAAGAACCGTGGGGAAAAGCTGCTGCCAGCCTGGTTCTCCATGACCAGCGTAGCTGAGCTCCCCCACACCTGTCTGTGACCAAGAGAGAATGCCCCACAGACATGGCCGTAGGTCAGTTTGACAGAGGCAGTTTCTGAACTGTCAGCAATGATGTGATGCCATCACAGTAGTGTAGAGGGTGTTGAAGGTGCAGAAAGATTGCCATTGTGTCGCCAGGAGATTCCTTAAGAGGCTGGTTGAGCGAGGACTAAGTGTTAAGTGGGCAATTGTTCAAAGCTTTGCCGGAGCCTGTGGGTGTACTGTAAACCTTTTTCTACATGGAAGGTCTTATTTTATCACCAATAGGAAGGCTAAGGAAAGTCTGGGGAAGGTGGCAACAGAGGCGGGTGCAAAGCAGTGCGGCTGTGACACAGGATGAACAGTGTTGCGGCTGTGACACAGGGTGAACAGTGTTGCGGCTGTGACACAGGATGAACAGTGTTGCGGCTGTGACACAGGATGAACAGTGTTGCGGCTGTGACACAGGATGAACAGTGTTGCGGCTGTGACATAGGATGAACAGTGTTGCGGCTGTGACACAGGATGAACAGTGTTGCGGCTGTGACACAGGATGAACAGTGTTGCGGCTGTGACACAGGATGAACAGTGTTGCGGCTGTGACACAGGATGAACAGTGTTGCGGCTGTGACACAGGATGAACAGTGTTGTGGCTGTGACACAGGATGAACAGTGTTGCGGCTGTGACACAGGATGAACAGTGTTGCGGCTGTGACATAGGATGAACAGTGTTGCGGCTGTGACACAGGGTGAACAGTGTTGCGGCTGTGACAGGATGAACAGTGTTGCGGCTGTGACGCAGGATGAACAGTGTTGCGGCTGTGACGCAGGATGAACAGTGTTGCGGCTGTGACGCAGGATGAACAGTGTTGCGGCTGTGACATAGGATGAACAGTGTTGTGGCTGTGACACAGGATGAACAGTGTTGCGGCTGTGACACAGATGAACAGTGTTGCGGCTGTGACGTGGGTGTGAGCAGAGCAACAGTGCCGCTGTGCAGTTCCTGCCTTTCTGTAGTTTGCTGTTTGGTATTTTTGTTTCATCCACATCACATTTCTGGGCCCAAGTGGTGGCTTTTCTTTTCCTTTTTTGTTTTAATCTCTTTTGAGCCTTACAGTGTTGTGTACATTTATGGTGGCTCGGCAGACAGTTTCATGTACACGAATGAACATTGAGTATTCTATTGAGAAATTCCAGTTCTGACTACAAAGCCATGGGAAACAAAAGTTACAAGTTCTCCAAATCAAAGTAGATCACCTGTCTCCTGGTTAGACTCCATAGTGTATCTGTAGCTGTGTTAACACAGTCATCTATAGTGGGTCTTATGGAAGTCTACTAAATAATTTTATATTCTATCTATTCTATTACAGAGTTACAAATTTTGTCAAGGAAAACTACAGCTGATTTTAGATCAGTTGGATCCTGGGCAGCCTAAGGAGGTAAGTTTAAAGGGTAGCTGTTTTGCACAATAAGATACCATGTCCTAGTCTGGACTGCAGTCAGTAGTAGCTGGTTGTTTATTGTGGTGGTGTTTTTGTTTGTTTTTGGTTTTTGAGGTGCTAGGCTTTTATTCTTATAAGCAATCTTGGGTTGGTAACCATGATTAGCTTTTCTGTATGAAATGGACACTCATTAACTCACTCACTCACTCACTCACTCACTCATTCACTTGCTCGTTCACTCACTTCCTTCTTTCCTTCCTGTGTGCCTACAGGTGTATGTGGGTTCATGTACATGTGTGTGCGAAATCTAGAGGTCAACATCGCGTGTCATCCTCTATTGCTTACCACTTTGTCTGTCTGTCTATCTATCTATCTATCTATCTATCTATCTATCTATCTGTCCATCTATGTATCTATCTATCATCTGCCTGCCTGCCTGCCTATCTATCTGCCTACATATGTATGTAAGTGTGTATGTATGTATGTATCTATCATCTACCTGTCATTTATCTATTACCTATCTACCATCTATCTGTCTGTCTGTCTGTCTGTCTGTTTGTCTGCCTGCCTGCCTGCCTATCTATCTATCTATCTATCTATCTATCTATCTATCTATCTATCTATCTATCTACTTGCCTGCCTGCCTATCTATCTTATCTGTCTGTCTGTCTGCCTGCCTGCCTGCCTGCCTATGTGTCTGTCTGTCTGTCTGTCTGTCTGTCTGTCTATCTATCTATCTACCTACTTGCCTGCCTATCTATCTGTCTGTCTGTCTGTCTATCTACCTACTTGCCTGGCTATCTGTCTGTCTGCCTGTCTGTCATCTATCTTCAGACGGGTCTTTTACTGAACCTGGTGCTCTCTGATTGTGTCATCTCGCTGGCTTGTGAGCTAGTTTCCTCCATCACTGCCCTTCTGTTTCCCAGTGTTAGAATTACAGATATGCAAAACTGTATCTGGCTTTTTTTGTGGGTCCAGGGGATGTGGATTTAGGTCCTCATTTCTCCCCAAGGAAGAATTTCTTTAGAGATTTTATTTTATTTTTTGGGTTTGAGGACTATACATACTCCATGTGTTTTCCCTTAGCTTCAGTTTGAAAGAGATAAAGCCATGTGCAGTTTTTATATAGCTATCCCTTTTATTGTTAAGAAACCTCAGTGCTTGTTTTGTTTTTATAAAATGTGAGCATCTAGTAAAGGTTATTTTTAATAGATAATATGATATACTATCATGTATAATGCCTTGAAATATGTACATACTGGGAAGTAACTAAGTTGAGATAGTAAACATGTATGTTACCGCCCATACTTACCCCTTTTAAAATTTTTGATGGAGTAGCTTACATTCTTTTCTTACCAATTTTTGGAATTAGAATATATTATACATATACATTATGCTATAAAATAGATCTCCCCGTTTTTTCCCTGTGACTCATATTTTGTATTTGACAAATATCTCACCAATGTTTGTGCCACCACCCTGATGACCTGAGTCCCTGGACCCACATGGTGGAAGGAGAAAACTGATTCCTGTTGTCCTCTGACCTTCACACATGCTCCCACAGCCTGGCACACACCCCTCACACCCATACACACCTGCTGTCACACACTAAATAAATAATGAAAAGCATTTCAAAAGGAAAAAAGGATTTTGAAGAAGCAATTATATTAAATTATATATGCTCATATTTTGAGAGATTTTATAAACTATTAATGTCTTGCTTTATTAGAAAGTCACTTTGAATTAGTAACTACAACAGGGATAACACAGTAAGCATTTATTTCTAAGTGTTTCTAATTACATATTTTACATTATTTCATAGAAAAATAAGCTTACATCTTGTTTATTAAAGGGAATTTATTATGGCTTCCTTTTAAAAACTGTGTTAGTGAAGGAAAAAGAGGCTTCTGTGTCCTATTTCTTGGGACCAGGACCATGTATGATCCAGTGACGGAGGCGGTTTTTATATTGTTGATTGGGAGAAACAGATTTTACCAAAGCGAGAGGATAAAAGGTGAACTCAGCTTTTACAAATCCAGCAGTGTACAGGAATAGATGAAAAAAGAAATTTACCCAAGAAGGAAAATTCATGGACTGTAACTCAAATTAAACTTGTCTGAGGCTCAAAAAGCATACAGTGAGAACGAAGGACAATACAGTTACTTTCTATTGCTTTGATAAAACACAGTACCAAGGCAGCTTACCAAGGGAAGCATTTAGTGTGGCTTATGGTTTCAGTTTATAACGGTGGAGGGAAGGAACATCCGAGTTTTCACATCTCCATCCACAGTAACAGAGCGAGTGCAAGCACCTGTAATCACAGGAATCATTTGAAAACTCAAAGCTGGCCGGCAGTGATGCATCTTCTCCAACAGGCCTCCTAATCCTTCCCAAGCAGTCCCAACAACTGGAAATCAGGAATTCAAGTACATGAGCCCATTGGGCCCCTTCTCATTCCAGCCACCACAACCAGTACAGATAAATTATTTAGGAAACGGGTTTTGCAGGAGCTGGAAAGTACCTGCATATGGAAATAGAAGGTCGGGAGTAATTGGCCTCAATGCTTAGACAGCCAAGAAAAGTGATAACCTTTGAGTATTGTAAGGAAATAAATCTTCCTTTTAAAATTGCTGGTCTTAATTATGTTTTTAAAATTTCTCTAGTGGTCCTAATGTGTTTTCTTTGCTGCTTCACTTAAATAACACTGACCATATTTTCCCTATGAAAGGTATAAAACAGATTCTTAAAAACAAACTTGAGGTATGGAGAGTTACTCAGCCATTAAAGGCTAGGCTCACAACCAAAAAAGAAAAGAAAAAAAAAATTGAGTGTATGTATGTATGAGAGATGTATGTAGCATCTACTGGTTACTCTCACATCTAGCCACACCCTGTCCACCTCAGCCTCTCCCAAAAATCTTTCACATTTATTTGTGTTAATTTGAAAGAGCTTTTGTGTGTGTGTGTGTGTGTGTGTGTGTATATATATATATGCACTCTAATTTGTCCTATTGAAGTCTAAGAAATTGGAGAATTCCTTTTGGCATTTTGCATTCTGCTTTATTTTCTTGATTATTAGTAAAAAGTGCTAAACTGGATATGATATGAAACCATTTAAACTACTTTTATATGTTAAGAGTTTGGCCTTAATTTAAATTGACTACTTCTAAATATATTCTTGTATAGAAACTTTTCTTCTGGGTATATTACAAGTAGTAAACTCTTAATGGAATTTTGTTCTAGAAGCTACCTGTAAATGTGAAATTGCTTTATGTTGGAAGCTCCTTGATTTTTCGGACCCTCTTTCTAACCTTACTGCCGCCTGTCACATGGGTGTGTTTAGTAGTTCTTCCTCGATGGTCCTCTGTGACATCCTGCATTTCCCCTCATCTGAAACGGTTGAGTCTGTGATGGAGATCTCTGCTGTCTCACGGTCACTTCCGGGGTACTTCCGGGGTTTGATGTGTTGCACGTGAACAGACTTGGAGTAGAAGCTTGGCCTCGCTGTGAGAGTGCAAATGGAACATTGCTCTACTGAAGAGGATGGAGCCTCTCCCAGTTGTGTCCCTTGGGTCACAGGGTTTGGGGGAATTCTGATTGGATCTATGATGATTAGGAAGTAGCCTTTCTGGGGAAAGGCAGAAGTTCAATTTTGCATTTCACAGCTGTATTAGGTTTTCGAATTCAGTGGCTAGAAGGTCAGAAAATGTGGTCCAGCAGAAAAATGAAAACGTCTGATGAGATGTTTTTCCCTGGGAGTTGTTCACTGGAGTGGGAATGCTTTCCCAGTGGCTACGTGGGCAGTGTGTTGGAATTAAATCTGGCAATCTGTAGCAGCTCTATGGGGAGGCTTATGAGAATGGGGGGTGTTCAGGATGAGGCTCCTGGAAAATGCTGCTTGGCGAGTCCAATGCAGTCTCCATCCCTTTCTCTTATCTGAGACACCGTCATAGTACACTTACTGTTTCAGATTTCATTACAAAAGACAGCCTGTTTTTGTTTTCTCTATTTAGCAGTTAGTCTGCAAAATAGTTATTTTATGAAAGGACATCTGATTCTCAGAAGTGACTCTTTGAATCATAGCTTCTTGGTTCTTTCTTTTGGTAGTTTGTTAAATGTTTTCTTGGAGAATTGAAAGTCTAGCATTAATAGCATTGCCTTTTTGAAATCTGTAGGTGAGATATGAAGCTTTACAAACACTATGCTCAGCTCCGCCATCTGATGTCCTGAACTGTGAAAACTGGACCACTCTCTGTGAAAAACTGACTGCGTCACTGTCCGATCCAGATCCTATGTTCACCGTAAGGAGTCGGCCATGAATCCATCATTGGCATTACATTATTTTCCTTAGTAGTCAGCTGTGGAACTTCAGTTTAGGGTTTTAAATCATAAGAGAGACAGGAGGCAGGTAGCTATGGAAAACAGGATATCCAGATACATTTATCTGTTTTAAATCATACTCTTCTATCAGTGGAGATATTAAACTGGGGGGAATGATTTGGGAAACACTTTTGTTAGTTATAAAAAAAGAAAAAGAAGTTTGCCTAATACTTGGATGCAATTCAGAGTTACAAACCCTGGGAAGTAGTCTACACTTGTATAAAAACTTTGATATGAGGACTTCAAGGGGGGTGTAAAAGTGGTATTTTTAGGGTCACCTTTAGCATTTCAATGCTAAGAAGAAATACAATTGTCTGTTTTTTTTCTGTAATTTCCCCCCATTTCTGATGGGAGAGAATCATGTCTGAATATATTTTCTTTATTTTAAAGATGATAACTTTATAAGCAGGTTAGAAGTTTCTAATGGGCCATTGCAAGTTGCTTTAGTTAATGTGCATCACTGTGCAGCAAGGTTCAGCTCATTACTGGAGTTAACAAATCACACACAGTTTTATAAAGAAAACTGGAGATAGGATCAAATCATTTTGGACCAATATGTCATCCTTTATTTCATGTTTGTGCTGCATCTCCATCTCTAGCTACATCATTGCTCTTCTGTACCGCTGTTATGTACAGTTGACCGAAGCCTGTGACAGTACATTGCAGCAACTATAGACATGGACTTCAGACACTTCCCAGCCTTCGTGCAGTGGGGATGTCTTATGAGTTATTGGAAGATACCATTAATCATCTGGGGACCTATTTCCTGTGAATATATTAGCCTGGGTGATATAAACAACGATATTAATTTTGTTCCTGTAGCTTAGAAAATGTGAGGCAAAATTGTTTTTATTTAGTGGCAACTTATATTTCTCTAGTAGAATCATTCTTCTCACAGTATTTAGGTCTGAAAGAAAATGCAAGGACAGGCGCCATTTTAATGCTTACTAGTACCAGGCACATTTTAACTACTTTGAGTTCTCAGTCAGTTTATTTTGTGATATTTTCTCTGTGTTTTGATCATTAAAAATTAAAAATTTTAGGTAGTATTTTTTTTTTCTAGTGAGTAGGCACAGTTCCTAGAAAGACTCCCTAGTGTTTACTTAAGTTAAATAAAAAGAGAGAATTCCTGGACTTGGAAATGTGAGGTCTTGAGATGTAGTGTTGCCTGTGGGCCCACTGCTGGATGACACCACTGAATAAAAACTGTAGACCCTCCATGCAAGCCTCCAGCCGCATTACTCAGCACCTTTCCTGTGTTTTCTGCTCCCGTTACCGGCTATTACAGGATTTCACAAACATGCCTTTTGTGTCATCTGTTTTACTATTGGTTGTGGTTAATTATACTTTTGACTGAAGAAGAATATGCCTTTTAAAGTAGACATGCACTTTGTCTGGTTTTGCATAGTGTATTTTGTGTTTATTTTCTGTTTAAATGTGGAGTATTTCAACTGTGCTGCTGTGAGAACCCTAGGTGAGGATGCTCTGTCTCTTTTCTATAGGACCGGATTTTAAAGTTCTATGCACAGACTTTTACACTCTCACCGTTACACATGACTAAGGAAATTTATACAAGCCTGGGTATGTGTATTATATCACTTCAACTGTTTTTTTCTTATATGCACTTAAGAAGAATGCATAAAAAATGACTTTTTCCAGAAGCATTGGGTAGTATAATGTCTACGTATTTTCATCTTTGTTTTCAGCTAAATATCTGGAGTTATACTTCCTTTCTAGAGAAAATCACATTCCTACTCTTTCAGCTGGAGTAGACATAACCAGTCCTAATGTGATCCGCTTATTGAAAAAGGTATCCATTTATTACAATGTACAGTGTGTAAAGTAGATCTGTTATTTCAGAACTATACTATTTTGAGAGCTTTTGTACACTGCTTACAGGTTCGCCTTCTGAATGAGTATCAGAAAGAGGTGCCATCTTTTTGGATTCGTCACCCAGAGAAGTAAGTCCCTCAAGTCAGGCAATGTAAGGCGTGGGCTGTGCCCCTCAGGTATTTCAAAGGCAGAAGGAAACAGTGGCCTTCTGGGATTTATGTGGTTCAGTGTGCTGCTTAGGTTTTGCCAGCCCGAGGTAAAATAGAATCACCCAGGAAAGGAAGCCCTCAACTGAGGAATTGCCTTCATCACATTGGCCTATGGGGGCATTTTCTTAGCTGCACATTGACGCAGGAGGGCCTCCTGTGGACGGTGCCTTCTGTAGGTGCAGGGCCTGGGCTGTGTGAGGAAAGAGTTTGGTGAGAAAGAGGAAGCAGGCTTGAGGAGGCAAGCCAATACAGGGCCTCCATGGTTTCTGCCTGGGGCTCCCGCCTCAGGTTCCTTGATGATGGAGTATAATTTGTAAGCAAAAGCGGACCTTTTCCTCTTCAAGTTGCTTTTGGTCGTGGTGTTTATCACGGCAACATGGAAGTACACTAGGAAAGAAGGTATTAATATAGTTTTTCTTTGCTATTTGCATACTTAGCTGTGGAAATGGCTCCACCCAAATACTGCTTTTACGTCACCTACAACACTGTGAAACTGTGATGTTGAGGGCTTAGGTTCGTGGTGATGTTTGCTACTTTGGAGAAGTTTCTTAAAAAATTCTGATACGATTGTAAGAGCATCTGCGAGTCTAAAACTAAAAGTTAACATTTGGAGACTTGTGTGTTGAAGTAGAAAGAATTTAGGATTTTTAGAAGAGAAAAACTGCCTGTGGCTCTTAACCTCTGCCCTTTATAGAAAAAATACAAAAGAAATTCTAAAGACTACATCCTGCATTGTTATTCCAGAAGGGTAAGCACATCACTGGTCTCACACTCACTAACCATTGTTTGTTTATTTTATAAATGCCGTCTTCCCCGAACTCTAAGGTATATGGAGGAAATTGTGGAGAGTACGTTGTCCCTGTTGTCAGTCAAACATGATCAGAGCCATCTTGCTTCACAGAAGATTTTGGATCCCATCTATTTTTTTGCATTAGTTGATACTAAAGCTGTGTGGTTCAAAAAATGGATGGTAAGGAAAAATTGTTTTTTTTCTATCATTTTAGAGACTAGCCAGTTTTATGTGCTCGGTGTGTGCTGAGTTCGAATTGATTTTTCTGCGCATGTTAACGTCTTTAACCTGTACACAGATGGGTGTGGCCGAAGGTGGAGGTACCCTTTGGTGGCGCGGTGGGTATGAGATCTAAGGCATGGGGAGGATGTTTTCCTACTGAAAGTTAGGGTAAGATTTTAAGTGGTGATCCATTTGAGTCTCTATAAGATGAATGATCTGTCAAGGATCTTAATTTTAACCATTCTAAGCCTTCAAAACTTTTAAAGAGCCGTGATAGGACGTCAGGATTTAGGGTTCATTTTTCTTGGAGTTTAGAGCAGTGATTCTCAACCTTCCTAATGCTAAGACCCCTTAATACTCTTCCTCCTGCTGTGGTGACCCCCAGCCATCCAGTTATTCTTCCTGCTGCTCCATAACTGTAATTTTGCTATTGTTATGAGTCATAATGTAAGCATATGGTATGCAGGATATCTGATAAGTGGTTCCCAAAGGGGTGTCGACCCACACGAGAGGCTAATGCCTAGAATCAGTTTGCTTGCTGCTTCCCGCGCCTGCATTGGGGGATATGTTTAATGCCAGAATCTGGCAGTTTCCAGTGAAGCTTATGACCGCCCCAAACTGAAAGTCATGTTAAAGCAATCCTTATACTGTCACCTGTCAGCTAATGTGGAATAACAGAGCCCTTATCATGTAGCAGCAGCAGCAACACTGACTTGTGTGTTTATGTCTGTCTTTCTCACCCTGTCTACCCAGCGCTAGGTATTTGTCCTGCTGGAGCAGAGGGGACAGGGACTGTGTCACTCAGTATTCAGCAGAGCAGTTTGCCTACTGCCTAGCTGGCTGACTTTGTCTTTTGATGTTGGAAGCCTATGAAATATGTCTGTCCAGTTTATTAGAACCCAACTCTGTAGTGCTAGCCCTTACATGACCTATGTGTTTGATAGTCTTTTAAACTTATTATTATTAATTAAATCAATTTACTTAATTAGCCTAAATACCTTTTGTAGCCTACATCTGATACTTTTTCTTCATTTTCCCAAAGGTAAAACCAGCTTTATTGAAGACAATATGTAAAAAATGTAAAAGCACATTTAAAAAAAAAAAACCCTATATAACAACAAGGGATAACCATTAAGCCCTAGGTTTACATAGATCCATATTTACATGATATATTAATATGGTTAAGTTTTTGTCTTAAACAAAAATTAAGTTATATTCTGATAACTGTTTGTAAAGCTTTTTCACTTAACATTTTGATTTTTGATAAGTGAATAAGGGAGATCACAAAAAATTAAACACTAGAAAATCATTAAATTAATTACCTTATTTATGCTTATGAAAACAACAGAAATTTATTTCATCCCTTTGTCTAAGGTAAGGGTTGGAAGACATTTAATGCAAAGGGCCAGGCTTTGTGCACTGGACAGTTTTGGCAGCTTTTCAATCTAAATGATAACAGCCCCAGGGTGTTCTAATAAAACATTATTTACATAAATGCATAGTAGGTAGGTTTGGTTTCAGGGCTATCGTTTGCTGACCTTTCTGGTAAAGATATAGTAAGGTTTCTTTTTCAGAACTTTCTGTTTATAAAGCAGGTTGGTCCTGAACTCACTATGTACTTGAAATGGACTTGAACCCCCGATTCTCATGTCTCCATCTCCAAAGTGCTGGGCATTGTTCATGCCAGCCACTGTACTTGGAGGGACAGGATAATACTTAAGAAAGTTTCACTTATATATCACCAGCATATTTTCTTTAGTAAGACTGAGAAAGGTATTAATTTTTTTTTTTAAACATTATAAGCCAGAGGGCTAAATCACACAGGGTTTTGGTGAACTTCAAATAAAAGCACTGTCTAATTAATTAAAAATTCTACATCAGAATTCTGATGAAGTTTTCTAGTGATGTTTTAACTATTTTATTGTTTTTTAAATAAAATGATGGAACAAATGTAAATATTAAAGCTGTTTAGCTAAATGCTTATAATTTTAAACTAAAATACTTACAATTTTCCTTGTCTTCCTACAGTGTTATATATGTATGTGTTTTATTTCCATGTAATATTGGTCCTGAGGAAATAAAGCCATTTTGGGCATAGCCATTTATTTAAAAATAATACTGGTATAAAGTGGCAAATATGTCTTGTTGGAGTATCTCACCTTTGAAAATGTCTGTGCATGTAGTCAGTGTACGGTTAGTGGCATTGTGCATGTAGTCAGTGTGCAGTTAGTGGCCTTTTCCCCTCTCATTTACACTTTTCCCCACCTTGGGCCGTACACTGGTAGCTGGGCATACATATTAAAAAAAAAAAAACTAGTTTACCATTGAAGTTGGACATAAGTAATGGATTGTTGCCCTCATCTCTAATCTGTTACTAAATGGTGACAGGTTTTTTTTTTTTTTAATGTAATTTGCATTCTTGTGATTGCTATGGTTGAAGTTCATTGCACACAGGTGAAACCAGCTTGACATTGGTTATAATATTTTAAACCTAAGTTATGGTGTGGTTTATGATATTGAAAATGATGGAGGAAATGGATTTTAAATGGCGTACCCTTAATATTAAATGCTTTTCTCTTTAATTTTAGCATGCATATTACAGCAGAACTACGGTACTAAGACTGCTTGAAAAGAAATATAAATCTCTGGTAAGCACATGTCTGTTCTCATGCTGTGAAAGAATATCAGAAAAGAGATGTGGTATAGTGCCGTAAGTATGCAAAGTCGAGTGGTGGCGATTGACATTGGGTAATGTAGCGCTCGCTTTTAATATGACCTTAAACTCCTCATTTATGAAATGTAAAGAGATGAAAGTTGAGTCTTAAAGTACGATAAGGGAAACAGGAAATAGGCGAGTATGTGGCAAATTGGGCTGTCATAAATGATAGACTGTCTGGAGAGAAGCCATATTTGGAAGTATTAGCATGTAATTTGACTCAGGTTAGCTGTTAATCATGGAATTGCTTCTATGAAATACACTGATACACCACGTGAAAGTGGCATGGAAAAGCCCTGGGGAAGTGCTTTCGTGTTTGCAAAAATTGGTTTGATTTATACTAAATACAGCTGGGTACTATTAATGTCTTACCCAAAATATCCACGTTCATTGCTGTAGTGGAGCAATGTAAAAGGGGATGGAATGAAATGGAAAAGAACTCAGTGAAACTGGTAATAATTGGCAAACATGAAAACATGGAATTTCAAAGAGCATTTAAGAAGGTAACAAATATGGTTCATGCATTGAGGCAGAACCTGGAGTCTAGAGGCTATTTGAAGGCAGGATTCTTGAAATTGTGAATTTTTGGATTTGAGTAATGGAGCAAAAAGTGAACAAGGGAAAACTTGGTTTTGTGTTTGACGCAGAAACGTGGGAGGAGAAGGAGAGAGGAGCATTGGCCAATGGCGGGGCCTTTATTTGTTGAGATCAGTCATCCTAGAAAATGTGTAGAACAATTGACATAGATTTGTCTCTCTGTAATTTCCATTGAAAGGGAGATTTGTTGCCATAAATACATTTCTTGTAGGCAGGTCACCACTGTAAATCAAAGGGTTTGTAGCTAGCCTTGTGTTAGCCTCCTCCTCTGGTCATGGGTAGAATAGAATACCTTCCAGTAGTGCTATGAACACTAGTTGCTAGGATGAAGGCTCCAGGTCTTCTCCAGTTTGACTTCTCCATGTTCAGTGAGTTATATAGATATTTCTTTCATTCATTCATTCATTCATTCATTTATTTATTTTTAGTGATCCTTACCGTCAGTTTGTAGAGAGCAACCGCTAGTCTTGGCAATATCTTGGGTGGTTTGGGGTTTTTCATGGCGCTCCTTTGGCCAACGATTCTATTAGATGTAACCATCCCTGCCATCAGGAGTTTCACTTGGTGCTGAGAGATGTTTAGTAGCGGCTTTGTATCCCTTGATATGTGGTGATTCTATTTAGATTTCTTCTGTGTGTGTGTCTCTCTCTGTGTGAATATGTATGTTATATGTATGTATACCACATATACACATACATATACATCCACATATGTATATATGTATGTATGTATGCATGCATGCATGTATAATGTGCATTGGTGTTTTGCCTGCATATATGTCTGTGTGAGGGTGCCAGACCTCCTGGGGGCAGAATTACAGGCAATTAGCAGCTGTCATGTGGGTGGTGGGAATTGAACCCAGGTCCTCTGGAAGAGTAGCCAGTGTTCTTGACAGCTAAGCCATCTCTCTAGCACCATTATCTATGTATATATTTTAAGAAGTTTCTACCGTAGTCAGTATCCATACGATTCCCCCAAATGGCCTTAATTTTAGTTGTCCCTCCCTGTGCCTTCCCTTGGCCTCTATTCCCTCCCCCCCCTTTTTTTTTTAATGTGATCCTCCTTTTCCAGTCCCTGTTTTCCCCATCTTTCCATGGCTATTCTGTTTCCCTTTCCCAGGGAGACACCCCCCCCTCACCCCCCAGTGTCTTACTCTATGCTCTGTGCTTATATAGTTTGTAACCTTAACAGGTAATACAGATTGAAGACTTAATTAACATCCACATTTATGTGAATGCATACCATATTTGTATTTGGGGGTCTGGGTTACCTCATTCTGGATGATTTTTTTTTTCCTAGCTGTACCCATTTAGCCGTGAATTTCATGATTTCAAGCAACTCCTTTTAAATTACTCTAGGTGGTAGTCACATTTGTTGGGGGATGCGTGAGAGTGCCATAGAGAAGTGACAAAAGCAGCAGTAAGAGCCTGGGCAGTCAGACAGAAGCAGGTGATGGAAGTATGACTTGAAACTGTGACGGATAATTTGTATAAGATGATTCGGGAATGTCGTGTTTTGGAGGTGGGATCTGGAGACTGGCTTTTGAATGGGCATTGGTGAAGCCTTGGATAAAGGAATGATTAATGAATGCCTTTAGCCAAGGTAAGTAACCTGGTAGGAGAACATTTTTTTTTTTTTTTTGGGAAAGATGATGATGCTTGGATGTAATGAGTTTAAAATGCAGACCTTGCCAGGCATAGATCTGGACCTCTGAAGTTTGGTTCAGGCAAGATGGACGTGGAAACAGATTCTTAAGAAACCTGTGGATTTGATGATTTTCTGGGCACATTCTCAAAACCTAGCAGGTATGCTTCCAGTTGCCAGGTATTGAAAGGAAAGGGAGCAACATAAAAATGAAATGTTCAGATATCTAACAAAAGGGTAGTTTTTCCCTGTCTTCTCCCCATTGGGTCCCCACAGGTCAGCTTATGCTTTCTCTGTACCTTTGTTTGCATTTCCCACCTAGTTATACTCTGCCTGGCCACTGGCCAGAGCAGGTTTACCCGTCAGCCAGTGAAAGCATCACATATTCGCAGCACACAGAAGGACATCACACATCAACTGGGTACCTCTGCATTCCCAGTTCTTACCTGTTATTATACCTCCCCCGCCCACAATTAAGACTGATCTCCAACAGTTTTGTATCACCTCAGCCAACTCTCACCGGCTCCCATCTTACCAAGGGCATCCATTTTGTTCAGAAATTAGAATTAAAAGTCACCTATAAGTAGTGTGTCTGTGGGGCAGGAGTTAAGGGCATTTGTTGCTCCTGCAGAGGACCCAGGATCGCTTCCCAGCACCCATGTGGCGGCTCACAACCACCTATACCTCCATTGTAACCCCTCTTCTGACATGTCAGGCAGCTGCATGCACAGAAACACACACAGGCACATATACATAAGTAATATAGATACATAAAATTTAAGAAGCACCATGTCTGCTATGAAGGAGGTTGGAAATTTCTGCCACGGAGAATGGAGCTATGATCATCGAGACCTTCAGGGACAACAGGATTGGACATCATTTTTTAATTGCATCTTTGTTCTTAGAAATCTGAATGTTTTACATTAGTTTTTCGCAATTCTGATATTTGAGGTGGAAACAAATGCTAGGTAATAGTTGGTATTTTGCTGGGTGGCTGAGAAGAAAAACCTGTAAAGTCTGGGCGTGAGAAGAGACTTTTCTATTACTGGGCTCAGCCTGGTTCTGTAAAGATATACACACATCTAAAATAAGAAGGTATCTTGTTGCTGTAGTTATTTTATTATTTAAAACATTAACGCTGCTTACCTGCATGTGTCAGTGCACCATGTACCATGTGTGTGCCTGCCTGCTGCCTGCAGAGCCACCATGTGGGTGCTGGAAATCGAACTTGTTCTGTAAGAGCAAGTGCTATTAATCACTGAACCGTTTATCCAGTACCTGTACTTTAAATTTTAATACTTATTGGAGGAGTTTTCTCGATTTGTATTTTCTTAAATTACTTTTTAAAATCAGCATGCTCAATGATAGGATCTCACATAGTATTTCATGCGTACACATCATTGGACGTTTTAATAGCCTTGATTAATTTTTGCATTTTTGGACACAGTGGCTCTGTATTTCTGAAACCGATCAGTTATTATTACTATTTGTTTACTCAGATAACTACAGCAGTTCATCAGTGTGTTCAGTACCTGGAGCTGTGTGAGGCTGTGAAAGCTGATGGAATTTTGGGACACTCAAAGCATTGTGGTAAGTATTGTTTTCTTTATCTTGGATACTAAAATGGCTCACTTTATTACTGAAAACAGGTCAATAATGGCTTAAATTTCTTAAAAGTCTTATTTTTATAAGTCTGGTATTCATTGTACATGGTAGTATATTACTTTTAATATATGTGGTGAGCACACTTCACCCCATCATACCCTTCTACTTTCTCCTTACTTTCCATCCCCAGTCTCCTTTATTCTCCTAGACAGTCTGGACTCTGCTTTGATATCGTGTGTGTGTGTGTGTGTGTGTGTGTGTGTGTGTGTGTGTGTGTGTGTATTTGTATATACATGATTTAGAAGTAATGTGCAGATATATAATTTTATGTCTTTGAAATGTAGGAACTAAAAACAAGAGAAAAATGCATTTGTCTAAGACTGGCTTAATTTCTTAATCTCTAGTTGAACCCATTTTCCTGAAATTACATAACTTCCTTTTTCTTTGTGTCTGAAAACACTCTTCATTTAACCCCCCCCCCACACACAGACACTCAAATATATATGTCAATACATGGTTCCCTTGTTGTTAGACAGCTTGGTTGGCACCATGAGCTGGGATGTCTGGTCTGGAGTTCCACTGCCTGATTCAGTCCTTGTTCTGTGGTGCTTTGGCCTTGTTTGTTTAGCTAAGCATTTCCTTCTTGTGGTCATATTCCACTGCTTGGAATATGTATTATTCCACTCTATGTATTATGTATTAGAAGTCTGTAATTTTTGAGACAGAAGTCACAGAGATCTGTTTGTCTCTGCCTCTAGAATCCTGTGATCAAAGGTGTGTGTGTGTGTGTGTGTGTGTGTGTGTGTGTGTGTGTGTGTGTGTGTTTCCTTTTAATTTTACGGAGTTTGAACCAAAGAATTTTCTTTGAGTTGAAGAGCCCTTGATTTTTTTTTAAACAATGCTGAAATTATTAATGACTGTAGGTTTTTTTTAAATTGCACTGAATATTGGGTGTGTTTTGTGTTCTGAGGTGGCAGCAAGGCTCTGTGGGGCAGGTGGCGAACCCCGAGACTCACGTGTTTTAAGACTTAGTCCCCATCTGCTGGTGCTGTTTTTAAAGTTTGTGGAGGCTGTGAGAAACACTACACTGACTGGAGGGTTAGGTGGCCAGGGGTGAGGGCTGTATCTGGGTCTTGGTTCTGACCAGAGCACCTTCTACTTTCTGATTGAGATGTGAGGAGCCCTAGACTGCACCCTGTCAAACTGTGAGTTAACATAAACTCTGCCTCGTTGAGTTGCTTCTGTCAGATCTATCACAGTGATGAGGACGGTGACTAGTACAGATGCTTCTTTGTCTGATGCCCCCAGCAGTTGTTAATCCTTGCCAGTATCATCAGCTTCTTTTCCTTCTTCTTGCCTACTTTTGTCTCAAGAGTCCTCACTAAGGAAATGAAGAAAACATATATATGAACACTCCAGATATCCTGTGTCGGTGTGTACAGATGCCATGTTAACATGCCTATGCCGATACTCATTTTCTCCAGCCTGTAATACAGAGGTGTCTCAGTTGAATTTCAATTGGTGTGATAAAACACCAGGGGTATCAGCAACCTGGGGAGGAAAGGGTTTATTCCACATCACAGTTCATTGTCGGGGCATGAACTCACTGCAGGATCCTTGGAGCAGGAGCTAAAGCTGAGGCCATAGAAGAATGCTGCTCCCTGGCTTTCTGCTTGTGACCACCCAGTCTGCTTTGTTATAAACCCCAGAACTGCCTGCCCAGGGTGGTGCCACTCACAGTAGGCTGGGACCGCCCACAGCAGTCAGGAAAATGCCCCACAGGCTTGCCTTACAGGGAAGCATTTTCTCAATCACAGTGCCCCCTCTCAGGTCTCTCTAACTTGTGTCCAGTTGATTAAAAAAAAAACAAGCAAACAAACTCATCAGGACGAGTGTTGTGTTTTAGATTAAAACCAAAGCCAAAGCCAAGCCGGTCTTGTGCTGCATGTGTGGATGACCTCTCTGCTTGCCGTCTAACCTGCATGGGCTCTAATAGAAGTGTTCTGTTTATTTCAGGTTCCAGCTCTTCATTTGATGTCTATTTTCCCACACACAGATGAGGCGTCCTCCTTTAGTACGACATGCCCCCCCCATTACCAATTCTCTGCTTACCGCCCCCCTCCCCATTTCACAGATTAAACCTCTGTGATTCTTCGCTTGCTCCTCCTCATGTGACAGGCTGTTCCTGTTCACCGTGATGTGCTTCTCTTTTCTTTATTCATTCTGGGAAACTTTGCCTATTGCTCCCCTGACGCCCCCCCCCACACTCTGCTTGTTCTTATGGGAGAGTCCATTGACTTTCACGTTTTAGGTATTATGTATTTTTATGTAATGTAAATGTTAACTGAAATCTTCAAGTGCACATAGTTTTCTTGAATTCCGCACTGTATCTTACTTAATGTCACTGCTGGGATGTTCCATTGGCACTTGTGAAGCTATAATGCCAAAAACCCAAATTACTCTTTCTTCTCTCTAGACCCATTGTTTTCTTTATTGGAATTACTTAAAAATATAAGAAGAAACTTAACACAAAGCTAACAACTTTTATTATTCTTGTGACATCATTGTATAATTACTGCTAAGTTGTATTGATTTAATTTTCTTAAACATGTATTCTTATGTTTCCTCTTTATTTTGCTAATGCCTTTGTTTATATACTTTTTAAATGATTTATTTTAATGTTTTTGTTATGTGCAATGCATCCGAATGTGTTTTATGGGGGTATGTGCATGTGAATGCAGTTGCCTGTGGAGGCCAGAAGAGGGCATCTGACCCTGTGGTCCTGGGGTACAGGCAGTTGTATGTCTCCTAACATGGGTGCTGGCAACTGAACTTGGGGCCTCGGTAAGAATAATACGTGACCTTAACCACTGAGTCATTTCTTTAGCCCCTAGTTCATAATTTTGAAGTGGAGTCTCTTCAGATTTTGACCCTGTTTCATCAACTTTCTGTACTGCCGCCGAAGTCCATTCCTGACAATCCATGCTTGATTGCATCTGTCTTCCTAAAATTCGCCTAATATCTTCCTCCTGGCGTCTGTCGCTTCTGTGCCTCATTCCTCCATGAGCTATTACTTTTACCCTCATAGCTCTCCCCCTTGTCTCCTGGTGCTCCAATTATACCATGCTGTTAGCGAACCCTGAACGGAAAACCAGGTTTCATGCTACCGAAGTAGTTTTCAAGGTGTGTGTCTGCGTGTCTGTGTACATGTACACATGTTTATTGACTTGGTGTGGGTGTCCATGTGTGAGGATGATGTGCATCTGGAGATCAGATGTCAGCTTCATGTGTCATTTGTGGGGGACTACCTGCCCCTCTTATGTCCGGAACTCTCGCTAGCCTGAGTCTTGCTGAACAGGCTAAACTGAAAGGCCCAGGAGCCTCAGGAGCATACAGTTTTCACTTTCCCTGTGCTGGGATTATAAGCATGTGCCACATGCTTTTTGTTGTTGTTTGTTTTTAATGTAGTCTGGGGGATGAAATTCAGTTCCTTGTTCTTTCAAGGTAATCAGTCATTGACTTAGCTATTTCCCTAGTCCTTCTGAATAGTTCTAAATACTAGTGAATAGATTAGGATCCTGTAAGATTAATACTCAATACCTTGAATATATGGGTGATGGATAAATGAATGGAGAATATATATTGGATGATGCGTATTTTAGAGATTCTAATTTTAATTGCAATTTTATTTAATTTTAATTGTAATCAGTATAACCTACTGTATGTAGTACAAGCTGAATAGCCCTTATTAAATGCTTGGGACCACAATGCTAAATGCATTTTAGTGTTTACTCAATATTGGGATATTTCCATAGACTTTATCTGTGTTGCCCTTTTATGTGGTTTCTCGAGTTTTATTTCTGTAGCTGAGATGGAAAGCAGCAGATGAGAAGAAAGTTTATTTGTCTGACAAGGCCAGGCTACAGTCCATTATTATGGGGGACACAAGACAGGGACTTAAAACATCACATCCACAGTTAATAACAGAGAGAATAAAAACAGGTCTGTGCTCACTTGCTCTCCGGTGGCTCTTTTCTATTGTTCTGGACCCCTGCCTAGAGAATCCTGCCACCTACTATGGCCTGGGTCTTTGTTTATCAATTAACAATCCAAATGATTTCCCAAGGACATGCCCACAAGCCAACCTGATCTAGATATTTCTCATTAAGACTCTCTGCCTAAGGGTTTCTAGGTTGTATTGACAGTTAAGATCAGAACAGTGGTAAAAATTAAGTCATTTTTTTTATTGACTTCTCTTTTCCCCTTATTTTTGACATCTGTCTTTGGTGATGAGTAATTTTGGCAGTATGGCGATAGTTTTAGATTGAAAATGGGCAATAGTGGTTACCAATTTTATAATGATTGCTCCCTTCAGATCTACTGTAAAAGGTTATTGGAAACATTAAGGAAAATTCATATGAAAAGTTTATAACAACAGTTTGTCCAATGTAGATGATATCATGTTTGATTGTCTGGAGGGGTTGAAGACAAGTATTATGAAATATAATGTTATTAAAATAGATGATCTTTTTTTTCTTCTCTTTTAAGGAAACAAGCAAAAAAATTTCTACTACTCAGGACAAGAGCTGCAATATATTTATTTTATTCACTCACTGTGCCTTTTAGGAAGATTGGTGATCTATACACAAGGCAGAAAATTATTTCCCATAAAGCTGAAGAATAGAAAAGGTAAGTGTAATTAGGATGAATGAGTAGGTAAATTTACAGCACATAGATTCCTATTCATAAATTTGGCTTAGTATTTGTCATAGTCACTATTCTATTGCTGTGAAGGGACACTGACCACAGCAACTCTTATATAAGAAAGCATTTAATTGGGAATTGCTATACTTTTAGAGTTAGTTCATTATCATCATGGCCGGGAGCATGGTGGCATACAAGCAGACATCACGCTTGGAGAAGCATCCAGATAGGCAGCAGGAAGAGAGAGACACTGAACTTGGATCGGCTTTTTAGACCTCAAAACCCATCCCTGGTGACACACTTCCTCCAACAAGGCCACACCCATTCCAACATGGCACGCCTCCTGATCTTTCTCAAATAGTGCCGTTCATTCCATGATGACTAAGCATTCAAGTCTATGAGGCTATGGGACCATGCTATTCAAACCACCACAGTATTTCTTGGCACCATATTAGATTGCTCTTCATTGCTGTGATAAAATACTGCGATCAAAAGCAACTTGAGGGGGAGAGGCTTTGTTTCATCTTACAACCGTGAGAGGAAGTCTGGGAAGGAATTCAGTACAGAAACCTGGAGAATTCAGTAATGAAACCTGAAGCAGAGGCTGTCAAGGAGTGCTACTCAGTGGCTTTTGGCCGGATGGCTTGCTCAGCCTGCTTCCTTATACACCCCAGGACTAGTTCCCCAGGGGTGGCACCACCCACAATGGGCTGTGACCCCTCCCATCAATCATCAAGTAATAAAATGTGCACCTGGCTTTTGTATAGGCAATCTGGTAGAGGCTCCCAGAAGGTTCTAGCTTGTAGTAAGCTTACAGAAGACACTCACCTGCATAGGCACTTAGCTGTATACTTTTTAGTCATATGTACTGTTGAGAGTTTTTCTTTCTGTATTTTTTTTTCAGTTTCAGTATATGTTTATTACTGTATATGTATTTAATTATTTTCTTATTTCTCTTTTCAAAACCCTAGACTAGATATACTTGGTAATTCAATTCTGCATGTGAAACTAGGAGAATTTTGAAAATTCTGGCTAGCCTACAGATTGTGATCTTTTGGGGAAGCTACTCGCCCTGTGTTGCTGTTTTTCAGCTTGTAGTCAATGATGATGAAATTTTGTGATCCCAGGATGTGGATGTGCTCTATAGTTTTTTTTTTTTTTTTCTCTTTCTCTTTTTCCTTACTCTTCTGCCCGCCCTCTGCCCCCCAATCAACTTGACACAAGCTACAGTCATCTGAGAGGAAGGAACCTCAGCTGAGCCAGTGCCTGCATAAGATCAGGCTATACGGCCTGTAGGGCATTTTCTTAATTAGCGATGGGGCCACTCCTGGCCTGGTGGTCCTGGCTTCTCTAAGAAAGCAGGCTGAGCAAGCCAAGAGAGCAGTAAACAGCCCTCCTCCATGCCTTCTGCATCAGCTCCTGCCTCCAGGTTGCTGCCCTGAGTTCCTGCCATGCTTGCCTCAATTTTGGACTTAGAAACTTTAAAATGAAATAAACCCTTTCCTCCCCAAGTTGCTTTTCGTCATGGTGTTTTATCACAGCAACAGAAAACCAGACTGAGCCAGACATTGGTACTAGGTTGTGGAGTGTTGCTGTGACAGGTGGGGTCATATTGTTTGCAGGAGGATTGTGGACCGACTTTGGAACTTTGGGCTTGAAAGGCCATTGAGTGTTCAGAGCTCTGTGGACTCCTCTATGGGCGTTGAGATGTTAAGAATGTTGAGAACAGATAATGGAGGCCTGGCTTGTAAAGTTTCAGAGGGATGTGGCAGAGCCCCTTAATGAGTCTGCTGGGGCATTTTAAGTGATAGTTTGAATTAAGGATCATTAAAGAGAAACCTAGGACTGAAGAATCAGCTGTGCTTAGAAGAGAGCAGTATCAGCAAGGCAAAATCTTCTGGGGGATTGTTTCCTCAGGTCAGCACACAGAGGCTGTGGTCCAGGGGTGGCCAATGCTGCTCCTTGTGCTGGCAGCTGAACTTGGTAACGAGGAAGAGTCAACTGGGTACTCCTGGTCATGGAGAGCAAGCAAGGCTTGGCATGTGAGAGTCTAGGAGAAGCCATTGGTGAAGAAGCTAATTATAATAGAAGCCCTAAGATGCAGGGTATCATGGAGAGAAGTTGAGGGTATCTCCATGTGACAGGGTCAGAGTCCCTAAAGGGAGCTTAGGAGAAGCCATGATGAAGGTGTAGCCCAGTTGCAGGAGAGACTAGAACCCATGGAGCTACCACCACCTAGGACAGCAGCAGCTGTGGACTGAGCCACTCGGAGCCTCCTGGACAAGCTGCTTGTGACAAGCTTGACAGAGATGGCCAAATGGAGCCGTTTGGAGTCAAAGGATTGTGGCTGGGCCCCCTACATCAAACACCGAACCTTTCACACTGCTGAAAGTTTGTTGTGCTTTGATTTGATTGGCACTGTGTCCTGAGTCTCCCATCTTAAGGAAGTATGAAATTTATATTTTATTTTATAGGTGTTATGATAAAGTACTAGGGGAAACTTGGCGGATTCCATGGCAGGTGAGGGTGACCCAGGTGGGGGACAAGCTTGCCAGGCAGACAGAGCTTAAGTGAGAAGTTTTATTAGGAAGGGAAGGGGGGAGGAAAGAGGTGAAGAGTCTCAGAGACAGAGAGAAGACAAGCGAAGAGGGAGACAGGAAAAGTCCCATCTGCCCCAGGGGAACAGCGGGAAAGAGATTGTAAGTGGGCCAGGGTCCTTTGAACCTACATCAATGCATTCTGCCAGGGGACAGCTTGGGAATTTTTGATTTAGTTCGGTTTTCTGTTGCTGTGATAAAACACCATGACCAGAAGTAACTTGGGGAGAAAAGGGTTTATTTCATTTTAAAGCTTCTAAGTCTATCACTGAGGAAAACATGGATGGAACTCAGGGCAGCAACCTGCAGGCAGGAGCTGATGCAGAGGCCATGGAGGGGCGCTGCTTACTGGCTTGCTCTCATGGCTTGCTCAGCCTGCTTTCTTATGGAACTCAGGATCACCAGCTCAGGGATGGCCCCACCCACACTGGGTTGGGCCCTCCTGTGTTTTTATCACTAATTAAGAAAATGTCTTACAGTCTTGTCTGCAGCCTGATCTTATAAAGGCTGTTTTCTCAGCTGAGGCTCTGTCCTCTCAAATGATTTTCTAGCTTGTGTCAAGTTGACACAAAATGGCCCAGCACACAAGATGGTGTGGAGGAGAGTATCATATCATATATTATTATATTATTTTTATTCTGTCTCATTTAATTTAGCAAATTGAGATCAGTTATCATTGTTAATTCTAAGATTTTCTATCTGTAGTAGGAACACAGTTGTTGAACAGAGTTCAACAAACCTGAAAAGTGACAGTAAATAATCTGGCCTTGGTGGATAATATGGTATGTCTGGTTGTTCAAGAAAGTTCGTGTAGCATGCCTGAAGCTGCTTTCCTTAGAGTAGCCTGTTTGCAAGCTTGACTCTTAGTTGGCATATGGGAAGTTGGACTCTTTCTAATCCCAGTGCTGATGAGGATGCTTAAATTGTTTGTACACTACCCCGTGTGCTTAAACTCTTTGTACAGCATTGCTTTTTATGCTGAACACCAGGTTTGCTTTTGGAAGTTTAAAATGTTGACATGTACTGGCAGAGGGTATGTATTTCCTCCCCCCTGCCCCACCAATAAGAACCTTGAGCGCTGCATCCCTAGATTCCTAGTGAGTTTTTCTGGAGGGATTGAACACATTCTGCCTGACTCCTCTGGGAGAGGCCCTCACAAGCTTGTGCCTGGTTTGCTCTTAATTTCGTCTCCAGTAAACTTTCTTTTTGATTTTGCTTTGCATAGTTTTATTATAATGTGTCATGTGAACATGATTGTATGGGGCCTATGGGTCTAACAACTCAATCAAATCTGAACGTGGTTTTTGGGACCCCTGACACGTTTTAATAACAGAAAATCCATTCTTAGCTTGTTAGCCTTACAGAATCTGGTCATATGAGCTCTAGTTTATTGATGTTGTTACAGTCTATTTGTCATGAAACCTCTTGTCCAGTTGTTTTATTTGCCCTAATCTATTTGAGCTCCCCGAGAACCGACAGGGCACTATGTACTTCTCGAACAGTGTTCAAGGCTATGCCGGATAGTTTAAAACAGTGTGGGGACAGCATGAGCTCTTCAATTACAGAAGAAGTATTTCATATGATATTGCTGGCTTTTACAGAACTCGAAAGACTAGTGACTATCCTTGATATTTTTGCAGGTATTCGGCTTAACTTTACATGCTTCTCATCTATAATAAATTTAGCATTTTATGTTCTTATGTTTTTGGTTTTGAGTCTAGCCTTCAACAGCTGAGCCATCTCTCCAGCCCTACATTTTATGTTCTTTATAATGATTATATTTTGCTCTATCAAGAATCACAGTTCATTTCAAAACTGAATTTGAGAATAACAGAGACCAGCAATCAACTTTAAATTACATAGTTTTTCTCAGAATGTTTTAATGAAAGCTTCTATAGCAAGTCTTGGTAAACTATAGCCTGTGGGCTAAACCTGGCCTTCCATCTGCTCTGCATGCTTGTGAGCTAGGCATGTCTTTTAACTACTAAAAAATAGACTATTTTGTGGCATGTGGAAAATATGAATTCTCAGTACTCATGGCTTACACTAATTGTTTATTTGTTGATTGTATATGGCTGCCTCATGCTACAGTAGCCAACTTGAATGCTTGTGATGAGATGATTTAGACACAAAGCTGAAGTTGCTGTATCTTTCATGGGAAAAAAAATTGCTGACCTTGTTTTACTGTGCTAAAAAAGTTAGCTGAACCAACATGTTAAGCTGAATTTTACTTATCATAGTTGAATTAATTTAAATAGCCAATGGTGAGACTCATGCATCTGTCGTGGATTTCAGTGATCAGCTCAGAACAGATGTCAGAGCTGTGCTTTAGCATAGCAAGGCAGTGGGGTAAGCGCTGCCTTCTGACTGCCTTCTTTTCTGGGGTTAGGGTTTTGGATCGTAGATTTCTTCTGCCTGGGTTTACATAGGAACTGTGATGCAGTCTTTCAGGTGAGTGGAATGTAGGTGACTGTTATTTAGGTTGTAAGCATATTACAAATTACTTTTGTTTTCTTCTTTTGTAAAGATTCAGTGTCTCTCACAAATCTGCTGGTTTTGTTTACTCAACTCATCTATCATTCACCAAGTTGTCCAAAGATGACATCAGTTGCATATTCAGGTAAAATGCCCCCCTCCCTAAATTGATTGGTTGATTGATTAATTGCTGTACTAGAAATGATGCATCTCTTTTAAATGGAGGAAAACGAACAATCAAAACATTTGAAAGTTCTCTTTGAGTTACTTACCAATTTTGGTAAATAGGTTTATTAAGACTCTGTGTACTTGTAAGACATTGCATTGGTTCTGAAGTAAGCCATGAAATTTAATTTTGTTCATAGATATCTTAAGACATTTCTAATTTATTAATGTTTTAATTTAGATTTGGTTTTGCTGAGAATTGTAATGTTTTCTTAATATCAAGATTCTCAAGTGTTATAAAAAGAAATTGTATTGATAGGTGTGTTCCCATTTTGTTATTTTCTGCCTTTTGTGCTTTCATGGTGTTTTGTTCAGCTGGTTTGTTTTCGCTGGTTTTAGTTAGGGTTGCTATTTCAGTGATGAAACACCATGGCCAAAGCAATTTGGGGAGGGAAGGGTTTGTTTGGCTTATACTTCTGTATCACTGTTCATCATCAAAGGAAGTCTGTAAGGAGTTAGGTTTTCCCCTGCCGCCCTGGATCCACCGCGGCAGCAGCCCCAATTAACACACAGAGACTCTGTATTAGGTATGATGCTGTTGGCCAGGTACTAGTTTCTTATCGGCTAGCTCTGTCTACAGTATTAATCCATTTCTATTAATCTAATTATTTCCACGTGGTCTCATCTTACCAGAGAGAGAGAGGCCTCTGGCGTTCTGCTCTCTCTGTCTCTCCATCTTGACTCCTCCTTACTACTTCCTCTTTCATCCTTGTCTCCTAGTCCCGCCTATCTTCCTTTACTATTGGCCAACAGTGCTTTATTCATTAACCAGTATGAGAAACATATATACATAATGGCATCTCCCATCAGAAGTCAGGACAGGAATTCAAACAGGGCAGCGACCTGGAGGCAGGAGGTTGGAGGCCTTGGAGGGGTGCTGCCTACAGGCTTGCTCAACCTACTTTCTTATAGAACCCAGGACCACTTGCCCAGTGGTAACCCTCCTCTCAACTAACTCTAGCTTGTATCAAGTTGACATAAAGCCAGTCAGCACAATTGACCCCATGTCTGCTTAACACACATAGCTATCACCTCTCCTTCCTCATTCATCCCCAAGATCTCAATATATTAGGAATATCACGATATATAATATTCCAAGTTTTAAAAGTACCAGAGTCTTTAAAAATTCAGATACTTAAAAATTCCCTTCCCTCAACAGCTGCAGTGCTTGGGAGAGTAGCCCCTCCACATTGCCTGGGCAACACAGTAGAGGTAGCCCTAAAGGTGTGGGCATGGGGGAACTAACCCTGAGGATGTGAAGACAGGAAACTGGCCCGCCTCTTGCTCATGGCTCCAAGGGTGAACTGCCAGGGCAGTGCTGGAGAGCTCACTCTGGTGGTGGTGGTAGTGGGGATGGTTTGGGGAGATTGCAGGGAGGAACTGGTGGGCTGAGCAACCTTGCTCACCCCAACATCCACCCCACCCACGATCTGCTGGAGCATATGAGATAGTGTTGTCCTACAGGCCCTAAGCTGCAGGATCTCCCTGACCCAGGGCAACAGCAGAATATCCTAGAGGAGTCCCATTGAGAGTGCAACGTCTGTAGTGTAGCAGAAACCAGGGGCCTTGAATCAGACCAGTGACCCTTTGCAGTGAACATTTGCACATAAAGATATATGGATAGAAGGGTTTACTGCGTGGCTCGCTACCTCACACTGCTGCTTCCATGATGAGATTTCTTTTCCCCCTTATCTCCTTCTTTTCTCTTAAATTTTATTTTATTTTACTTCAGGGGGGTGTTGCAGGGGCAGGAGGGTGTTACAAAGGGATGGGAAATGAATGGGATTGAGATGTATGATGTGAAAGACACAAAGAATGACTAAAAGAAAGTTAAAACATTTCAAAAATTCAAACTCTTTAAAATAGTGAATGTCTTTTAAAACCCAACTCTGGGGTCCTTTCAAACCAAAAATAAATGAAATACTTTCTTACTTCATGAGATGAGGGAAGAACTAGGTGCAATTACATGGTTCCAATCTAAATTTGTTACTTCCAGAATTTTCTTTTGTTAAGTGTAAAAGGGAGGGGGGGGGAATAAGCATGTTTTAGTGTAAATTTCTGTTTGTCCTTATGTATGTTGACCAGCTTGTAAAAATGGTCAAATTATTACCATTTAAAATAACTCCTACTTCTTTGTATATCAGTAAAAATCTCCAAAGTGAAACACAATATCACAAATAAAATCTAGACCATATTCTTCTAAAATTGGGAAATAGCTTGGAAATGCTAAAACAAATTCTGAGAGGAACTGGAGTAATTAAGAGAAAAAAATGAGTTGGGCTACATATTAGTCAGAGAATATCTCTATCAGCCAGTATATATTTTCTGTGTGGTTATCATAGTTTACTGCTCCCAACTGGGTTCCAGGACTCTCTCTGTGTCTACAGCATTTACACAAACAGTGTACTAGTGTAAGAGCCCTGTTGTATGCCTCTACAGCATCACTTATAATCAAAATCATCTATGATCTTTACTTGCTAAAAACAATCAGTATTTTGGCTTACTGTCTGTCTGGTCGACTGTCTTTCTTCTCAGACTGCAATGCTTGGGGCATTGTTCAGTAGGCATTTTCTTGATCATGTGAATAGCTATGTGCTCTTTGATAATGTTTGTCATTGGAAAGAGGGTTTCTCATTTGGAACTGATTTTTGAAAAAATCACTAAATCCTTTTTTGTCAGGTATGAACTTAGCATGCTTATGGAATGAAGACTACTGTAACATGAATTAAAAACTTGTTAGTTTTACTCTGTCTTTCTAAGGCACTCATATCACATTCATGTGAGGAGGTTAGATTGACCCTCTAATATTAAAACATTGCATTTATTTCGGTGGCCAGTCCAACCATGTCACACTTTAGGCTTTCTAGCTCAGGTTTCCAAGGATGATCTGAGGAACACCCTGTTTCCCCTGCCTTCTGGAATAGCACCTTCTGGAAATGTCAGTTTTGTGTGTCTTCTTTCTACTCATATTTTATCTAAATGCTTCATGTAATTATCTATTAAGCTCATATACCCAAATGCATTAAGAAAATGAACAAAAGTGAATATAATGAACTTGTTTTCTTGGAAGTAAAGAGTTGAGTTTTCTTTCAACCATACCTTCAGTATTAACGTATCATTTGGTGTCTAGCTGAAAAATGTTATATTGTCTATTGTCTTTTTTTTTTTTTTTTTTTTTTTTGTATTAGCCTGAAGAGATAGTAAGCTGATTGAGATAATAAGTTTCAGGCTCTAATTGTCATCTTCTGGGCTTTCCATGTGTGATTTTAGGTCAACTGGATTCCCTGTGAAATGGTAGATCATGCACAGAGAAAAGCAGTTCTTGGTAGTGTTTTGACTTTCACCTTTCTGTTTCTTAGAGAATTTTTCTCCTGCAAGTATGGTGACTGACATCCTGCGGATCCTCTGCGACCAGAAAGAGTGTGCTGTTGAATGCTTATACAACAGCACGGTGACAGAGACACTTCTCCAGCCCATTCACAACTTGATGAAAGGAACTGAGGTGGGTGTCACTAAAGAGTAAAGGACCTCCTCAATGGCTAGTGTAGGTCCATACTCAGTACACCTTTATTTCTGACAAGGTTGATATGTTTTCTTACAGATAGTTCTTACATGAGTTGTTTTGCTCATATGGATCCTTATTAAATCATAGTTTATGCAGTTATTTGATATATTAGTTATGATGGGAGGCAGGAATACACACACATACTACATCTTATTTTAGTTTCTATTCAAACTTAGATTTGGTGATGTGAAAAACTTAGGAAAAATTTATTCTATTAAGAAGCTATTTGTCTTGTGAATGTAATAAATCTTGTGAATGTCTCATGTATTTTAATGACAGTTTTATAGCTTTTGGAAATATGATTATTTTCCTGAAGAGCCAACTCTGCAAAGTAGGACGAACTAGTGTGAGAAAGAAGGCATGTGCAGTCTAAGAGCTGAACAGCTGCACTGTCTTCCTAGTTCACACTGTGTGCTCTTAGAGCTGAATAGCCATGCTGTCTTCCTAGTTCACACTGTGCGCTCTCAGAGCTGAACAGCCATGCTGTCTTCCCAGTTCACACTGTGTGTTTCCTTGTGCTAGAGAATTTCACCAAAGAGGCTGACGGAAGAGATCTGTCAATGCTAGACACCCAACACTGATGGAGTTGGTTTTCGCTGCACCAGGATGGCTGTGTGTCCAACATAGCTCTACACTTCTTTGACTTAAACTTCTTGTCAGTGACTTTAGAGTACACAAGAAGGTTCATGTCTGTTATCTACTTTGGAGCATCTTTACTTCTCTCTTTGCCCTCCTGGGCCACACTTCATTGGGTTATAAAATACTTCATTGATTGTTGCTTGCTGTATAAATGTCACCGTTTTTAACTTTGCATTTACCAAGTTGTCTGTGTACATATACAGTTTACATTTTCTAAACAAAGTTATGGTATGCTCACTCTTTTTTCAAGTCCCAGCTCAGGGGCAGTCCATCATGGTAGGGACATAGGAGCTTTAAGGAGCTGTTCATATTATATCCATAGTTAAGAAACTGAGACTAATACATGCTGCTGCTCAGCAACCTTTCTACATTTCCTCAGTCCAGGATCCAAACCAGGGAATGGTACCACCCACAGTGGACAGATCAGCACATCAGCTAATGCAGTCATGATTATCACTACAGATGTCCAGAGGCCTGGTGCTTCTCTGTTCTTTCAGGTTGGCTGTTATCACACACACACACACACACACACACACACACACACACAGTACGTATGTGTGTGAGGTATAGACACATATGTGTGAAGATTTGTATGTTTATGTGTGCCTAGGGGATCACAGGACAGGAGCATTTTTATATCCTTCTGTCCCTCTTTCCACGTGATTTCATTGAGACAGATTGAACTTGGGTTTTCATACTTCTTTAGCAAGTACTCTAACCCACTGAACCATCTTCCCAGCTTCCACCATATATAATAATAGGGGACTACACCCGACTCGGTTTGTTAGTGGATTTCATGAAATTATTATTAGTTGTAAGATACATGCTTTAAAATACAGAGACTATGGCCATTAGCATTCATGCAGGCATAAGAGTTTTTGTTTCTGTGAGTTGACTTCAGCATTAACATAATTTCCAGTGTTCTTACATGTTTGCTAAGCAGTATTAACACTTCCATTGAAAGGGAGCAGGTATGATTGGTCCACTTTGTTTCCCACGTGGGTGACATCATTGAGTATGTGTCAGCTCCTGTCCCTAGTCACTCTTTACCCAGTCAGGTATATGAGGGTGGCACCAATCTGACAGAATCATGGTGTATCAGACACTATGTATATCATGACAAATTGCAGGAAGGTGGTAACTGAAAAACACAGGACAATGCAGATGGGGAGGCAGCTAGAGCATTTGTATCCAGAATTATACACGGAGCTGTACTACAGTGATTTGCAGAAACTGACTTAGGTGAAAATCTTGGATTTGTTTGCCTCATCAGCTCTGCCGATAAAAGAATATAATCTAATGATACATTTAACTCAGACGTATTATTTTAGACTGTATACCACCCCTGCTACATCATAAGAGTATATGATATGTCTTTTTTTTTTTTTTTTTTCTTTTTTCTTTTGGTGCAGGCTGCTCCACATTGTTCTGAAACAGCTTTAATTCACATAGCTGATATTTTGGCAAGAATTGCTTCTGTGGAAGAAGGACTTATTTTACTCCTTTATGGAGAAACTATGAACTCGTCTGAAGAAGAAAGGTTCGTGGACATGTTAATGTAACTATTCCTGTGTGCCTAGGGTTCCCAAGCAGGTACTAGTGACATGTTAAGCCAGCTTTGATATAGTCTTTTGAAATACTTACTTATTGTTTTCATGTGTATACATGCATACATGCCTGCATGGGTTTATGTGCACCATGTACATGCCGGCCCCCTGGAGGGCAGAAGAGGATGTTGGATGCCCTCAAAATGGAGGAAATTGCTTACAGTAATTTCTATAGTAGTTACTTACAGTAATTACTGACATTACTATATAATCTTAGCTCACAATAAGGAGAGCGGGCATCAGTCCGAATGGGAACCCACAGCTTTTTATCTGCTCCTCAAGACCCTCTTACAGACTGTTCAGAGGGGAGGCCACACCTCCTTCCCTCAGCTGCTGTCACCCAGTCCTAGTTCCTCCTTAGCCAATGGTAGCCCTGGAGAAAGCCCAGGCTTTCTCTGTGCTTCTGATGGTGTGATTCTTAGACAAACCTGTGAACTTACAAACGTGTCTACTCTGGTTTGTAAAAATGACATCATATACCTTACCCTAAATCTCAGTTATTAAACACAGCATGGACGTTTTCTTGCAGTAGTACAGAATGGAACATGATTTTATTGTATAATTATGTTCTTACTTAGTTTGCTGTAATTTATTCAGACGGCCCTCCTCGCTTGTTGGTGGATAGCAGGTTGTGCCTTAGTTCTTTCCTCTGTCAACGATACTGAAGTGGGCAGCCTTTGTTCTCTTTAGCCCGTTGATATGATGGATTATGTTAATTTTTGGAGAATTATTTTGGAAAATAATTTGGAGAATTATTTTCTTTAAAGATTTATTTATTTCTGTATGTGAGTCCTCTGTGTGAATGTTATGCCTGCATGACAGAAGAGGGCATCAGATCCCATTACAGATGATTGTGAGCCACTATGTAGTTGCAGGGAATTGAACTCAGGACCTCTAGAGGAGCAGCTGCTGAGCCATCTCTCCAGGCCCAACATTAATTGGTTTGTAAGTGCCAAGCACCTCACTCAGGGAGTAAATCACACTTGGTTGTGAATATTCCTTTCCTCTTCCCCACTGTGGTGCTGAGTTTTGTGGTTATAGAGGATCTTTGCCATGTTGACACATGATATCAGCCCCCGAATCTAGAATGTCTTTGTCTTTTGATATTGCTACAAAGCTGGTTTCATAAGTTAGAAGCAATAACTCCTGTTTCTATCTTGTGAAAGAAATTGTAGAGAATTGTTATAATGTCTGTAAGTATTTGGCAGAATACATCTGTGAGACAATGCGTGCTTAGCATTACCTGATTCTTTGAATTATTTAATCTCTTTATTAGGTGTATGGACCTGGCCAGAGTTATTTCCTTTGGTATGAAATTTAACAGGTGTGTCTTTCAGAGAAATGGTGATGTTATTTATTTATGGTTGAGAGTTGCCAGGAATGTGTTTTTACTGGCTAACTTGTTAGTGTTGCCGTATCAGTAATGAAAATCTTTGCGCTCATTTTTGCTTCATTATTATTATTAGTGCTGACTTGAAACTTACCAATTTTGTGGCTTTTTTCCAGAAAGTCAATTCTTGATCTTGTTGATTGTATTATGTGCACATACATGTGTTCACAGGTGTATGCGTGCTATGATACGTGTGTGTGTGTGTGTGTGTGTGTGTGTGTGTGTGTATCAAAGAACAACATTGTGGAGTTTGTTTTGTTCTTATACACTGATATAGGTTCCAGGGGATCAAACTCAGGTTATTGCAAGTGCTTTTACCTGCTGAGGAGTCTTGCTGGCCTCTCTCTCTCTCTTTCTCTCTGTGGTGCGTGCGTGCGTGCGTGCGTGTGTGTCTAAGCAGAACATCTTATTCCTTTTGGAGCCCTGTAAATTTGTTTGCTCACTTCTGTGGATAATGAAGTTGTCATGTCATACTTTGTCAGTTCCTCCATTTACTCTTTACTTGTTGGTTTGCTTTCTTTTATTACTCCTTAGATGTCTCAAAGACCTGCTGGTAACTGTTACGAGGGCAGATGTCTTTATAGTGTGTTGAAAATGCCATGGCATTTTGCTGGGAAGGCCCTAATGAAGCCTTTTGCAGTTACCTGCCTGAAAAAACAGGGCAGTCTCAGCAGGAGACCACTGAGTAGAAGTTGTGCTGGGGGAAGGTCCAATCCCTTCATTTCTATGCATTTACTCATGCATGTTAGTGTTAGTGGAGGGAACAGATGGATGTTATGCATTCAGTTTGTCCTTTTTAACTGGAGATGCTGAGTACATAATGATTTTTTTTAATTAGGAAGATTTATCTTTTGTCATGAATTCTAATATCTCCTTATCTATTCCTTAACCCTTTGGAAATTTAATATTTTTCATTTTTTAAAAATAAGATCTTACTAATACCATGGGCCAGCCTTGAACTGTGATTCCCCCTCAACTAGTCAGTTCTGACCCCATGTAAATCCATTAACTGCATGGACTTGAGTCTGGTTAATTTGTTGTGTGATGTTTTTTATTTATTTGCAAGTTTTTGTAACAAAATTTTATACTTTTATAAATTAAAAAATAAAGTTACTTATTAGAAAAAAGAATGCTAGTATGTGTGGCACTAATAATATAAAAATCCTAAGTTTTCTGTTTCTATATGAATATTGTTAATGTGGATGAAATCAGAGCTTTGATTTGTATGTGGGTTTTTTTGTTTGTTTGTTTGTTTTTTATTTGTTTGTTTTTGCTTTTTGAGACAGGGTTTCTCTGTGAGGCTTTGTAGACCAGGCTGCCCTCAAACTCACAGAGATCCAAGTCTGCCTCCCTTCCAAGTGTTGGAAGTGGTTTGCTTTTGAAGAAAGGTTCTCATACATTGAAGTTAAACAAACAAGATGTAAATTACAAGTGGGTGTTAGGTAGGAGGACTGGGCAGTGTATGCGGCCTCTGGTAGTGGATCAGCATTCATCCCTAGTGTAGGAATGGACTTTGGGAGCCCATCCCACATAGAGGGATGTTCTTTCAACCTAGACACACAGGGGAGGGCCTAGGCCCTGCTCCAAATGATATGACAGACTTTGAAGACTCCTCATGGAAAGCCGCACCCTCCCTGGGTACCAGAAAGGGGATGGGCTGGGCATTGGTGGTGGTGGGGGGAACAGGGGAGGACTGGAGGGTTTGGGAACTGGGATTGACATGTAAAACAAGCTTGTTTCAAATTTAAATTAAAAAAAGATTATCAAAGAGAGAGAGAGAGAGAGAGAGAAAGAAAGAAAAAGAAAGAAAAAATGAGTACCATTAAAAAAAAAATATATATATATATATATATATATATATATATATACATTACCAGAAGTGATTCCTGAATCATCATTATGTAAAGTTTCTACAAATTGTTTCCTTAGGAGAAAGACTGTAATATTTGCAAATGCAACTAGCCAGAGTCTGGCTCATTACATTTTGTTTTTCACAATGGAGCAGTGAGCAGCTAGATAGCTCTAAAAAGGAATTAGGGGGCCAGAAATGGCTTAACAGAGAAACATGCCACCTGCCAAGCCTGATAACCTGTCTTTATTTTCCTGGGACTCGCATGGTAGAACCAGAGAGCTGATTTCCTGCAATTATTCTCTGATCTCCAGGTGTCCTGTGTCTGTCACACACACACACACACACACACACACACACACACACACACACACACACACAGAGAGAGAGAGAGAGAGAGAGAGAGAGAGAGAGAGAGAATTAGGAATACTTTTATGCATTGCTTATGCTGTTAGCTTTAGACATTTTTAACTGGAAAAAGAAAACCAGAGACCTGTTTATAGAATACTGTCCTGTGTAACAGGACTGTTGGGTCATTCCTTTGTTTATTGCTTAGGAGGGAATTGTTAATGACACCCTGAAAGACAATGGAAACAGTCGGTTCTAGGGAGGAGAAGGACAAAAGTGTGTGTGGAGAAGCAATCCATACACTGGCCATACTTAGATTTTACTTTCCCAATGGTAAACACATTAAAAGAAAGAAGCCACAATTTCTAAAACCTTCAAAGCAAATGAGTAAGAAACCTTAACAGTCATGTTAGTTACAAACTCAGGAAGAAGAAAATGACTTAAGTAACCTCATCCTCACTGAACTTGTAGTGGGGTAGGGGAACTAATCTTCAAGATCGGCTGCATTTGGTATGTTTAGAAGCAGTATTGGTGTAATTTGAAATTGTTATGGATAATGAATAGGTAATGGCATTGGGAACTAAGATTTTTTTTTAAGTGTAAGAAATAAAAGCATAAAATTAAAGAACAAATAAAATCTTTACTATTCAGTTATACTGGAAATGCAATTATGATCTTACTTTTTCTTCTAAAGTTTTTTGTTTGTTATCTTCTGATTTTTTGAGATCACCAACATGGGAAAGGCCTAGAAGCAATGATATTATTGACAGTGAGCAGATACTTTCATTGTGGTATCTCTCTGTATCTTGTTTTTTTTTTTTTTTTGCTTGATTGTTTGTTTTTACAGGAGACAGGAAACTTTGAAGAAATGACCATTGTTAGGTCAGGAATAAGAAGTATACAGAATCGTCCTTGTGTTCGGAGTACGTTTTTCCCCCGGCGGTCTGCCGGTCTGGTCCCACCACTGTGCCAGCCCCAATTAACACACAGAGACTCTATATTAGTTATAATTCTGTTGGCCAGTTACTAGTGTTACTTACTGGCTAGCTCTGTCTTAAATATTAACCCATTTCTATTAATCTAAGTTTCCACGTGGTCTTATGTCAAGCGCTATCGCCTTGCCTGCAAGAACGACGCTCAACAACAGGATTCTTCTGCAGCTATGTTTATTGTGCGGCTCATTACAGCAAGTTGAGGGAAGACCCCGAGGAGGAAAACGGGTTCTGCTTATATATGCTCAGAGGAGTCGTGTCCGTTACTGACAGTTGCAGCCCGCAACGCTCGTAACGGTCACCCCATGATGTGGATCGCGCATCTGCGCCTTGCTGGCTTATGGACAGGAAACCGGCGCCATCTTCGGGAATGGCACCGGTGGCTCTCTACATTTCCCCCTTTTTTGTTTTATAAACGCAACAGGCAAGGGTAGTGGTCTGATCTCCAGTAATGAGATGGACATTGTAATGACCCTGAATCCTGGTAGTCAGCCAAGTCAGTGCCATTCCTGTCCAGCATCTTTTCCCTGGAGGTGGGGCCTTGGACACCAACCCACATGCAACCAGACTTGCCCTTCTCGGAGCTGCTCATGGCCAGAGTCAACACGGAGTGCAGTGCTAAGCCAAGCAACCTGAGCGTGAAGAATTTATTACAGTAGGCTAAACTAAAGAAGCACCTGTCTGCGTGCAATGGGAAAAACCCCCGCAGAGCATTAGGGCTGTTTCTGGTAAAAAATGGACACCCTAACCTGGTGCAATGGTGCAATGTCATAGAAGACTCAGGGTGCAAGGGCTTTCCTATTGGACAATTAATGTTCATTTTTAAACATGCTTAGCCACACAGTGGGAGAGGAGCCTATCTCCATAGCAGCTAGGGCTTGAGCGATAACCACTTTGTCACGTGTCTGTTGAGCACGTAGCTTATACACCAACCAGAGCAGGAGCACCACCCCACCACATAACAGCAGGCCAAACCCCATTACACCCGCCCATTCCTTAAAGCTGTAATGGCAACCACGATAGCAGCAGTGATTCCAAAATCTCTCTTCTGTCTAAAGAGGGTCATGGTGCTTGGCTCTCTACCGGAACGGGAACGTACCTGGGCATTCTGGTCACAAGGGCCAAAGGAAATTTTCCTCCATCCCAACATAAAGAATAGGAGCATACTTGAGGTGTACAATATAGCATTCTCTCACTAGAGTTTGCAAAGGTGCCATTGCTTAATCACAAACACAAAAGGCTCCACGTTGAGCTGGGTTTTGATTACAATAAGGAGCCCACCTGGGTTGCTGGGGAATAGTGGAGTTACCCCTCTCCCGGGCTCTAGGACATCAACCTCTAATCCAGGTGGCATTACTCTTCAAAATGGTTTCACCATGTGGCGATTAAGAGCTTTCACCTGCGCTATTGCAAAAGCAGTAGTTATTTCAGGGGGGTCTGGCTTGCTCAAACCACATTAGTTTGGAAGGAATCCACAGCTTTTTATTTTCTGTGGAAACAAAAATAGAAATCCTTTTCCCCAGTAACTTGTCCTTGAACTTAAATTTTGGAGTCAAAACATTTTTAAAATATATAAATTGAATTAATCCAGCAACATTTCCTTTAACAGTTGTTTCCTCAGTAGTCAAACAATACAAAGACAATATAATACCGTACAGTATCCAGATTCTCTCCATCTGTGGCTTTTTTATTATTCTGTTTCTTTTCTATTTTATTTTATTTTTTTGATCAGTCTCTCAGGGCTCTTTCACTTTCTCTTTGCTAGCCTTTTTCTTTTTGTGCACACCCAACTTTTGGTCACGTTCTGCTTCTGACATGCTTTCCTGATAGCATGTCTATCAGAACTTACCTTATTTTGTTACCTGTCTGCCACAGTTCTGAATCCTCTCCAGCTGACTGAAGGGTCCCCCTTGTGCCGCTGATGTCAGGTTCCCCGGTTTCGGCACCACTTGTCAAGCGCTATCGCCTTGCCTGCAAGAACGACACTCAACAACAGTATTCTTCTGCAGCTATGTTTATTGCGCGGCTCATTACAGCAAGTTGAGGGAAGACCCCGGGGAGGAAAACGGGCTCTGCTTATATATGCTCAGAGGAATCGTGTCCGTTACTGACAGTTGCAGCCTGCACTGCTCGTAACGGTCACCCCATGACGTGGATCGCGCATCTGCGCCTTGCTGGCTTATGGACAGGAAACTGGCACTATCTTCGGGAATGGCATTGGTGGCTCTCTACAGTCTTATCTTACCGGAGAGATGGGCTGGCATTCTACCTCTCTGTCCTCCATCTTGGATCCTCTCTACTACTTCCTCTCTCCTCCAAGTCTCTTAGTCCCGTCTATCTTGCTTTCCTACTGGCCAACCAATAAGAGAAACATATTTACAGAATGACATCTCCCATCATCTTTGATTAATTTTGTTTCTAGAAATTAAGGTGGCTACTTAAAACTATCAGGATAGGGCTAAAACTATCTTAAGGGATATTCTACTGTATTTAAGACGTGCAACTTGAGAATCAAAAAATAATGGGTACAATAGGGTGTAATATGTTAGGTCTATAAACATGGACTTAAAAGATATTACAATGATAAAAATAGTAAAAATAAAACACAGATGGGCTGAATAATTTCTTAATGAAATTGCTGTGATACCAAGTGTATTTATTGCTTTGCAAATTGATAAATTAGACTATTTTCCAACTTTCCTTTACATACTGTATTTCAACAAATTACACAGGAAAAGTTATTTGTGGAAAAATTTTAGTTAGTAATTACAAACAAAATTCTTGGATCAGAAAAGATGCATGTAGTATTTCTTCACAAAATCTTGGTAGTTATCATAATAGTTGCTGAAGTCATCAGGTGAAGAGAGCCTTTCTTACCAGAAATGATAGCCTGGTGCCATATGCCAAACGGATTTTTAGTATCACCTAAATTGGGACCATCAGATAAGTGCTTCATAAAGGAGGCACACATGACCAACGAAGTCATTTTGTCAAGGAGGGATAAAAGAACTAAAGTATAATCCTTTAGATCTAATTATCATCTTATAGAATACTTGGGGAAACAGGAAATGGGTTGGAAGATACTATGGGGAAACAGCCATTCAGATATAAAATCACTGAATAATTGGCCTGGCGAAAAAGTACATTGGGCGTTTAAATCACCTAACACAACCTGTAGGACGTGTGTGAAATGTAATTTACACAAACCTATCTAGGTAAAATGACATCTTTAAGACAATAAAGAGAAGCCTGATGTAGGCTGTCTTACTGAAAGTTAGATTTTTTTTAAATGTGGGTATATTGCATTTAAAATAGAAATTTTGTTATTTGGAGACACACACCGAGTTACATATGTAAGGCAAGGATGGTAAGGTGTCAATAATGTTGCTGGAGAAAGGTACCTGGACACTTGAGTGTTGTCTGAGTCTAATACTCGTTTCTGTTTTGATGTCACTGTTTTAAGTCTACGAAAGTATTAATGCTGCTTTTCTCTGGAGTTAGGCAGGCCAGGTGATCTTGTTTCTTTCTCATTATTACGTGTGATACTGCGCAAGTTACTTCTGTAACCCGTGCATATACTTTCTGAACTGTAAACTTCTACTTCAGAGGATTATAGAAAAAAACATTACTACATAAGCACATTAAAATACTTCAAGCAGTAAGATTCACATTGGAAGCAGTTTTGTCTGTATCATTATTATTTCCAGGAAAACAACCTTGAACTTGGTGACTGTGTTGTTACTGTCATGGGGGAGGTAGCAGCAATAAGACATGCTCACTGGAAAATCAAGAACACTCATGTGTGACCCTGGCGTCTGTCTCTCCTGAGTGTGTGCAGATTTGCTGTTTCCCGTGTCTGATTACCCTTCCCCGTGTCCCACCGAAAGGGTCGTGCTCACATGGTGGATCAGGCATATTGACTTGTTTTCAGAAAGCTATACGATATCTGAAAGAGAACCAGCAACTGAGCTGTGTTGAGACGGGCTGCTTTGCTGGTGCGCCATGAAGCCAGGATCTCTTGGCTCTGGAATCTCATCTGTGATCTCTTTCTTAGTCCTACAGGTGCTCATATAATAGCCAGGTTTTCAAAGAAACTTCTCGATGAAGATCTTTCTATTTTCTCTGGATCAGAAATGTTGCCTATAGTCAAAGGCGCTTTTATTTGTGTGTGTCGTCAGATATACAGCACGTGTGAAGGCTTGCAGGCACTGCTCCCGTATGGCCTGCATGAATCCATAGCAAAGGCATGGAGGAAGGTATGTGTTATAAACTCTTCCTCCCTACAGTCTCGATTTCAGTTACAGGCATCACTGTAGTTCCTTACTGTGGACAGGAGTTAAAAAAAAAATTTTTTTTTTTAATATTGGGTTTCTCTGTGTATTCCTGGTTGTCCTGGAACTTTGTGTTGACCAGGCTGGCCTCAAACTCAGAACTCAGAGTTTTGCCTGCTCTGCCTTCCTAGTGCTGGAATTAAAGGTGTATGCTACCACCACCTGGTGTGGACAGGATATTTTAATGGGATGTGTATCTCCCCCCCCCCCACTTTCTTTCCTTATTTGAAACAGGGTCTCACTATTTAGCTGTAACCGGTCTGGAACTTACTATATAGACCATGCTGGCCTTGAACTTACAGAGATCTGCCTTCCTCTGCCACCTGAGTGCTGGTGTTAAAGGTGTGTGCTACCATGCCAGGCTAAGGATCGCTTCCTTTGAATTGTGGTACTTGGTATTAGCTATCCATGCTTCTAAACTTGACACAGGATGACTTCAGACCCCCTCTTTTAGTAGACCTAGAGTCTAAACCTTTGATTACCACGTTTTTTTTTTTTTTTTATTCTGGTAGCAGAAGCTTTAGCTGAGTTCTCTGTGCACATGCTCACAGTCTTCTGTGGAGGTTATGATATCAAGAACATAATAGAGCAGGAGCCATGCATAGACCAGGGGATTGCTTAGTCTTTTAACTTCATTGAGCCAGCTTACTTAATTTTGAAAGCATAAGGATAAAAAAAAGCAGAACTACAGTACTAGAGATTTTGTGAATTGTACTGTAAGTTAGAAAAACAGGGAAACAAACTAATTTGTTTTTTGTTTTTTAGACAAGCTTGCTATCGGAAAGGATCCCCACTCCAGTAGAGGGCTCTGACTCGGTTTCCTCAATGAGCCGGGAGTCTCCCACCATGTAAGTATAATGTTCAGTATCTCTCTTGTGTGTGTGTGTGTGTGTTTAAAAATTATTTAGAAATAACTGAACATCTTTTAAGAACTGTGGCAAAACACTTTCCAGGAAATTAAACTATATGCATACAGGTTTGAGGAAAATTATATTTACTTATAGATTATGTAATACTTGTAGCCATTAACAAATCTAGAAATATTACACAGGTTTTGCTCTATTGTTTTATTTTTTGTTAGGAAGCTTGGTGTATTGTAAAGTTTTTAGGAAAATTGGAAAATTATCAAATACTAAAATTGGAAAATTAACTTGTATGGCCAGTAGAAATAAAATGTTTTCAAATGCTGGTGAAATCTGTTTTACTTGTTTTTCAAAATACTTAAAGAGTGCAGTTTAATTATGGTTTGGCATTTGAATACTAAATTAATATTTCTGTGTATATAGTTATGCTTTGTTATGAGCACTTTACCACCTGCTTGGTCCCACAGCTGCTTCAGCCCCAAATAATACACAAAGACTCTATTAGTTATGAAACCATTGACCTGTTACTAGTGTTTCTTATTGGCTAGCTCTGTCTTAAATATTAACTCATTTCTATCGATCTAAGTATTTCCACATGGTCTTATCTTACTGGAGAGAGGGTTCAGGCCTCTGAGTCCTCTTGTGTCCTACATTTCGACTCCTCTCTACTACATCTCCCAGAATCCCCCTGTCTCCTAGTCCTGCCTATCTGGCTTCCTATAGGCCAACAGTGCTTTATTCATTAACCAATAAGAGAAACATATTTACAGAATGACATCTCCCATTAATGCTTATTTTTTTAAATATTAATCTATTTGATGACATGCTAACAGGGAAAATATTAAACTAAGGTCCCATGATGTATATGTTCTTATTTTAGTTTTATGGCTGAGCATTTACCCAGTATGAAACATAGTAGGGACAGTCATTTTTTTTTAAATTAAGCTATATATTTTTCCCCACTCCCCTCCTCCTCTCTCCCCTTTTGTCCCCTTCCCTGCCCTCCACACTCACAATTTACTGAGATCTTATCTTTTTTTCCCCCTTCCTAGGCTGATCCCATGTATGTCTCTCTTAGGGTCCTCTTTGTTACCCAGGTTCTCTGGGGGAGTGGCCTGTGATCTGCTTGTCCTTTGCTCTATATCTAATATCCACTTATGAGTGAGTACATATATATTTGTCTTTCTTTGTCTGGTTACCTCACTCAGGATGATATTTTCTAGTTCCATCCATTTGCCTTCAAATTTCTTGATGTCATTGCTTTTAACAGCTGAGTAGTACTCCATTTGTAAATGTACCACATTTTCTTTATCCATTCCTTGGTTGAGGGACATCTAGGTTGTTTCCGGGTTTTGATTATTACAAATAAAGCTGTTATTAAAATAGTTGAGTAAGCAAGTGTCCTTGTGGTATGATTGAGCATCCTTTGGGTATATGCCCAAAAGTGCTGGGTCTTGCAGTGGATTGATTCCTAGTTCTCTGAGAAATTGCCACATTTACTTCCAAAGTGGCTGTACAAGTTTGTACTTGCACCAGCAATGGAGGAGTGTTTCCGTACTCCACTTCCTTTCCAGCATTACCTGTCACTTATGTTGATTTTAGTTATTCTGAAAGGTGTAAGATGGAATCTTTGAGTAGTTTTGATAGGCTTTTCCATGATGGCTAAGGATGTTGAACATCTCCTTAAGCGTTTCTTGACCATTTGGGATTCTTCTGTTGAGAATTCTCCGTTTAGATCTGTACCCCATTTTTTTTTAGTTGGATTATTTGGTTTGTTATGTCTGGTTTATTGAGTTCTTTATATATTTTGGAAATCAATCCTCTGTTAAATATGGGGTTGTTGAAGATATTTTCTCATTCTGTATTCTTTTTTTTTTCTATTGATGCCTTTCAAAAAATTTTTCAGTTTTATGACGTCCCATTTAATAAGTGTTAATCTTAGTGCCCATCCTATTTTTGTCCTGTTTGGGAAGTTGTTTCCTATGCCAATAAGCTCAAGGCTATTTCCTACTTTCTCTTCTATCAGGTTCAGTGTATCTGGATTTATGTTGAGGTCTGATACACTTGGACTTAAGTTTTGTACAGGGTGATAGATATGGATCAATTTGCATTCTTCTATATACCAGGATCCAGATATGCAAGCACTATTTGTTGCAGATGCTTTCTTTTTTCCATTGTGTAAGTTTGGTTTCTTTTAGGGGTGGTGTGGTGGGTGGTGTTCTATTGCTGTGAAGAGACACAGTGACCATGGCAACTGTCATAAAAGAAAGCATTTAATTGGGTCTTGCTCACAGTTTGTGAGGTTTAGTTCATAATCATGATGGAAAGCATCCATGTTGCTGGAGAAGTAGCTCAGAGTTCTCCATCCAGATACACAGGCAGCAGGAAGAGACAGACTGGGAATGGGTTGGGCTTTTGAAACCACAAAGCCCACCTCCAGTGACAGCAGGCAGACCTACTCCAGCAGGGGCATCCTTCCCAATTGCCTGCAAGTAGTGCCACTCCTTGATGATAAAGCATTCAATCTGTGAGCCCATGGGGCCATTCTTATTCAAAGCACCACACTACTGGAAAGTGGAGTCTGCAACCTCAGTCATTTCTCATTGCCCCTGTCCTAAAGGGCAATAAAACTCAATGGCCCAGATCTTCTGTCCTCCTTGTTAAAATTTACAGGGCAGTTAAATAGTTCCAGAGGAGAATTATTACAGCATGTCATCACTTATTTTCCAGAATTATTATACTCTTATATCATGTAATAATGCCATTTACATGATTTTTTTTCCTGTTTCATTTGTGGTAAATGTGGAAACCTTTTTTTTTTTTATTGATTTTTATCTTCCTTAATGATTAACATTTCACATGCATATTCCTGTTTGAATGACTTGGTTTAAATTTTCTGAAAAATTTTAATGTTTTATTAGCATATATTAATTGCACGTAACAGTGGTCTTAACTATGCTATTTTTATGAATATATAATGTATTTCCATAATATTGACCTTGTCTTGTTCCTTTTCTACTCCATTCCTGCTATTTCCCTCCCTCTCCCAACTAACCTTCCTTCTGCTTTCATGAGTGGTGATCCAATCAGTAGCTTTGGGGTTGTTCATGGGAACAGGGATGAGGGTTTGCAGCATGGACACGTGACTAGAGGCTACACCATTGGAGAGAATGTCTCTCCCACTATCCCACAATTAACTGCGTATAAACCCCCAGGCAGGGGTGGGCCTTCTCATCAGGGTCACACTAAGGAATAAGAAAGAGACTTTTTAAAAGGAGAAGTTTAGCTCAAGTGAGCCCAAACTTAGTTCTCTACTTCTTTTTCTTTTCCCATCTTCCACATGTCTGTAGTTTTTGTTTTTTTTTTTTTTTTTAATCATAGTCTGTATTCTCTGTGTGTGCGTCTGATCTGTACCCACATCTCTCCCTAACAAAGGCCTTTGCTCTCTGTTTTTTGAACAACATAGAAATCAGAATAGGAAAGGGATGGGGAGTATATTTTTACAGAAACCTTTACTGACTCCAGCAGACCCAGAAGAGCATTGGAAACCATACACAGATGTTATCATCCTATATCCATCCACATGTTGCTTCTAACATTTACGGGGTATTTGTTTTCTTCAAAGTTCTTTTCAGTGTGTTGGCCACTTGCAGCAAATGATTACCACAACACACAAACACACTTCTGGGTCAGGGACATGGAAGAATTCCCAGTTTAAGATTAAAGCTGTGCATTTAGCTTAGATTGTAAAAGCTAATTAAGTGGGAACTGCAAGTCCTAGTAGGTAAGTTACATCATTGTTTTCAAAGCACTTCCAACTTAGGGAGCAGGGCTGAGTACACTGTGTGAAGGCAGATTGAGAACACAGCTCTAGATCTCAGAGCACACTGCTAACCGGGATGCAAGGACTGGCCAAAATTCAGTCTCCCTAAAGGCAAGAGCTAATTTCAGAAAAAGATAATACTATAGGCCTCATAGTGTCCCCCCTTTGCATGGCAGGGTGCTGGGGTCCACGCCTGCACAGCAAGTACTCTTAACCCAGACAGCCATCTCCCCAGCCCCTTCCCACGCTGTTTCTCAATTTGTAAGTTGCATGCTTGCTCTTTGAGAACCATTTTCCTGAAGAACTTTAGTGCGTGTTTACTTACCTATTTTCCCTTTGTTCTGAGACAAGGTCTGGTTGTGTAGCACTAGTTCTTCCAGTACTTGCTTTCTAGCCCAGGTTTGTCCCAAACTCACAGCGCCCCTCTGGGCTCCACCGCTGAGTGCTGGCATTACAGGCATGTGCCACCATATCCAGTCTAGTTAGAAGTGCAATGCACAATCCCCGGCCCTTTGGGGCCACCTCCCAACTCTAACAGTGTCTTTAAAAAGGCAGTGTAAAGTCATTAGGTATTTGTGTTGTGTTTTGAAATTTGTGTTGTGTTTTGACGTATATTCTTAGGTACTTTAATTATATATAAATGTTGAGGCCTACCTATTGGCCATTCAGCTTTTTATTTGATCAGTCAGGTACCTTAGACAGGCAAGGTGAAACAGCAACACATTTTTACATAATTAAACAAAAACATACATTTATGTAATTCAACAAATGCGGCATAAACAAATGTAACACATCATTACATAGTGAAAGTAATACTCCACAACTGCAGCAGTGTCTATAATTTTTTTAACCTCTGGAAAAAGCTATCATTCTTAAAAATGTGTTTTGAAAAAACTGTTACTATTCACTTCCAAATAAAATAACAGCATCTGAGAATAGAGGAGAAAGCATGCATGTTATGTTGTAGAACACAAGAAAACACATATTTTCATAAAAGAATGCATAAAAACAATGGAGAGTTGAGGTTCAGGGGGATCCAGGTGCAGTGGAATCATGGGAAATTACGGCATGGATGAGAAATCAAGGCTTGGAGTGCGGAGATGAATACTCCTCTCAGCGATGGGAGCTGTCCCAGAGGACGTGAGAAAAACACTCACCGTTTCCATCATGTTTCATAGTATTCACCGAACAACCTGTATTCAGGGTGTACTCTGTGAGTTTAGTTCTTGTCCATGCCGACCTTAAATATCTCAGTTTTGCGAATATTAAATACCTCTATCCCCATCCTTTCCCTGTTCCAGTATGGCTTGGGAAGACAATTTGCTGGATGATTTACTCAACTTTGCTGCCACTCCCAAAGGATTACTACTTCTTCAGAGAACAGGGGCCATCAATGAGTGTGTGACGTTTATGTTCAACCAGTATGCAAAGAAACTCCAGGTATGAGTTTCTGCCTGCTCCAAGCAAAAGGAGTTGTTGTTGTCGTAAAACAGTCCTTCTGGTCTCTGTGTGTGACCAGCCTATGAAGCTTTATTTAAAATCCCGAGTTACATGGTACCACTTGATTTACTTTTATTTTTATTTTTGAAAGGGAAGCTTTAGGTAGTTGATATTGTGTCTGTGGCTGTTGTTTTGAAATTGCGAGCAGCCAGATGGAATTGAAATTTTCAGTTGATTTTCCAGATGTTTTGAAAGCATGATATAATACATCCATATGTAGCAAGGCTGGAAAGAAGTTCTAGGGGAAAAAAATCCTGTGAAGGCTAAATGTATGTATCAGTGAAGGCTTAGGCCTCAGGCATTTTAAAAGATACAAACTTCCCTTTAGAGAGATTATATTATACTGTTAAATAAAACTTACAAGGTATTTAATCAGGCAGTCTGAAGTAAATGACTCATAATCAGCTTTTGTGTTTTTCCGGTAATAATACAGATAACCGCATTTCTGGGATTTTTTGGATCTTAGGTATGTTTCTGAGGATTTTTTTTTTTTTTAAATGTAGCTCCTTGGCCTTTTGGTCAGGATCAAGGCATGCCCATACATGCTGTGTGCTTTGTGTGTGTGTGTGTGTGTGTGTGTGTGTGTGTGTGTGTGTGTATGTGTGTGTGTGTGTATGTATGTGCAATGCATGTACATGCTGTGTGTATGTGTGTGTTTGTGGGGGGTGTGGTATGTATATCTGTGTGTGTACGTGTGGTGTGCTTTGTGTGTGTGCTCACGGGCATGCACTTGGGTGGATGTAGAGGTAAGTGTCAGCTGCCTTCCTAAATTGCTCTCCACTTTATTTTTTAAATAGATAGTTATATTTTATATACTTCATGTAGTTGCTTAATTAGATTTTTGGCAAGAAATTCAGGGCACCCATTTATGAGGATAAATTCCATTTGTTAGAGCCTGAAAGACTGCACATATCCCCAGAGCCGAGGAATAGCTTGACCTTTTGCAGACTGTCAAGTCCATAGCTTTCTGATCAACTTTGCTCTGCATAGTAATCTTGTATTTCTTCCATTTCCTGTCAAAGATCTGCCTGGCTGGCATCAGCAAGGTGTTTGGGGACTGTAGCATCACTGACAGCAGTTTTTTGTGGAGGTGGCAGTGGCTGGCTTCTGGTGTGTTCTGTACAGTGAAGACTGAGGGAAGTAGCTCCAGCCACAGGCTGAGTGCTCAAGTTATTTCAGGAAACCTCTCTTGCTCGGTGCCTGCCCATTGAAGGTGGTCAGGGCTGGGCATGGTGTGGTGTTCCGCTTCCCACGTCATGGAAGCCTTTCTTCCTCTGGGTTTGCCCCTTCCCAATGGTTCTTTGGCAGGGCCACACCTAGGTGTGTCTTGCAAAGCTTAGGCATGTACTTACACCTCCTTTCTTGTCACCCTGACAGTGGCAGGGTCCTTCCATGGCTTTAAATTTTTGGTTTTCTCTCAACCTTGGATTTAGCAGTTGAGTGCTCATCCTGCGCAGGACCCTTCTAGGAGCACAGCAGGTTGGGAGTGTTCCCACTTCCTCTAACAGCTCGGGCTCCTGGCTGCCCTGGGTCTTCCCTTGAGGCTTCTTAGCCTTCGGGTTACCCTTTTCGGCATACCTCAGCCCTCTTGACTGCAGTTTTCTTCTCCTTTGTATCAGGCTTATCAGCATTCTTACTCAGCGTCTTGCAACGTAGCAAAGAGCTCCCTCTTATTTTTTGAGACAGGGTTATCAGTTGGGAGCTCACCAATTTGGGGCTAGGCAGAGATAGCCAGCAAGCCCCAAGGATCACCAGCAACATTGTCTCTTTATCCTCAGTGCTGTGTGTGCTGCTTAGCCCAGCCTCCCTTGCCTCCCTCCATCCCAAAACGTGGGTTCAGGAGATTGACCTCATGCTTATGCAACAAGTGCTTTGCAGATGTAGCCAGGCCCTGGTATCAGTTATTTCACAGTGTTTGGTTATTGTTGTTTTATCTCTGGCATCTGTTGTCTTTGATGTTTTTGTGTTGTCTCATGGCAAGTTGTAATCTTTTACTCTCTTAAATTCTAATCCCCCGCCTTTGCTTAAAAATATAAGAAAACAAATAACCCCCTTTCCTTGTCTCTGCCGGTGAAGAATAAGAACTTTCTGAGGTAGGCCTCTAACATTCTTTGCATGAGGAAAATGTGTCTGTGTTTTTTCATGGGCTTGTGAGGTTAGCTGTGTATAGGCTGGTACATTTTTTATCTTGTTTTATTGAAGGTGGACCCTGAGTACAGAAAAATATAGTTACCCCTGTTCCTCAGTTTATGGCATACTTATCTTGTCCATCTGTCTGAGATTCCTATTCTGTTTTATTCAATTTATTCTAGTGTCATTCCAGATAGCTAGTTCCATTTCATCCTGTACACATTTCCCAAACACATACTTAGGATTTTACTATGTGTAATACCCTTACCCACACACACACACACACACACACACACACACACACACACACACACACTTTTTATATGTTACAAATGTTCCAGTTTATTTTGAGTTCCCCCATAGCTGAGTTTAGAGTTGTCCTTGTATACTAATTAACTGCTCAGGCTTTGTTTATACTGTTTATCGTTATCAAAATTTGCAAGTACCTCGAGCACATTTTCATTTTCATTCAGGCACTTCAGATCAGGCAGGCATATCTTTACATGATACATCTAGAATTAGATGTCATTTTTGTGTTTGTAAATTTTAAAACCTAATAGTTTATGCATCATATCGGTAGCTTGTCTAGAAGAGACTGTCCCTTTGACATTGGGGATTTACAATGATAGTTCTTCATTAGCATATTTGTCACACTTTAATGTGCCCTGCGATTTTTCATCAGTTACATCCTCAGATAGTTTTCAAAAAAGCCCGAGGACCAGGCTATTTTCTCAATTTTGTGTAAGAGAGATTGGGAGCCCAGGTTATTTATGAAATATGTTTTGTGGGTCTGTTAGCTGGCTAGTTATAATGAATGGTCAGACAAAAACTCAGATATCTTTTTTTGCTAGTTTTTGGTCATGTGCATGAAGATGTATCTTGTTTAATAAAGTGTCCAGCTTATGATATTTTTTTTCCTTTTTAGTGTAAGTGGGAATTGGACAAACCATGTGGCTTCCAATACTCCAATTTCCAGGGCGAGTGGGAGGGCCTTATGTGTGAGATGCTCTTTGGCAGGAAGATGCAGGGAAAGGAGGATGGGTGTTTATCATCCTGGACTTCTGTGTTACTCACCGCAGAAGAGTGGAGAGTAATTCAAGGAAAATGGGAGACATGACTAATAAGATTGAAGAAGAAGGTTGATTATAAAGACATAAGCAATAGAAAACAGAAATTGATGAACAGACCCAATAATTTTCAGCATGGTCATTTAGCTCCTTATTAGCTAAAAGTTGGTTTTGGTTTTTTCCCTTTTCTTTTCTTCCCTTAGAACTGAGCCTACACTTTATGCTTGAAGAGTTTGGAATTAAACCAGGTGCTTTTAATGAAATGTTCTAAAGTATCAGTTCAGCATGGTTAACTATTCAGAAGTTGTGCATTTTTTCAGGCTAGCAAGGTCTGATGGGTGCATTCTAATGCTGCTCCTCCTTATTCTGATCATGTGATGAGATAAGCTCACTTCCGTACTCACCCCAAGTAGGTTTATTCTTTGTTAGTTGACAGAAACTGAAGGATTTTTACATAGAAACTGATATATTGGTGTTTAGGGAGAAAAATATATCCTCTAGAAATACCCATTTTAAGGAGAAAGTATCAGTTTTTTGAGTTTTTGTTTTGACTTTTAAAAAACCTTTTAAGAATCTGGTAGTGAATGTTTATAAATGAAGACGTGGCCTACAAAGAAATAATAGGATGATGTAATTTAGTAACAATTGTTTGGTAGATGCTAGAACTGTAAACTGTCCTAGTTTTCCATGACCCAAGTCCCTTTTTATGAGAAACAAGTCCCTTTATTTATAAGAAAATAAATATGAGAAAAAGTGAGTCTTCATAAATATTTATTTTTAACTGTATGTATATGTGTGTGAGTTCAGTTGTCCGCAGAGGCCAAGGTGTTGGATCATCTGGAGCTAGAGGTGTAGGTGTTTGTGAGCCTCCTCATATGGAGCTGGGAACTGAACTTGGGTTCTCTGAAAGAGCAGTATGTGTATGGCCTTAACTGTGGTCTCATCTCTTTAGCACCTTACTAAGTGAATTCTCAAAGTCAGTGAGCTAAGACTAAACTCAGATCAGAAATAAAATGGTTAAAAATACCCATTAGTACTGATTCACTGTGAGAGTTTTGTTATTGTTTGTTTGCTTTTCTGCTGTTACCACCTGAAAGAAATTTCTAGTCTTCTACTTGTTAAAGAGTGGTAAGTAGCTGTACATGTAAGTTTGTATTGCATATAATAGCACGATGTGTTCTTCGATTCTCATTGCATTCTTTATGTTAGATAAACAGGCAGAAGAAGTTTGGCTATGAAGTATTGGTTGTACAGGTGGCATCCACAGCAGCAGGGGCAGTAGCTCTACAAAATTCAGGCAAGTTTTTTTTTTCCTCATAAATAAAACGAGATCACTGTTAATAAAATGAACAATAGCAGGATAAAGTTCCACAATAATTTTAACTCTAAAATTCTTCTGTACTGTTTGTGATCATGAAAAAGAAAGTTTGCTGTATTGTCTTTGCTTTTATGTTTTTACACGGGGGATTATTTATCCTGTGAGATGTAGAGACTCTTATTTTACCATTTTGTGTTTAGAACAGTGGTACCTGATGATCTGTGCTAAAACTTGTTCAATCATTAAAGAATCCCTCTTCACCTTAGAAACCTAAACAGTGTGCTCTGTCTTGGTATAGTTGATTGTCTCTGACTGAATGGCCCAGCGTTTAGTAGATTTGCACATGTATCTAAGTGCAGAGTCATCATAGTTGTTATGTTTCTTGTTCCCATCATTCCCTCTTCCGTCTAGAAAGCATTTCCCTCACTATATAGCCTTCACACACTCTTTGCAGTTTGCTGTCTGTATATATTCCCCGATGTCATTTGGGTTTATTGATAATAAAGGAAGCCACCATGGTTGTAGTATGCCCCATGTTTACTTTACTGATCACTGAGCAATGCATAATTTGTGGTACGGGAGAAGAACTTCCAGTTGGAGATGATGAATTGTCATAGCAGAACCAGTGATCACTATTGCTTCAGTACTTAAACCAAAATATTTTTTTTTTTTTTTTATCAACCAGTTTGGTTCTTTGTATGTGTTCCTTGACAAAACTGACCCTAAACTGAATCACATTTTTCTTCTACTTAGAATAAAATCTATGTAGCATTGTAGACAGGAATATATTAATAGAACCATTTGAAGACTAAATTTTACTCCAGATTTGCTTATCATTGAATAGTCAAACTTTTGAACCTCATCATTCCAAACTTTTCTTGAGATGGTTAAATGAAATCCTGCACAGGTCATAGGATGAGTATGGATCCCTGAACTTACATTGCTTACATTACAGGCACTGCTAGGTCACACTATACATGCATTGTCCCATTTGTATGCTGTGGAATCTCTGGAGTTCCCATTCTCAAATACCATAATTCCTTGGTCTCTAATGATGAGGAATCACCCTCCACCTGTGAATGCAAACAAATTAATAAACTCTTAAATTAGACACCAATATCCTGTTATAGAACCTGCATTGTTTTTTTTTTAGTTGTGCCAGAAAAGCACTTCTCTCATTTTGTTATAAGCATATTAGTTTGTCCTAAATTCTTTTTTTTTTTTTTTGAGATTTTAATGAAATTATACTATTCTCCCCTTCCCTTTCCGTCCTGCAAGCCCTCTCAAGTACTCCTTGCTCTCTTTAAAATTCATGGCCTCTGTTTTCATTATTGCTGCATGTACATGTATGTATATTCATATAAATCCCTAGAAACAGAAATAACACTCTGCTCAGTCTCCATAAAGTTACTTGTATGCTTTTAGCGCTTGCCACTTGGTATTGGACAGCCAGCTGGTGTGCTCTTCCCTGGGGAAGACTGTTTCTCCAGCTCGCAGCATCCCTTGGTTGCCTGTAGTTCTTAGTGTAGGGTTGAGGCTTCCTTAGTCTTCCTCCCCTGGCCACTTTGTCAGTTTCTGTCTTCTTCTTCAGCTCATGTTTAGGCAGTTGTGTTGGTACATTTTATGGATGTAACTTTTGACATTGCTAGGAGACACATTCTTAACAGCAAACTCCTTGACCTCAGGTTCTTACAATGTCAGCATGCTATCATCTGCTATTTCCTGAGCCTTAGGTGTGGGCTTTGTGTTGTAGATGTATCCGATGGGGTGGGGCTTCACCACTCTGCGTTTTGATTGGTTTTGACTTTCTGTAATAGTCTGCACCTATTGGGAAGAGAAGTTTCTTTGATATAGGGATGAGGACTACACTTATCTGTGGGTATAAGGACAAATATTTAGAATGTGGTAAGGAACTGAGACTTACTGACCATGATTAGATGATAGGTTTTTATAAGTAGTATATGATTGAAAGAATTTAATCATCAGCTTTAGTATTCATCTTCATTTAGTCATATTACTCTATGACTCGAGAATTTGAAGGCTGCATTGAAGCAAAGTTCAGAATTGTTTTAAACATGGAATTATGAATGACTATTAGATTAGGTGAACAGCAGTATCTTTTGATGCCTGCCTGATTTGCTGGTGCGTCCTCTTTCTTCCTCTAACTCCTGAACACATTCTTCATAGTCTCCTGGGAGATACTTCTCATGATTTATTTAACATTACAGGGTAATGAGGTATGTATCATAAACATTTAGTAACAATAACAAGTACCATTTCTAACAAGGGTAGAGATTACACTATTATTTCTGTAAGATGCAAGTGTTAATTCTCTGTGAGAGTAAATAAGTCTTTTCATAAGAATGATCCCATCTTCCGTAAACCAGACTATACTATTTTATGGTATAACATAAATTGTGCTATAAATATGACATAGTAATACTTCTTCCTAGGCTTCATTAGTGCACTAATAACTGAGTTATGGTCCAATCTTGAATGTGGAAGAGATGATGTAAGGGTAAACCATCCCAAAGCTACTCCAGTGGATCCTATTGACCGAAGCTGTCAAAAGGTAAGGAGGCATGTGATGTAATAATGCACAGATTTGAAGTATATTACACAGAGATGACTCCATAACTCCATGGAAACCTGACCCATGTCACTGATAAGCAGCAAACTTTCTCGTTCATGTGCTTTGTTTTTCCACACAGCGTTTTCTGTGTGTAGCCCTGGAACTCACTCTGTAGACCAGGCTTGCCTTTACTCAGAAATCTGTCTGCCTCTGTCTCCCAACTGCTGGGATAAAGGGATGTGCCACCACCACCTGACTAACTTTCTTAAGTGGACCTTCTCTCATTTAATACCTAAAATAGTTTTCATTAAAATAGAGCTGTAACATACAAATGTTAGTTGGGAAATGTATTCTTTTGTGTTATGATTATTATGCATTTTAGTAAGGGTAGTAACACCCCAGGCATGTTATGAAAAACAGACACAAGCTAAGACCACAGAAGATCAGGAAGCTTTTGCCCTTGGATTTGAATCGGATGAAGTGAACAGTAGAGCAGGCAGAGGGAAGGTGCTGTTAGAGGAATGAGGCAAACATTTTGTAGACATGCTTACCCAGTGTTGTTGAAATGCAATTGCTTTTCCTATGTGTGACACGGTCTCCTAATTTCTTTTAGTTGAAGTAATGATTCCCTGCAGTGGAAGCCTGAACAGTTTTTAGTATAATGATGTCACAAAATTATTTAAGGTACTCCCCTCTACCTAATATTTCAGAAGTTCCTTCCCCTCCCCACAAGGGTATTAGGATAATTCCCTCTTGTACAAAACATGAACATTAAGAATAACTTAAAAATGAAGGGGTTAAAAACAGCACAGAGATATATCATATAATGTTAAAAACTATAAAAACCTAGCAAAACAAAAAACCCTAGAAAAGGTGAGAAGGTAAGATCCAAAGGAACTGAAGGTCAGTAAGGGAAAACAGATAGGAAAAGAGTAGCCTGAAATATTAATGTTACTACAATTGCATTATATTAAAAGGACACCCACACACTGAGCAAATAAATGAATGAGCAATTGTATGAATAATACGTTCTAACTATATGCTGTCTTTGTGAAGTTTACTCTTAAGTAAAGAGGTGTAGGTAGATTAAATTCCAACTACATGCTGTCTTTGTGAAATTCACTCTTGAGTAAAGATGTATAAATTAAATTCCAACTACATGCTGTCTTTGTGAAGTTCACTCTTAAGGCTTGGGAAAAGCCATGCTGGAACCCTGTAGAGAACAGAAGAGTAGCATGGCCCTAGTTAGTATATGGGTGTGCTTTCCATTGCTGCAATAAACACCACGGTCAACAGCAACTCTGGGATGGAAGGGCATATTTGGCTCATGTGTACTAGTCACAGGATATTGGTGAGGGAAGTTGGGGCAGGAACTGAAGCAGAGAGGTCGGAAGAAGGTGTTTTTCACACTAAGCATCTTCTCTACTATAGACCAACACGTCCACACTTACTTGTTATTACCACTTGAATTACTTTCTGATTTGTTCCCAGGAGTCGTGATAAAATAGAACTCTCTCTTGAAACGTCAAAATCAACGTTAATTTCATACTTTCTAATACTGTCTACCACCCAAATTATTTCCTTCTTTCTAAAGTATAAAGGATAATTTGTACTAATTTTCTGAAGGCGCTGTCCATGGGTCTTATTATCATAGCACATCACTGCATCCTGTCTGGTCAGCTCTCTCTGAATCACACCCGCACATCCCCTCACTCTGCCTGGTAGTGAAATCCTCCTCATCACCTCTGACTTGTCCTCAGAGCACAGTACCATGAGGCCATTTATAATACCAAGTGGAATGTCCTCACAGTGTGTTTGTCCTGTCCTTCAGGGCAGGGACTATTGTTTCATTCATGTTTTAATTGGCTCTGGCACCTGGTATTAAAACATTTTGAGTGAATAGTCATTATGAACCCATAAGTTTTAGTTCATAAGAACTTTGTCACTTTAAGTAATTCTAAGCTTGAAATGCCAATATTAAAATTCATTAACCACTAAACCTAGTTTCATTAGCATCATTACACAAAACCTTGTTATGCCTAAACATTGATGAGTAGATAGATGTTTTGTGCTGTTTCAATTTTAAGATAATATCTGACACCACAAATACATTTAATGTACTTTTATGGGAACTGATGATTGCATTGAAAATATTTTCAGTTCCATCACAGTTTTATAATATGCTAAGCGCCTTTAAAAATGTCTAGTGAGTGAGAAATGGGTTTGTTTGTTCTTGTGGTAATCTACTGAAATCTTATCAAGTCTCTTTAGAATTATATGCAGGTTATTTGTTTTCAAATACAATCATTGGATTGTTTTCATCTGAAGCGCAACTTAATTTGCTTGGAGTAGGTAGATTATCAGAAATTATTACAATTGTATACCAACAGAATTATTTCCTAGAAAGGAGATTCCATAAACACAAGTGGAGCTATTCTGTGTAAATAATAAGAAACCCTCAATATGTTGCTGTATGTTTGATAAAGAAATCCACTTCCTATCAAAGTGGATATCTATTCAATTTATAAATTGTATTTGTAACCCATTACTTACAGAAGAGATTAATATATTATTATATCTAAATATTACTGGATTAGCATCATGAAATGTTTAAAACATTTGAAGTTATATTTATTTACCTTTGATATATTCTCTGGGTATTAAAATTAATTTTCAAAAGTTATGTTGAAATCTGCAAATCATCCTTCTACTTAATACCCGTGTTTTGAATTTGTTTGTGTAATTGTTTTGTTGATGGCCATGAACTGTCTAGTTTCCTTGTAGTTCCTTTTATAGTAATTTAGAGACACTTTTCTCTAACATGCTTTCCTTGATATCCAGTCTTCCTCCTTCCTATACTTACCTAGAGTGATAGTTTTCTTTCATAGCATTCTCTTAACTAAGCCTGCGCTGTAAATTTTAACTAAACATTCTCACTTATTATTTGGCAATTTTACTGCGATGCTAATGTATATTAGGTTTAAATTCTGGCTTATGTTATTAGAATTGGTAAGAAATTTAATCTTTATTTTAAGAGGTTGCTTAATGCATGTTCATATTTTATCAAGAGATGCAATTGGTACAAAGCACCATATGTTGTATATGTTTACAATATGCCCACTGTAATTTGTGAATTATCACTGCATTGAGTATAAAAGGAGGACACAGGGAGTGGACTCTACTTTTTCTGTTCACAAACAAGGATTGGACAGTGGCTATTCCTGTTAAATAGTATCAGACAGCCACTTTTTCATTTGCAGACAGGAACCTTTGACAGAAAAAGAGAAAATGTATCTTAGTTTGCATACAAAGGAGTTATTAGTCAAACTTTATCATGCCCTTAAGTCTCCTCATCTATTAATGAAAAAAATCAAATCAAGTAGATTTTTTAAAAATTTTCTCAAATTTTTATTTTTCTTATAGTAAAAAATCTGACTCACAGATTTTCAGTCTACTGAATTTTTAAAATATCAAACTATGAAGCAGAACACAATGCTTACAAATAACTACAAATAATATATAAGCCAGTAAGTGTGTGGAACTTCTGGAAGAGGACAGAGTCAACTGGAAAGCATATGACAAACTTGAAATTAGTGCAGTTGAGGGTAGGTGGAGTCAGTTGAAGGAGACCATGTGACTTTATTTGGGAGGATGGTGAGAAATGAGGCTTTGGGGATGCAGGAGAAGAGAGTGAAGTACTGTGACAATCATCTAAAGAATTTGGACTTCCTTGCTGTCCAAGGATGGATACCCATGGAATGCATTAGAGCTAGGAGCAAGAATGGAATTTGTGTGAGAAGTATATCCAATTGTTGTTAAGTTGATGAAGCTAAAATGTCATAGAGAGATGGATTAGCTTACAAATGCTGTGGAGAGGTGAACTTGGAATGATCATACTGGGACAAAGGAGCTATTTTTGCTAGGATGGTCATGGCTTTTGAAAATTAACTATAATGTCTAGTTTTTTTTGATTTTTCACTGAGTATGTTAAAAGATAATCGTATGGATTAAGTGATTGGGATGTCCTTTTGTATGCTGTTAATATATGTTCCTCTTATTGGTTGATGATTGAAACACTGATTGGCCAGTAGCCAGGCAGGAAGTATAGGCGGGGGGGGGGATTCTGGGGAGGGGATGCAGGGAGGAGGGCCAGGGAGAGGCGGGGGGGGGGGAATTCTGGGGAGGGGATGCAGGGAGGAGGGCCAGGGAGATGCCATGCAGCTGGTGGGAAGATAGGAAACCAGGCATTCTCTGGTAAGCTAAGGCCATGGAGAAATACATAGATTAATAGTTATGGGTTAGTAATTACGAGAGAGGTAACCAATAAGGAGCCCAAGACATTGGCCAAACAGTTTATAATGAATCTAAGCCTCTGTGTGTTTATTTGGTTCTAAATGGTGGTGGGAGTAGGCAGAATAGTAACGTCTGTCTACAACTAAGCTTGAGAATATATGGACTTTATTATTTTGCCTTAGAATGTTACTCTCTTGGATTTTCTTAGTTACAATGGTATAAGGTATGAGAAAGCGGACACTTTTTTGTTTTTCATTTAACATCGAGAATTATATAGCATTTTGAAATGTTTTCTAATTCTTACATGTATAATGGTTGTTATATTAGTTCCCCAAGCTTTTAGAATATTGCCATTTAGGTTTATTTTTCCTATAATGGGTATATATCTCATGCTGACAATTGATGTTCATGAGGGTTGTAGCATTTACATGAATGACTCTTTTATTTTTAATGCAAAATTAAAAACAAAAACAAGTAATTTCAATGTCTCATCCCCTCCCCTAGTCCTTCCTGGCACTGGTGAACCTGCTGTCCTATCCTGCTGTGTATGAGCTAACAAGCCATCAAGAACTTCCCAATAAGGCAGAATATTCTCTTCGTGAGGTTCCAACGTGTATTATTGTAAGTTTCTTTCAATCATTCTCTTTCCTCATTGCCTACTGTTTGAGATTGGTATTAAAAAACTAATTTGATAAGAATACACAAAACTCCCCATGCTTACCAAGGTCAAAATTGATTACTTATCCCTGGATTACCAACTTTTGAGTTATCTATGAATGGAAGCTTTGGTTCAGGCCGTGCAGCTATTCCTTTCCCTATCAGAATGCAAAGCTAACTAACTCTCTACAATCAGAATAGCAACTTGTTATGTAAACAGGTGTCTATATAAATGAGTTCTATGTGACTCATTACTTACGTGTAGTTGTTGGTTTTGCTCTTTTTTGGGGGGGGAGACCTGCTGCCCATCTCTGAAATAAATCACATGGAGTCTTACTATTACTTATAAATGCCCTGCCTTAGCTTGGCTTGTTTCCAGCCATCCTCTCTCTCCCCACCCCCCTCTCCTTTACAGTCAGGATTTCTCTGTAGCTTTGGAGCATGTCCTGGAACTTGCTGTGTAGACCAGACTGGCCTCAAACTCACAGAGTTCTGCCTGCTTCTGCTTCCTGAGTGCTAGGATTAAAGGCGTGTGCCACCAACATTAGCCATCTTTTCTTAACTTAAATTATCCCATCTATCTTTTGCCTCAGGGCATTTGTCGTTCTCTATTTCTGTATATCTTTTCTTTCCTTCTTATTCTGTGGCTGGCTGTGTGGCTGGGTGGCTGGCCCCTTGAGTTCTCCTCTTTTTTCTCTTGCTCCTTCTGTTTTTCATTCATTGATCCAAGATTTTTCTTTCTCGTTATTTCCTCTGCTTGCCAGCCCTTTCTATCCTTTCCTCCTGCCTCACTATTGACCATTCAGCTCTTTACTAGACCATCAGGTGTTTTAGACAGGCAAAGTGTCACAGCTTTGCAGAGTTAAACAAATGCAGCATAAAAGAATGCAACACATTTTTGCATCATTAAATGCTGTAACCCATCTTCGTGGCACCGGTCTGTATTAACCTGTGTTTGTGCCTGAGAGGGGGAGTATGGATTGAGAAACGGCAGGTTAAACTGCTAAGAAAAAGACAGAGACACAGGATAGAGTCAGGAGGGCTGTCCAGTGAATACTCAATGCCCCAAATTTATTCTTCAACATTCTTAAGTACCCCAACCAGAAGGGGGACGTGGCAGAAGACTTCTTTATCATGTGTAAGAAACAGACTTTCTTTCCTTAATCCTCCAAACATTTGGTAATCACACCTTAGGCTCAGTTTCTCATTATCTTGCCTTGAGGGTCCAGAGTAACCACACCTGAGACCCAAGTCTGTTGTTATATTAGATATTTGATACTCTACCAAGATCAAAGCAACCTACAGTAGCCACACCTTAGACCCTTAGGTCTTATGACTCAAGTAAGGAAAGTTTTGAACTCTCTGACCTCGAGCCAAGATGGATCCGAGCCATCTTTATGGGCCCGACAATTAAACAAATGTTCCCCAGCATAAACAAATGAAACATACCCCAAACTAATATTTCATGACACTTAATGCTTCTTCCTCACTGACTAGGGCAATTAAGAATCAATTATATCCAAACTATCCAATGTATTTTCAACCTATGTTCTAATGAATTATGTATTATGTCCACGAGGACAGAATATGCATATTTATTTCATTTGAAGCTTAATTTATATTCAAAGTGCTCATATTATTAGTTTGGTAGTCCATTATCTTTGAGTGTTTATGAATTAAACACAAGCATATACATTTGTGCATGAACACACATACACAGGGATTAATAAGGAATTAATTAGTACTAAAATTGTATTTCTAAACATTACTTTTTCCTTGTCTGTTTTTCTTAGGTTTTATTGGTTTTAGAAATGGTTCTGCCCCTCTTTGAATTCTTTTCACCTTTGTTAATTCCAAACATTTAAATTCTTAAAATCGTTTTCTATCGTGGGAAAGTTTTGGTAACTATCATTACATAAAATGTAAAGATAGATATGTCTCATTACAGCTTGAAGAATCTAGGGTCTCTTATTGTTTTAAATTCTTCTGCTCCCATCCATCTTGTGCTCACTTTTATCTCATTGTTTATATAGTTTATAGTTAGTGTTCTTATTCTGCTGCTTGACTAGCTTTGAATGGGTTACATACTGATTTTGTCTACCAAAAGAGGGTGCTGTGCTAAGTGTAATACAGACTGAAGTAAACATACTCTCTGATGGGATGACTTTGAAATAGTTCTTTTAGTTAGAACCAGAGAGTAAGGTATTGGTCACCAGGACTGAGATGGGACAAGAAGGCAAAAAAACCTAGTCCTAGTCAAATGGACGTGGTTTTGGTTACCCAGGAAAAATATCCCAAAGATTTATTGTATAATATGATGCTTATAATGAATAACACACATTATGTACTTAAAGTTCCTTAGTAGAGCAAATGTGTGCTAAATGTCTTTTGCAGACTCAGAACGAAGGTGAGAGGAAACTTGAAATTTGTGAATAGAAGTCACTAAAGGTATCTTCAAAGCCAAACTCTCTTAGGGATCTAGGCAGGACTGCCATTGACTTTTTCACTTTTTCACTTTTGAACTTTTTTTTTTATTTTGAGGATTTCATACATGATTACTATATGCCCATCATTTTCACTTCCTCCTTCCTCAAACTCTTCCTATATTCCCCACACCCTCTTAAATTCACACCTTCACACCTCTTTTTTATTGTTGTTATACGCACGCACACACACACACACCATTTCGTTTTGCAGGAGCTGATGCAGAGGTCATGGGGGGAGGTGCCGCTCATTCTATATGGTTTGCACAGCTTGCTTTCTTGTAGCACAAGCTGTATGACCATAAGCCCAGCGGTGACACACCCATAGTGTGAAATTCACAGGCAAATGGATGGAACTGGGAGAAACCATCCTAAGTGAGGTAACCCAGTGACAGAAGACAAGCATAGCACTTTTTGATACAGTGTCCTTAGGGTGTAAACTTGCAGCTCAGTTCCTCCCTGGCCTATGTCCAAAGAGTTCCAAAGAGAGTCATGTCTTCAGGGTCTTAACCTTCAAATTGTGCGAGGCAACTTCAAAAGCCTACATTGTTCTGGGAATCTCTTGGACCACCTGACCATCAACCCAAAGGAAGGTTTATAGTATAGCCTGGCACTGTGGGTTTTTGTCAATAGTCAGTGACTTTTGGGGGAAACATTATCACCCTGTGTAGTATAATTCTATTGAAATTATCTCTACATCTGTCAGATATCTATCTTCTATTTACCTATCCTCCATCTACTTATCCATCTATCTCTTTATGTCTGTCATCTGTTAATCTGTCTATCTGTCTATCTTTCATGTAAATGCATTTTAGATATTTCATGCCTTGTTACTGCCTGACTCCGGTTCTTGACATGCCCGACCATCTTCATATGGCCATCTCCTCTTCTTGACTGAAATCTTCCTCTATTTCTCTTGTCGGATATTTGTCTTTTCTTATGAAGGTCCTTCTAGATGACCTAAGGTGACCGAGATTTGCAGCTTATTTCCTGCTTCAAAGATCCCTTTTCCAAAAAAGGGTGGCAGTCAAGTTCTGGGGATTAGGACGCAGACAGACTTTTAGGAAGTTGGTATTTGACTCACTGTATAGGTGAGTTCCCCACAATGAAGAATCCCAAGGAAGGATCTTGACTTGATTCATCTTCATCACAGACAAACCAAGGCAGTTCACTCTTGGAAGGTGCAGTTGTAGGGCTCATTCACCTGTTCCTTATCCTATATCTGCTCATTTCCTAAAAGCAGCAACATAGCACGTGAATGTCCACTAAACTACTTGAATAGAGTGGGCCCTCAGATGTGTGTCTATTTTGAATCATGCTTTTTCTTTTGGCCATCAACCAGCTCCTAAATCACAACAGAGACTTAGTTTTGAATTCGGCCTTAGATCTTTTTTAACTTAAATTAACCTGCTTCTCTTCATCCACCTTTTGCCCTGGAGCTCATTACCTTTCTTACTTTTGTGTATCTTACTTTCACTCCTTCTTTGTGGCTGGCTGGCTGGCTGGCCCCAGGTGTGTCCCTCCTCTTACTCATCTTGAGCCTAGAGTTCTCCTATTTGTTTTTTCTGTCTGACAGCACCACGCACCCTTTCTCTGCCTAGCTATTGGCCTTTCAGCTCTTTATTAGACCAATCAGTTTTCTTAGATGTGTAAGGTGAGACAGATGCAACAGATCATTTTATAATTAAGCACACATCCTTACATTATTAAACAAATGCAGCATAAACAAACGTAGCACACCTTTACACAGTTAAAGTAATCTGCAGCCTAAATAAATGTACCACATCTCTGTCTAGTTAAAATAATACTCTATAACAGTACTTATACTGAATTCCTCATTGTTTACCTAGCCCTGGCTGTAGGCTGAACACTAGCTTACTGAATATATTCTCAACATGGACAGTATGGTTTGGAATAGGATATTTCTGCAGACTGCTTGCTAGTTCCAGCCCTTCCCCTGGCTGGTTGCTGGGTGCTGGCTTAGTCTGCTTTAAGACGCTGATTCCTTTTCTGACATGCTGTGGTGTTTAGAAACCAGAGCTCCCCCTCCAAGAGGCAGGCTTCCCTGGAGCTGTGCTGTCTTCCCTGGGTGGTGTTACATCAATGCAATCGTCTTTGAAGAAGAAATTGTTTGCTATAGCAGTTGTTCTCTGAAAATACGTTACCATTGACGGATTATTTCTGTCTTTCTTTTCATCAGCTGATTGGCAAAACCATATCTTGCCATCATTTTATTCATGCAAGTCTTAGATTCAGATCCAGAACTTCAGATCTCCCAGGTGTTTCCAGCTGCCAGTATGCTTAGCTTTGTATTCTGATAGCTGTGCAAATTTGTGTTAAGTGATGAAGACAGAGGTGGCTCAGCTGTGAAGAATATGGCTTTGCAGCTGGGGATGTGAATGGGAGTTATCTATTCATTTCATTACATGATGATTGGAACAGGGTGCCCAGCCAAGATGACTGAAGACTACAGTGACAGAGCTTTAACAAAATGAGTCTTTTTACTCTCCATTGTTCACTAATATTCTCCCATTTAAATTGATGCATTAGTAATTACACATTCCTACAAGATCTCAATAGATTGGAGAATGTGAACATATATATAAAAATGTATAAATATATGAGATAGGATATATGTGATACATATATATTTTGTATGAGATAGTGTGCATACAGACATATATATGAGATAGGTTCTCATGTAGCCCAGACTGGCCTTCAACTTGCTATATACCCAAGGATGTCCTTGAACTTCTGATCCTCTTGCCTCCACCTCCTGACTGCAGAGATAACAGGCATGAGCCACCATATCAGTTTTTGTTGTGCTGAGACTCAAATCCAGGGCTGCGTGCATGCTAGGCAGCCCTCTACCAACTGTGCTATTTCCCTAGCCCAATATATTCGGTCTTAAATGTTGAGCTTTAGATCTTGCTAGGATAAGTTTACTCTGTCCATTTTTATTGCGTTTATAGTAGTATTTTTCAAATGTACTTTGAATTATTTATGACTTTTTCCTCTTATAAATTCATTCCCTTGCCTCTTATTCATGTGCTGGAACTGGTTCCTTGTCATCATTCATAAAGCATCTATAAATTTTATTTGACTTTGTTCCTCACCCAAACCTTTTTGCCTTATTTGCCATAGTAATATGTTTTATTGAAATTCATTGAATTTATAGAGAGAAAGTTTTTAGATTTGTACTCAAGATATGCACAAAAAACAGAGCTTTATGTTTTGATTTTAATCATTTCATTTCATTTATTTTATTTTTTGAGACATAGTCTCACACTATAGTCCAGGTTGATCTCAAACTGAAGGAGATTCTTTTACCTTTGCCTCCTGAGTCCTGGGATTATGCAGTATGGATCATGCCATCACACAAAAAGCAGGGCTTTAAAGAAAAGCTTTTAGACATGCTCTATTGATACAGAAAATTGTGTGGCGAGATAATGCTGTCAGTGCTTGAGACAGCTTGTTGCTTCCAGTTTGAGGGATGGCTACAAAATGGGAAATCTAAAGGAACTTTAAGAGTATTAATGCTGTAATCCCACCTGTAGACATACTGTCTTAATTGCTCTTAAGTAGAGCAAGCTATCTATCTGTCTGCCCTTCTGTCTATCAATCACCTATTTGTCAGTCATCCATCTTCGTTTCCTAGATGATGAAAATATTTTTCCAGGACTCCAAACCACTTATTCACACAAACTAGAGAGGCTTTTAACATAGCCTTAAGTAGTTGCTAGATAAAAATATTCAGTTTGCTTCACATTTGTAGATTTTATATTTGCTTTTAAGAGTAGTTTGTATTTTGGTCACTTTAATCTTTATTTTATTGTACATACAACCTGCTTGCTGCTTCGACAGTTAGGTGTATAGGTGTATACTCTGGTTCTCCACTTGGGGTGAACATTGAACTCTGTTTAGAAACTGTTCCAAATCATGATGCTCTGGCCTCACCTAGTCTAGTAAGTTCACAAACTCTAGGGTGGGTCTGGACCTCTCATGGCTTCCCGTACTTCCAGTGTGAATTCAAATCTTAGTCTCACAGATTTAAATGAATATTTAATTTATTGGAGTAGCTTCTGTTGAGTCTCAGTATTTCTTTGTTATTTTTAGGATGTAATCGATAGGCTTATCATTTTGAACTCTGAAGCTAAGATTCGTTCTTTACTGAATTATGAGCAATCACACATCTTTGGTCTAAGGTAAGTTACCAGATTTTAAACAAATTTTACAAATTGCTGAAATTAAGCTTTGTTCTATATCCTGTGTGTGTGTGTGTGTGTGTGTGTGTGTGTGTTGGTATATGTGCACATAGAGGCCAGAGTTTGATGTCAGATACCTTCCTTGGTTGCTGTCTCATTGTTTTGAGACAGGGCCTGTCCATGAACCTGGAGCTCCCAGATTGAGATAGACTGCTTGTTCAATGAGCTCGTGGGGTGGGGTTGCCTAGCTCTGCCTGCCTGCACTGTGGTTACAGAAGAGTGTGACTTTTAAGTGGGTACTTGGGAGCAGGCTCAAGTCCTCATGTTTGTTCAGCAAACACTCTATCCACTGAGCTGTCTTTGCATCCCTATTCTGTACACTTCCAAGAAGTGTTTAAATGGGTTAACTTAAAAATAATGCTTTAAGTATAGTCTGTCACTCTATAGCATTATAGTAAAAGCAAGTTATAGCGTTTAGGCTATGGTACTGTAGCCTTTGTATTAATGTGTTCTCTGCATGGCTAGAGGCAGTCACCTTTGCTCATTGTAGAGGGGCACAGTGAGGTTTATTTTCCTTGAGTTTTCTCAGACATCTCATGAAGATTCTCTGGGCTGGTTTGTAATTAGACCCTTGCCACAATAAAGCCTTGAAACAGGACCAGGCATGCATAGTTGATCTTGAAGCCCAGATTTTGCTTTTTGGTATTGATCATTAATTGTCTGTTTACTTTTCTTGGGTTTCAGGACTGATTGAGTTCATCTTCCTTGATATTTCAGTTAGTGTGCTGAAATGGGGAAGAATGCAGGTTTGGCAGGCATATAGAGACTTAGAAATTCTCAGGACTTTTCTTATATGGAGATATGTATGTAGCTTGCGTTCCCAGTTGAAAGGCAGCTGAATTAAGCAGAATGGCCTCAGAGTTCTTTTTCCCTTTGTATTAGCAACTTCCTCAGCCATGAGGGAGGCCAGTGGTGATGTGCTGCCTAAGAAAGACAGCTTGTGCTCTTCTGAATAGGCCTCTTGCTGGTGGTGCATTTCATAGGTCTTTGCTTTAGCTTCTTAGTTTTGGCTGTTCATTAATAATTGAACATTATCTTTTGACTTCTTGGTTAAAAGAAGACGCAAAAAGCTGCAGTTATGTTTTTTTTGGAAATTGTTTGCTTTATCTCAAAACATGTTTTCACATTAAATTTTAACCTTCTATTTATGACATCAGAGATATCACATAGCAAGAAGCAACAGGGGATTGGAGTCTTAAAGAATTCAATAGAATTTTCAACTTCAGTTGAATAATTGAAAGTAGATTTGGTTTCTTCTTACTATATGCCAAATAAATACTCCACCTTATGTATTCATTTTAGAATTTACATTTATTTATTTAGTGTGTGCACTAAATAATGTATGTCGAGGTTAGGAGACAATGTCTGTAAATTGGCTCTCTCTTTTACCATATGGCTTCTGGGGGATGGAACTCGGATAATCAGGCTTGGTGGCAAGTGACTTTACCTGCTAAACCATAGCCCATGTGGCATTTTCTCTAACTGTTCTTAAGGAAAAATTACTAGAATTTTTTTAAAGTTACGTAAAATAATGTAAAACCAAAAGGCTGTAGTAAGTATTTTCTGTGCTGTTTCTTACCATGTGCAAATGGAATTATCTGTCTTGTAGAAAGAAAATTATGTCTTGATGTGCTGACAACCCGCTGCTGATAGATGGCGCATTCTCACAGTTTGCAACCTGGGCCTTGTACTGTACACTTGTAGGAGGTGGAGCTGCCTTCCCACAGCTGTAAAATGCAGGACACTGACATCATTATCCTTACAGGGATGTGGGAATTACATGCGAACAGTTCCGAGAGCTTGAAACAGTGCACGTAGTGTTAGTAGCAGTACCAAAAAATAGTACTTGTTGTGTTTCATTATGTAACTAGCTCTATGCTGTGTTTCACTATGAAACAAATATTGCCAGACTAGCAGTTTTCTGTACTTTCTGTAGAAGGTATTCGTGTGTGTGCCTGTATGCATACACTTGCATGAATTTATGTATACCATATGTGTGTAAGTGCTTACGGAGGCTAAGTGACGGTGTCACATCCTTGGTGACTGGCACTTCAGATTATTGTGAGCACCCTGGCGTGTGTCCTCTCTGAGTGCTCTTAGCCACAGTGCCATCTCTCCAGCTCCTTTGGACACGGTTTTTCATTTTGTTTTGTTTTCTAATAATTGTACTCACTCCTTTTCTCTTTGGGTATAACAAAACAGCCAAAGAGTCCAAGGCCTCCAGCCTATGGGAAGGTACTTCCTACACTGAGAATGAATCCTCCTAGCTCAGTGAACCCAGTCAGGAGATCCCTCCCAGACAGGCTCAGAGGCCCATCTCTTTGAGTGACTCTAGAGCCCGTCAAGTTGACAGGGAATGTTAACCGTCATAGCAGTAAAGTTATTTTTATTGTAATGTGACGTTTTCTCATTGCCTCGTTCAATGGTAGTTTTGAAGGAAATATCTGAAGTCATTTCAGTCTGCTCTTTATTGTTCATTGAGGTCTCAGGGCCATAGATCCTAGCATCGCACTGGGTGGTTTTGGAACTTTACCCGGATCTTTCCTCTTACGGTCAGTGCTGTGCTTGCGATTGTACCTTCAGGATACAGTCTCACGAGTGTGTCTGACTTCTGTTGCTTATCTGTCCCTTTATGTTTCTCTTGTTTCAGGACCTAGAAATAGCATTACTGGTAAATTTCAAATAACCTGTGTCTAAGCACTTCCATGAGGCTAATAAGAGGCTTAGTGAAATGTGGTTTATGGCTTTTCACATTTCCACAGCATCTCATGCTACTTAGAACTCTGAAGTCTAATTTGCTAAGATGGCCGAAGAGATCTTCCACTGTAATTCTCTCTTACTCAAGAAGATTGCTTCTTTGATTAGCCCCGGTGTGCCTTCCAGCCTCTTATGTCATCCTGGACCATTCTTAGCAGAGTGTAAATGTCTCCATGCATGCCACCTCACATTGTGACAATATTAAACACTCAGAGAAGCTGCCCTGGCCCTCCTGCCTCCCTGCAGCCATGTTTTTTCTCCATCTATTTCAAGATTGATATTCCTCCTATGTTAATGATCCTTGTGTACCCCTTTTTGCCTTGTTATTACTTTCAATAACATTTGAAATAGTGGTTAAATTTTTTTTGTTTTTGTTTTTGTGGCTGGGCATGGTGACTCATGCCTGTAACTCCAGCATTTGAGAAGGAGAGTCAAGAATTATTTAAGGTTATCCTTCCTTACATGGTGAGTTCGAGGCTAGAGTGAGCTAGCTATCTTAGACTCTATCTGAAAACAAACCTCCCCCCCAAAAAAAAAACAAAACCGAAAAATATATTTTGCTTCTGTAACACTACATGCTTGTTTAGCTGTAGCTTTTGCATCTTTCATTGAGAAGAGTCTCTGAATGCAATTCTATGGATTTGGTCCTGGGTCAATCTCCACCCCCATCCCCAATACTCTTTTTTAGTTCTATCATATTTGGCCTTTTGACGTCTCATTTCAGTTCTCAGGTACCATGTCAAAAATTGAACTCTGGGATCTCTTCTTCCCCACCATAAAAGCAAACAAAGATCTGGTTTCTGTCTTGTTAAGCGCCTTATCTATCTCTTTAGTTGCTTAAGTCTGGAAGTCGTTTTATTTTATTTTTTTTCATTGTTTTTCAAACAATAATTTATCTTATTATGACTAAATTAAGCAAGATGGGAAATTAAATATAATAAATTAAATGGAATTATTCTTAATTCACAGTGTCATTGTTGACATTGAAGAAAATTAGTCTAGACATCACTGTGTATGTGCAGGCCGTAGGCTGCACACACAGAAATAAACTCAGTTACGAAGATGGAGTCAAGAGTGCCACTTTAGATTCTAAATGAATTCTACAGGAAGGAAAGGACACCCCAGTGAGATGGAAGGAATCGCTGAATTTCAAATAACTTTTCCTTTTTTCACTTCAGTAAGTACTTTCCTCAGGATCCCTGTAAGGTTAAGAAGGAAAATTATGTAAACTCCTTCAAGAGATTTGAGCATATTTCATTTTCAGACCGAATTGGTTGGCTCTGCTGTGAATGATGAAGACATTAATGCTGCCTTTGGCCTCCCGCATCGCTTGTCCCTATCTGTCTTAGTCTGTTTTATGTTGTTATAACAAAATCCCTGAGGCAGGGTAATTAGGAAGCGTTATATTTGCTCAGTGACTCGTAGGGCTGGGAGGTCTGAACAGTATGGTGCTGGTGTCCAAGCCACAGCCCCTCACTGCCTTATAAAATGAAGGGGAAACAGAAAAGGACCCACCCGGAAGGAAACGCTCATGTGGCAGGGTAGGAAGCCTGGGGTAGGGGGTGTCCTGAATCAGTCTTGCTCTTTTTATTACAGTTAGGGTCTTGTAATAAAATTAACCAGGGCCTTATTGGGAACTGAAAAGGATCCATGGGCAGCTCAGATTTGAAGGTGACATCTCATTGACCTTCCCACCTGACTCTAGGCCGGACCTGTTAAAAGCTCTCCAACTCCTCAAACTGTCTACAAAATGAATTTTTGGACAGTGCACTCAAACTACACCTAACTCATAGCTCCTACCCTGAGCCTCCAGCCTCCCATCTCCATGTCAGAAGTTAGCTGCTTTGCTTAATTCTGAACCTGCCTTCATGAATCAGACACCATCCTCTCCTCTTTATCTAAAGGAGGGAATAAGCTGATTGGAGTTTCACCGTATAGTGCCTTTTATATATAACCATAACACGTACCTTTTCTTTTTCTCTTTTTTTGTGAGACAGGGTGTCTCTATGTAGACTAGGCTAGCTTCAAATTCACCAGAGATCTACCTGCCTCAGTCTCCTGAGTGAATATTTGTAATTTCAAACTTTCCATTTTGGAGGCTGCAGAGATAGCTAATCAGTTAAGGGCGCTTGCTACTGTACCTTCCATTATGACCCAGGTTCAATATCCAGCACCAACATGGCAGATTACAACAGATCACAACCATCTGTACCTCTGGGTCCTGGGTATTCAATGCTGACTTGGGCCCCAGACATGCCTATAGTACGGAGACATACATATGGGCAAAACACCCATACACATAAGATAATAAAAACCATTACTACTTTCTTTACTCTGCTCCTGGTTACTGAATTCCTAAAAGCGGTGTTCTGTGCCACACGAGGGTAAATATTGACGAGGAGTTATGATGTGGCAATTACTCTCTCCAATCCTATTGTCTTCCGAGGGTTATTATGAAAGTAGCGAGGTAATTATTGCAGAAAAGAAGTATTGATATTAAACCACCCTTCCCTTTTCCCATGTTGAAAACCAGAGCTGGACACCTTAGAAGGGTTTCCTACAGTCTGCGCCCCTCCCCCCTTTCCTGTGTACGGCAGTCATTTCATGCTTGTTGAGCTGTAACACTCTGAGGAATGCACAGTCCTTATCTCCTCAAAGCACAGTGCTCCTTACAGGCTGTGCCGGTTTCTGATGCCTTTAGCACTGTAGTCTCTTTTCCCAGCACACACAGTATGGCCATCCTGAAGGGTAAAGCTTGCAAAGTTATGCACAACAGCTTCTGAGCCCCTTACCTGTGACCTTTGCCTTCATGGCTCCTCCCACACACTGAGTAATTCTGAACTTTTGTCTACCTCATTGCCAAGCATTTTTTTTTAAACTTTTATTGACAAAATCTATTGGTTTATTTAAAGATTTGGACACTTTAATCATTCCAAAGGTTTAGCAGGTTAGTTTCCCTAGCCATCTAAAGTGGTCAGAGGAATGTATTTTTTTTAGGATGTTTTATTTCAACATAAAAACTGCTTATTTCATGGGTAAATAAATAAATAAATAAATAAGTTACAGCATCTGTCTGGCAGTGGCAGCACATCCCCTTAGTCCCAGCACTCTGAGGCAGAGGCAGGTGGATCTCTGTAAGTTCCAGGACAGCCTGGTCTGCAGAGCTAATTCTAGGACAGCCAGGGCTACATAGAGAAACGCTGTCTCAGAAAACAAAACAACAACAAATAGAGCATCATTCAGTATTAACTCTTTTCATTATATCGGATTACAAATTGTTTTAGTTAATCTGTATGCTTTTGAAAGTTTACATCTTCTATAGTAATTCTTAAATATATATTTAAACAGTATAGTTTAAAATGTTAAATTTAATTCTCCAAAGCTTGCTGTTTTCTTTGTTCTCTTCGAGACTGTAATATCCAATATCAAATTATTGTCAGCTTGCTTCAAAACGAAGGAATTTACTTTGTGCAACAGGTTATGAGTTACGGGCTTTCTCTTTTTACTTTACACTTATCCACCATGAGTAAATTTTGTATGAGAGTAGTGAAGTTTTATAAAGTGTTTTTCAAACAAGACAAAAATTGATTTATTTAGATCACCAAGCATACTGTCTCACAGAAAGGGAACAGTTACAAGCTCTGTGGTTGCCAGTTCTCTTTTGCTGTTGGTGTTGATTTTCCCCCAAAATACTTTGAGATGGCCGTGTGTCCAAATATGAACCAGCATGTGCTGGTTGGAGTTCTTTAGTCTCATCACATTAGAAGAGTCTTCAAACACATTTTAGTGCTAAGGAATATCTAAACAAAGTGGTTCTTGCCAGCAGCCTACTGTGATGTCTCCTGGAACAGCCTAAGGTATGTCTTTTCATGGATGTTCCCTCTGAACATAGCAGTGGCTGCTTCTCGATGTCACACACAGCATGTAAATTAATTAAGCAACTTTACATCTGTACAGGCATGACAACCACAAATAGCTCAGGATGTAAATCTTAACAACAACAACAACAACAAAACCCTACAGTATGTGAACAACTCAAACATCCAAGCCTGCCCTCTCAAAGAGCCCCTCCTCCCCCAGGGTGGGCCCAGGTAGAAAGGAAAACAGCAAGCCAGGTCGGGCAGCTGTGCTTACACAGCCATCAAAATTTAACAGATTGTCCTGGGGTTCTTGCTGCTGTAGTGAGCCTCACAGGCTGAGACATAAGCCGACTCCAGGAAGAAGTCAGCCTGGTATTCTGCTAAAAACCTCAGAAAGAGATCCAAGTGCTTCAGCAATGCTTTCAGATTCTTCTCAGAGAAGGACATCTTCCCAAGAATCTCGGGAAGTTTTACAAACAACCGCAGTAAATGTTGTGCGCCATAAATGTAGGAGGGGGGAGGCGGCTGGTGTCCTGGTGGGTAATTGTCAGGCACCAGCTTCCAGGAGAGGACCTCGTTTATTTCCTCAGCTGACCCTTCAAAACCAGCAAACAGAGCAGTCCCTTCCTTCCCTGGGGTCAGAGACATGGGGGAAGGCGAGGTGCCGCGCACAGGTGTCTTTTGCAAGTGCGGGAACAGCTTGGGCACACTGCGCTTGGCCTGGGGTGAGGCCCGGTCCTCGGGCTGCCAGTGGCAGTGGGCGGTGTGTCGCATGGATCGCCTGGGAGCCCGCGGCGTCTCCGCCTCCGCTTTGCGCCTCTTGGGGGCGGCCGGCCCCGCCGCGGGCTGGCTCTCGGGGGGCTGCGGGGTGGACGGGCCAGGCCAGGGCGCCTCCTGGTTCCTGCCCGCATCGGTGGCTTTCTCCTCGGTCGGGAAGAAGAAGGTGGAGGAAGTCACCATTTCGTATTGCGCCTGTTCCTGAGGGTAGAGCAGCACCAGGGGGAGCGCGTGGTCGAAGGTGATGCGCAGCCCGTCCGCCATCTCCCTGCAGAGGCCCACGCTCCTCTCGGGCGCGGCGCGCTGGGGCTGCGGCCGCCGGTCCCCCGAGGCCAGCGCGCTCGCCCAGAAGTGGCGCACGTAGCACTCCAGGATGGCCCCCACGTTGGTCTGGCACGGCAGCCTCACCAACCGCCGGCGGCGGTTGATGTAGTAACAGTCGTCCGCCAGCCGCTGCTGGAGCACTTCCGGGATGGGGATGCGGACGGCCCTCTCGTCCGGCTCCCTCCTGGCGTGCGGCTCCGACTCCTTTTTCCCTTTCGGCTTTTGCTCGGCGTCACCGTGCTCACCCACGTCCTCATCCCTGTCCTCAGCGTCGTCCCTAGGGCCACCGCCGAGTGTGCTCATCCTCCTCCTCCTCTTCCTCACGTTTCCGGGACAGTCACCGCCGAGCCGCAGCCGCAGCCTTCCCCGTGCGCCTGGGCTCCTCGGGCCGGCGGGCGGCGGCTGCTGCTGCTGCTGCTGCTGCTGCGCTGGCCGGCTCACGCTGTAACCCGAGACTTCATCTGGACCACCAGGCCGGGCCTTTTAGGCTGCCGCCGACAGTCTGGAACTTTCTGCCAGTTTTGTCTTCCCCCAGCAACAACACGACGTTCTTGGAGCTGCACGGCGCTCGCGTCCGGGCGGGCGGGGGTCAAGCAGGAAGCGCTGGGCTTTGTGGGTGGAATTGAAATTCAGTTCGTTGATCTTAAAGACCAACTTCTCTATGACGTTGGGAGAAGAAGTAAAACACTAGTTTAGGTTAGAAATTGTTTACCTTAACATAATAAACATAGCTGAGTGTTGAATATTCCATCAGAGCAAATCACCTAATTACGCATTCCCAGTAACCCTGTTGCTGAAGTTAAATCTCATTATACTAGTAATGAGAAATAGTTCGAATTAACTTAAGAAACATATTTTTAGTATCAGAAATTGGAATATAACCTTGAATACACGTTCTTCATTTTAAAACTTTATGTACGGGCACACATTCGCACATTCCCGTATATACACACCCAGTACTTTATATTAACTTATATTAACTTAAATAAATGATCATCTGTTGCTAATTGATTTGATCACTGGATAAATGTTTTATTGTAGAGGTAGATTGTTCAGGATTTATAAAATTAGGATTTGTGGAATTTTACATCAAAAGCATAGGTGAATCCATGGGCAAATGTAATTATTGCTTTACAACAAATGTGTCAAAAGGATTGGCACAATTTTGACCTATACATTTCTATCTACTCTCTTAGCTTTGTGTATCTTAATGAAATTTATTTCTCCCACTGACTCAAGAAATATTTAAGTCTCCACCATGCTCTATTGGAGAGTGTGGTGGTGGGAGTGTGTGTGTGTGTGTGTGTGTGTGTGTGTGTGTTGCGTGTGTGTCTTTTTTATTCTTTTAATTTGGGTTTTTTTTTGTTTTTGTTTTTGTTTTAGCCGATTTTTTTCTCCATCTACTTTTTTTTTCTGTTTTTCTTTTTTGTAAAGTTAGGTCTTCAATACTCTGTCAGTTTTCTCTACAGTGGTTTTGAAGATCAGTTCGTTCTAGACTTTTTTTTTTTTTTAATTGTTGTTTTATGTTTGTTTCTTTCTGATACAGCAGTCTTGCTCTGTAGCCCAGGCTACCTACCTCCTGCCTTCACTGCCAAGTGCCGGGCATTGTATGTGTACCAATTCTCTTGCCAATCAGTTCTTAATAATCCTGTGTCTGTGTACCCAGGCCTAAACATTCCTTAGGGCGCGCGCGCGCGCACACACACACACACACACACACACACACACACACACACACAGCTTCTGTTGAACATTCAGATTTGCAAAATATGTAAATTTATCAATCTCAACCTCAGTGTGCTTCTAATCTATAACACACAGGCACACACACACACACACACACACACACACACAGAGAGAGAGAGAGAGAGAGAGACAGAGAGAGAGAGAGAGACAGAGAGAGAGAGAGAGGGATGTTTACAAAAGCCCAAACTAAACTGCAGCTTCAGGAGGTCCCAAACCTTTCTGCAATCCAGATCTGCATCTGAGGGTAGAGGTAGGTGAAAAGACACCTCACCTTTTCCATTCACAAGTCAATGCAGAATCCTGTGGCAAAATGACTCTGTTCCCTTTTTTCCTCTACAGATTTACTTGGGTGCATGATTGGTGTACATGGCGACCTTTTGCATAAATTATGTCTCAGTTTTGGTTTTGACTGTCAGGCAGGTAGGAAGTTTTCTTCAATGCTGTGGGATGAAAACTTTTGTATCAAAGAAATGAAATGTAAGCTGTGTATGTACACCCAAGTACATGTAATGTACTAGTGTATATTTATCTGATGCACACATTCTAGAACATATTTATAAAGGAATATAGAATTTATGATGGTGTACAAACATTTAAATTATTGCCAGAAATAAAGTGTACTTCTTTCCTGAATGCACTGAATTAATAGCAGGAGGAAGTGGCAGAGAGAGAAAGGACTTGTGCCTGTGGGAAGGGATAAATTAAGATGTGTTCGGAATGTGTTCAAGTCCAGGCATGACACCCAAGGCCAGACTACACAGAATCACCCCTTCTAGACAAGCACCTGCCTCCCTCCTCCTTCTAGTGGTAGGAAATATTTTTAAAAGAGGCATGCAGTGTTTCCAATAATTAAAAGTACACTTATTCAGAGATGTGGTTTGGGTTATGCCAACAGCTTCTTAGGGATATATTATATTAAAACAAGGGATCCATTTTATTAAAATATAAAATTGAGAGGGTTAGTTTCTAGTTTCACAGATTTTATTCAGATACCTCAGATATTTCATATTAATTTGTATTTCCGCTAGTGAATGAGGAGGGAAAGGGGTGGGAGAGGTAGGCGATGGAAGGGGTGTGAGAAGGCAGTGTAGAGCAAGCAAGGAAGAGGAGGGGGAGGGAAAGAAGTAGGAAAGAACAGAGCAGGAGAAAAGAACCAAGTCGGAGCAGAGGGACGAAGAGGTGAAGAGTCCGGTATTAAGTTTCAGCATGTGTTAGTCTTTTGTTCCCAGGACAAAATAATGCGCAGGAGAGGCTGGCTTTGGCTCCGGATTTCTTTCACAGGCTTCAGTCCATGGTCAGGAGCTCTGACTGTCCACAGTCCTCTAGAGGAAGGGCCGGTGAGGGAGAGCTGCTCTCTGGGTGCCATTGCTGCTCACCTGCCCACGCACACTGACCTACTTCCTTCAGTTAGCTTCTGCCTCCTCCGGTTTCCACAGTCTCCTAGTTAGCCACTCAAGTAGGAATCCATGAAAGGAAACCCACTGATCTGCGTGGCCAGTCACATACACAAGCCCCACCTCTAAACACTGTCCTGGAGACGAAATCTGTAGCAGATGGGAGCCTTTGGGCTGGGGGTTAATATCCAAGATTGTAACAAGACAGAGGATGGAGTGGAGGGGTTGTGGATGATGGGTGAGCATGGTGTGAACACTACGTCATCAACAGAAACAGAGCTAAGTTAGTGATATGTGGTAGGTTTGTATTTCCGCTGTTCCTGCTAGCTTACTAGGTTCCTGTTGCATATGAGGCCCACAGACTTTCTTAGGAACTTAGATGCTTGGAATTTAGGTTTCATCTGCTCTCCTCCACTCACTACTATTTTAATGAAACTTTATGTTACCATGGCTATATAAATATTATTCATTGATGGATTAAGTAACAATACAGTATAATTGTATTATTTCCTACAACTTGGTTTTCTTTAATACCTGAACCATTTTGTCTTATTTTGTACGCATCTTCTACTAAGGTAGCTTGAGACTATCCCAAAACACAAACCGTTCCTTCCCAGAGATTATCATGCTTGCACACAGCCAGGAAGTCCTAGGTATGTGCATTGCTTCTAATTTAAGTCTCTTCATTTTGGAACAATTCCCTTAGTTTGTTATTTTCAGGCTCCTTCAAAAAACAGTTGACACAAATAGGGCACAGAAAAAGTTAACTATTTGGATGGTATTACTAATTTGTGCAGCTGGGATTTGAATGTGGGCTTACTAGTTCCAGAGACTGTAAAGGCCAACCATGCATTACTGAGGTTCCTAGACACATGTGCAGAGACACGTGCACGTACATGCTCACCACTGTACTAATTTTCTCACCCTGTGATGATGGTTACTATAGAAACACTTTCTAGAGACAAGGATGGCTAGTACAATTCTCACTGATGCACTGAAGTTTTATGTGGTATTTTTTACTTTCCTACGTTATATCTACTTTTTGCTTCCTATTCAGAGAGACTGGGCTATTTAGGGTCCTCTGTCTGACCTTCAGTCCTGTCACTAAAGCAGATTTTTGTAGGTTTGAGTCCCGGGAGAGTTGTATTAAATGTGTATTGGAGTTGATAAGGGGATCTCTAGAGCCTAGCCATTTTTCTCCCTTACCCTTCCTGGCCTAGATAACTGTGGTCTGTCCTTACTGTTTGTTGGTTCAGTGATCTAAGGAGAACTTTTGTATTTCTGCATATGGGAGAGGTACTCTAGAATACCCTTCAGGACTGTCCTTCCGTTGAGCTTTTCTAGAAGAGCATAGCTGACATCTACTGACACCGGAGCAGCATCCAAGTCCACCAAAGTCCAACTTGGTAAATGCAGGAGCCCTGTGGCGTGCAGGGCTAGAGGAGCCTGTAAGCGCAAAGGCAGCTGCATCTCTGAGAAGCCTACCTCAGTTTGGAAGTGGATTCTGGAAAATGGCACCCCTGCTGCTCCCCACAGTACTCTCTTGGCCAATCTAAGTCCCATCTCACTTCAGACTGCTTTTGCAACCTTGGAGGATCTTGTTAGTTTCAGTTTTCTCCTGATTTGTCTGGTTTACTTCCTGAATATCTAGCGCCCAGGAGGGAATGTTTCAATTTGGAAGAAATGGCTACAGGACTGGTTCATCAAATCCTCCTCCAGGGGCGGGGCAGCCAAGGAAAAGAATGAGTTTTAATGTGCGTTATTATTTTCTAAAACATAATTATGTCCTCCCCCACCCCCAACCCCCAAGGAGCTTCCTGACCGACCAGGAGGCTCAAACCTTGGGGGCAAAGGAGCCACAGAGCCCTCTCCTGGTAGGCTGTAGTACAGCCGCAGACTCAGAAAAAAGAAACAATAGATCACTAAATCCCCGGCTGAACGAAGCAGTGTTGGTAGGTGGGTGGGAGACACAGCAGGTGGTTGCCAAGGTCACCATAGCAACCAAAAAACAGACTGTGACTTTCTTAGGCTCTTTCGTACCTGGGTGGGGGTGAGGGGGCGGAGACTTGTAAAGCTGATTGGCCACTTTTAGCTGGAGGAGGACTGGCTTGGGGTTCTTCCTACCATTTTGATAGCTCTGCTTGGATTAGTCTTTTTTGTTCATTTTGTTTGCACACTTACATCCAGCCTATCAGGGCCACTCTGGCACTATGGCAGCCCCATACATTTGGATGTTCTGGGGCCTCCGAGTCCTTTGTTGCATGAGCCAAAGGAAGAGGGAGATAAGGGAAGGTTTCCTAGTGCAGCTCCTAGCTCCATCAGGGATC